CTCTTCGTCGCTTTCGACGATTCGCTTCTTCTTGACGATGGCTTGGTTGGCAGCATCGTCGTTGTCCTGGTCGTCTTCGTCCGAGGAGAAGGAGGGTTCTGGTCTGCGGGGCTTATCCTTTGACTCGCCGGCAGCTGCGCGCTTACGCGCCCGCTCTGCCTCCTCGATCTTCTGTTCTGCAAGCTCCATCTCGTCGGGCTCGTCATCGACCTCCATGGCATCTTCGTCATCCGAGCTCCTCTTCTTCTTGCGGCGACCTGCACGCTGGCCGTCTTCATCGTCATCATCGCCTTCATCATCCACAATGAAGCCGTCATCGTCGTCTTCGGCATACCTCTGTGAGGCGGCTGCACGCTTACTGGCCCCACGACCACCGGCATCATCCGCACCACCGCCGAGATCGCTGTCGTCGCTGTAGTAGTCGGCATTGCGCGGACCTGCGCCAAGCTTGCGACCGCCAACGTAGCGACTCCTTCGGCGCGACTCGATGTCAAACATGTCGTCGTCGAATTTGCCGCTCTTGCGGTCGGCCTTCTGGCGCTCGCGCACACGCTTCTTCTCGGCGTCTTTGAGCTCCTTTTCGATGCGCGCCTTTTCGATCTCCGGGTCGAGCGCTCCTTCGCCCGCGGCGGTGGCGACCACACGTGCAGTCTTCTGGAATCGCAGCGCCTTGGCGATCCTACGGTGCGTCTCGGACTGCGTGTCTGCCGGTGTGAAGGCAAGCGAGCCCGCGATGGGACCCTGTGCCTCCATGACCTGCTCGGCCTCGTGCGGCACCACGAGGTACGACAGACTCTGCGCCGGACGGTTGGTCGAACCACTCGAACCCATGGGCACGCTCTGCGTGGCCTGGCTCAGCAGCTGCTGCGACGACGATGGACCCGCCGACTGCGAGCTGGCGCCCAGCTGCGGCGTGTTGGCACCCGTGTTGGCCACCGAGACGCGACCCTTTTCGGTCTGCTGCGTAATGTCGAACAGCTCGCTGCCGACCTGGAGCGACATGGTGCCGTCGCTCCAGCGGACGATGCGTGCGTTGGACTCGGGCACGCGCGCGCCGTCTTGGTCGAGCTCGTCGGTGTAGCGCCATCGGATGGTGTTGGAGGTGCGCAACAGACTGGTGGCGCCCTCGTCGTGTGCAAAGCCCGAGTTGAAGCCCTCGTCGCGCAGCATGTCCTCCTCGAGCTCCTCGTCCCACGAGTCGGGCTCAAAGGGCGTGGTGACGTAGCGCAGGAAGTGGGGTATCCTGGCGAGCCAGTGTTCCTTGGTGTGACGCACAGGTAATTGTGGCAGGGCGAGCTGCGCCACCTCGATGTTGTCGTCGGGCTGCAGCTCTTCGTCCTCGTCCTCCTTGTACTCGAGCTGACGCAGCGCGGCATCGTCCATGTCCTGCGAGCCTTCGCGGCCGTACGGGCTGCCACTGCGAGATGAGCGGTCGGACCGACGAGCAGGCGAGGATGGGTCGAGCGGAGGCGGTGCGGTGAGACCATTGGCACCGGCAGGGGGTGGAGAAGCCGAAGCCGAGGCCACGCGTTGCTGCCTGGATCGGCGCACATTGCGGCGAATGCCTTCGTCCTCGTCATCATCATCGTCATCATCGTCTGCACCATTTGCAGTGGCCTGCGTGGCATCGGCATCTTTTGGCGCGCTGCTCCTCGAGGCAGGCTTGACCTGCTCCTCTTCATCGTCGTCGTCGTCGCCAAACAGGGCATCCTCCAGATTGTCTGCCGGCGCTTCGGGCGACTGAGGCGCAGCAGCTTCTGATCCGGGGGATGCGACTTGCTCCTCTGAGGCAGCAGGTGCAGCTGCGATCGGTGCGGCCTCTGCAGCCTCGTGATCCGACATTGTGCGATGGCGCTGCTGCTGTTGAGGTGGATGTGTGGAAGTGTGTGCGAGAGGGTGCGCTTTGTGCGTCGACGGCGTTGAAGCTTCCTGTGCGCCGAGTCTGCGCGTTGACCTTTCGCGTGTTGGAAATTGGAGGCCTTCCTACCGCGCGAGAAGAAGCTCGCGTCTGCCACCCGATGACTGAGCAGCAACTAACCTCCACAAGAAGGCAGCGCGTTCGAGCTCAACATCTGAGAGCACGGTGCAACACCTCTCGATTGGCTCAGCCTTGCCTTCACACCACCAATCCCACGACGGCACGAACGATCCACCATGAGGAACTCCATCGTAAGGCTGGGCCAAGGCCTGCTCCGTCAGACGCCAATCGCAGCACCCGCACGAAGCTTCTGCTCGGTCTCGGCTCCTGCTCTGAGCTCGCGGGGGCGTACGTACGTCAAGCAACAGCAGCAGCCCGCTCGCACGGGACTCAAGGACCTGCACCCTCTGCCCGAGTCGATGCGCGAGCAGCTCGAAAGCGATGGTGCGCCGCAAGAGCCATACACGGCGAGTGGCAACTCGAACGACCCTGCCGTGCATTCCAGCCGCCCTGCAGCTCAGCCAGCCGGAGTGGACGTCGATCCGAGCGTTGCAGCACCAGGCCTGGTCAACGGCTCGTCTGGCAATGGAGGCAATGGATCCAGCTCGTCGTCGGCAACGACTTCGGCGACGACTTCGGCACCCTCGAGCAACGTGTCCGAGGAGTGGGGCACCAGCTTTGCAGGCCTCGGCGAGCGCTCGTTCAGCAAGGAAGCGATCGACGTGCTCATGGGCCCAATCAACGAGGCGGATATCGAGATCAAGCCTGGTAAGTGCTCGTCTCGTCGCAGCGGCTGAAACTGCTTCGAGGTTGGCTGACGCGATCTCTCTTGCCCCTCTTGCCCCGCCGATCCATCAACGGGTGGCTTCGAATGACAGACGGCCTCATCTACCTGCCCGAAATCAAGTATCGTCGTATCTTGAACAGGGCGTTCGGACCGGGCGGTTGGGGCATGGCTCCGCGCAGCGAGACCAATGTCGGACAAGGCATCGTGAGCCGCGAGTGGGTGCTCATCTGCCAGGGACGGTAAGTTGACCTAACTTGACCAGCAGCCACACAAAGAAAGACCCGATACTGACCGCTGCGATCGACGTTTTGATCCGGCAGCTTTGTGGCAACAGCACGCGGTGAGCAGGAGTTCTTCAAGCCATCCGGAGTGCCGACAGCGTCGGAGGGCGCCAAGTCGAATGCGCTCATGCGATGCTGCAAGGACCTCGGTGTGTCGTCCGAGCTGTGGGACCCTCGATTCATCCGACAGTTCCGCAAGAAGCACTGCCTCGAGGTGTGGGCGCAAGACACGGCTGGCAAAAAGTAGGTGTGCCCAACGTCGTTTGCTCTTGCAGACCATCTCACTGACATGTGCTCGCTTCGTTCGACTGACTCTCACAGGAAGAAGCTCTGGCGTCGAAAGGACGACCCGCCCTTCGAGTATCCGTGGAAGGAGACTGGCACTGCCTAGACGATCTGCAGCATTCGCAACTGCCGAACCAAGCTTCACCGCTCGATCCCCTCCTGCTGCGCGATAGCTCTAACAATTGAGACTTGAAAAATCGAGCCGAAAATGGCCTTTTGCGTGGAGATTGAAAAATGCGCGGTCCACCCGTACTTTGGCGCATGCGGAAGGAGAGCTGCTGGTGAGCTGTTGGTGAGCTGCTGGGCGCCCGTACGAAACAAGCTTTCGTTGAGTGGGCAGCTTTGGCCACCCGCGTCAACCTGGGCGTCGCCTCGCTGAGTCGCTTTTGATCCAAAAGCCTGGTGGCCGGAGCGTCGTCGTCCAATCACGCATCACTCGCCTCATCGCTTCGACTGGTGGCCATCCTCGTCCACTCCATCGGCACACCGACATCAGCACACTCCACCCGACCTCTTCGCAAGCACCTGCTGCACACACGCACACACACACACGCACAATCCTCAGCCCCAGCACCGCTGCGTGTCCACATCGCGATCGTTGCCGCATTATTCGAACGACACCAATTCTACACATCCACGTCCAAGTGCTACCCGCTTGCCCCTTCGCCGAGTCCATTCACGTCCAAACTCTGGTCCAACGCTACACAAGGCTTCCACCGCCGCTACACGCTCCTCCTCTCCCATCCAACCGCACTGACTGTCCAGCAAAGCAAAGCGCGAGGCTTCAACTCGGCGCAAACTAAGCTCTCATCATGGCAGCCGGTAAGTTTCACATAGAGCCGCCAGATCCTGGCTACACCGCGCCTCAGAGCCTCCAGAGCCTGACTCTTTCGTCGTTCCATCAATCCCAACCAGGACCACCGCCCGGCCTCGGCATAGCAGCACCACCAGCCGCAGCGTTACCACCCAATCCGTTCGGCACCAACGGCTCCCAACACTCTCACAAGTCGCCCTTGCACCACCACTCCGACCTCCAAACACCCGTCAAATATGAGCGTCCATCCGACTGCCCTCGCACCTACAGCCGTGGTGCACTTCTCGCCTTCAGCGCTTCCACTCTGGTCGTAAAGCCATCCTCCATGGCCTCCCTTCGCGAATGGTTTGGCGAGTGGGAAGCCTATCACCCCAAGAGCTCCTACAACTACCGCGAAAACTCTCGCAGAGCCCACGCCGAAGACGCTGCTGCCGCACACGCAGCAGCAGCCGCACACGCAGTCGAGTCGGAAGAAGGCGCCAACAACGGCGGTATCATCGGAGGCGCGCTCGGAGGTTTCGCGCCCAGGAGGGAAGGCGCCGGCGCGCGCTTCGGAGGAAGGAGGAACGAAGACCGCGAACGCAGCGAAGGCCTCCGTCTCGGCGAAGTCGGCGGCCGCAGAGTCGCACCCGCCGGAAAGAACCCGTTCGGTCAGATCTCGGCCAGCGGCACTTTCAAGCCAGCAGGCACTCCCGGTGGTGGACGCGGCCTTCCTCGCGACGCCAACCCCGACGCCATGGGCGATGTTCGCCGCGGAATGGGAGAACGCTCCACCTCGTACGGCAAGGACCGGATGCGCGAGCTGCTTCCCGACGACCGTAGACGCGACCCGGCTCGCGACCGACGACGTGGCGATCGAGGCCTCGACGCCGACGACAGTCGCGAGGAAGGCGAGATCGTCGATTCGCCCAGGACACGACGCACCGGTGGCGCAGACACCGCTTCCGACTGGAGGAGACCCGGCGACCGCGACCGTGCCGGACCCTTCTCCAGCCTCCCATCCGACCGCTTGCGCCCGGGCGAGCGACGAGGAGCTCAGCGTGCAGGCGGAGCTCCCTGGACAGGCGATGCGGACGACAATCCGGCTTGGCTCGAAGACGACTCGGAACCCCTGCCCGTCGACAACCGAGCTCCCTTTGGACAGTTCGGCAGCCGTCGAAAGGACGCTGACGACCCGCTTTCGCAAGCCGATGGCATGGGCGGCGCCGTCGATAGCATTCAGGCCTTCAAGGCTCAGATGAAGGAACGCGAGCGTCGCGAGAGGCTCGCGCGCGGCGAACCCGAGCCCGTCGAAAAGGCGCCGCTCGAATCTCACTCCGAATCCCTGGGTGCGGAGCGACACTCGTCGCACGAGTATCCCTTCGGCTCCGATGCTGCCTCGCAACAATCCGAGCTCGACGCCATTCGCGCAGAAATGATGGCTGCCGCCAACCAACGCTCCGCATCCGGCAACTCGATGTTCGACAGCATCTCCAACAGCCACGGCGGTGCGGGAGCCGAGGGACAAGCGCCACCCGGCCTTCCCGGACGCTCTAGCCGATTCGCCCGATTCTTCGACGGACGCGGCGCACCGCCGCGCGACCCCCAAGCTGCCGCCCTTGCTGCACAGCAGAAGATGCTCGAATCCATGGGCGCCCAGCCTGCGCCGCCCGCCTCCGACGACAAGGAGGCCTCCAACATCCACAGCCCCAAAACGCCCCAAAACGCCTCCTCGTCATCGATCAACATCTCGGATCTCTTCAGCAAGTCGTCCATCCGCGACAAGCCAGACGCGACGGGCAAGGACGCCTCGGGCAAGAATGTGTCGGATGCGGACCAGCAGAGCATGCAGAAGCTCATGGCCATGCTGCAAGGCGGCGGCGGCGGTGGAGCAAGCGGCGCGGGAACGCCCACGTCCAACAAGGAGCATGCCAACGAGCATGCGCACCACCATCAGCGAGCCGACACGGACGACCGACTCAAGGAGCTTCTCGGTGGTGGCGGCCAAGCTCGTCATGCCGACCACCTCGGCGATCGACCTCGCAGCATCGTCTCTCCCGGCCTCTCGTCCGCCGAGGCTCATGGTCACGCCATGGAAGCTCGCTCGCCGCTGCCCTACCCGCAGCAACAGCAGCAGCAGCAGCATCAGCGCGAATCGAGCACGTCGTCCGGCGGCGTGGGACACGGACAGCATTTGGGTCCGCAGCACCAGCACCAGCACCAGCAGCCGCACGAGTCGCAGCAGCAATTCCCGCAGTACCAGCAGCAGCGGTCCGACTCGCCCGCCATGGGCGGCGGCAACGCGTACAACGATCCTCGTCAGCAGCTCAGCAGTGTGGGATCGCCCACGAGCCCGGGCGCGCCGGGCGTGGGCTCTCCGGGCGCAGCGCCGGGTATGGGAGGCTTTGGCGGCTTCGCGGGCGCGATGGCGGGCCGACCGCCGCCGCCGGGCATGGATCCTCGCATGATGGCGCGGCCGCCGATGGGCGCGCCCGGGTTCCAGCAGCTGCCGCCGCACCTGGCCGCGAGCCTGGGGCTGGCGCGCGGACCGATGCCGCCGGGTATGGGCAGCATGCCGCCTCCGCCGCCCATGGGGGTGCCCGGACCGCGCGGACCCAACGGTGGCTTCCCCGGCTTCGCGCCGTTCCCGGGCGGACGTCCGCCGCCGCCCGGAATGCCGCCGCAGCTGTACCAGCAGCTGATGAGCATGCCGCCGCACATCCAGCAGCAGGTGCTGGCGGGACAGGGATTCCCGCCCGGCATGCCGCCACCGCCGGGATCGCCGTATGATCCCAGTGCGCCCGAGCGCAGGTCGCAGTCGCCCGCACAGTTCCCGTACTATGCCCAGGGACCTGGGGGTATGCAGCCGCCAGCGTCGCCCCAGCAGCATCAGCCGGTGGCCGTGGGAGCGCATGCGATCAATGGCGCCAATCTCATGGCGCTGCTTAGCGGCGGTAGGAACACGCCTACAAACTGAGCGCGCGCGGTCGTACCAAGCGGGCGCAGTGCATGCGTCTCACTCCTTCCTTTTTTTCAGTCTCTCACACACACACACAAGTGTCGCGGTTCTTGGTTCTCGGTTTCGTGGTTTGAATTCTAGCTTTTGCGCTTTCACTCATTGGTGCAGGATGACGGGACGGTGCAGTGGGGGAGGGGAGTTACTTGAGTTGTTCGTTGAACATGCGGGCGATGAGCATGCGGCGGATTTCCTGGGTGCCTGCGCCTACGGTGTAGAGACGGGCGTCACGCCAGAACCTGGCGACGGGGTAGTCGTTTGTGTATCCGTTTCCGCCGAGCATTTGCATGGCTTCGGTGGTGACTTCTACGCAGCGGTCGGAGGAGTAGAGGATTGCACCTGCGCAGTCGCGGCGAGAAATAGCACCTTGGTCGCATGCACGGCCTACGGCGTAGACGTACGAGCGCGCCGCGCCGAGTTTGGTGTACATGTCGGCGATCTTGCCCTGGATGAGTTGGAACTCGGCGATGCGCGTGCCGAACTGCTTTCGCTCGTGCGCGTACGTCACAGCGTAATCAAACGCCGCTTGCATTAGACCCAGTGGTCCTCCGCTAAGAACGAGTCGTTCGAGATCGAGTCCCGACATAAGCACCGCCGCTCCTCTGTTGACAGTGCCGAGAACGTTGGTTTCGGGCACCTCGACATTGTCAAAGTGGATCTCGCACGTGTCTGACCCGCGCATGCCCACTTTGTCGAGCTTGGGAAGTTGGGTGAAGCCCTTCATGCCCCGCTCGAGGATGAAGGCGGTGATACCCTTGGAGCCTGCCTTGGGTTCGGTCTTGGCGTACACGATAAATGTACTCGCGATGGGTGCGTTGGTGATCCACATCTTGCCACCATTCAACACGTAGTGATCACCCTTCTTCACTGCGGTCGTCGTCATGCTAACCACGTCCGAGCCGGATCCGGGCTCAGACATGGCAAGACTACCCACTTTCTTACCCGAAATCAGGTCCGGCAGATACTTGGCCTTCTGCTCCTTGGTACCGTGCCTGTTGAGCTGGTTAACGCAGAGGTTGCTGTGGGCACCATAAGACAGAGCGACAGAACCCGATGCGCGCGAAAGTTCCTCCATGACAATCGTGTGGTCCAGGTATCCTTTGCCGAGACCGCCGAATTCTTCGGGCACCGTGATGCCGAGCAGACCCATGTCGCCGAGCTTGGTCCAGATGTCCTTGGGCGACTCGTTGTTGCGGTCGATCGCAGCCGCCTTCTCGGGCGGCAGCTCTGCAGACACGAAAGAGGCGACTGCATCGCGCAGCTCGGCCTGTTCCTCGCTGAGTCCAGCAACGTCAGTGTTGTAGAAGGTCGTCGCCATGCCCCTGCGTGCCACGCCGGAGCGGAGGCTGGTCGAAGCCAGCGCAGTGCGACGCAGAGGTGCAGCTGCAGTGCGAAGTGCAGAGAACGACATGTTGAAGGAGGAAAGACACAGCGTGGGTTTGGCGGGATGGTCGTGGTGGAACGAACAGCTGTGTGCAAAGTAGCCGGTCCAGTTGGGGGGATCCGCTCCAAGGCGGGGCGAAGTGTGTGTCTGCCGAGGCGTGGCGGGCGGCGATGCGCGAAAAGGGTCCGGCAAAAGCGGCGCGCTGGACAGACGCAGCGGGCCAAATTGGGTCGATTCTCGCCCTTTCCCGACGACCGGCTCCAGATTGGACGGCCCGACATTTCGCATTTAGCGGGGACCCCGCGTTCCCCCCGCGCGCCCCAACTCGTCATTCGTACGGCAAATCCGAGCTGCCCAGATTCACACCGCTGCTTAGCCCTTCATCGAGGAAGAGCTCGCTCGTTCGAGACGGTTCCCGTCAAGTGCCTCAGCTTGCTCGTTGGTTAGTGAAAGACGTCAGACGATGACTTACCGCAAAGAGTGGACGAAAAGCGTCGGTCGGCTGAAGAAATCGCGTCGCAAGAAAAGAGGGCAGCCGAAAAAAAAGGCGGCGAGAATCGTGCCAAAAAAATAGGGAGCGTCACTACAGCATGCGCATCTTCGAACACCACCACACGCAGCTGTACGAGCGACCGTATCGAGCTGAGCTGCCTGATCATCGGGCTGCGAGTTCTGAAGCTAGCCATCGCGACGAGAGTGCAGCACAAAGACAGCCCACAACAGAGCCACAACGGCGCATTTCCGCACCTTCGCCGCCCACCCAACCCTCTCGGCCGAAATCCATCACCAACCCCCCAGCTCCCCCTTGTCCCCCCCTCCCCCGACCCGTTCACACGATCTCACGTATTGCCCGCACGCTGCACTCAGAAATGAGACATGGAAAAGAAACTGCGCTGCTATTGACCGTGACACCGAGATAGATATGTGGCAAAGCCGTTCCCTGCGATACAAACTATGATACGAGGAGAGAGAGAGAGAGAGAGCCGAATCCGAAACTGGAGAAAAGCGTATGCGGGGACGAAGGGTGGTTCTGAACAACAAGCCATGCCGAGATAGCAGGATACGAATGTGAAGAGATAGGACACGGAGCGGAAAGGCGTGAGAGGCCACGCGGCCAAGGGTATGTATGCAGCACGAGAAGACGCACTAAAGATGAAATGGTTCCAGCGAGTTGAAGAGGCCACGACGGCGCGACAAGGGGTATATTGGCAGGCCGGATACGGAGCGCACTCAGTACTTGAGCTGTGTTGGGTCCACCAACTTGCCAGCCACCAGCACCGACTTGCTCTCCGCTCGCGCGACGTTTTCGGAATCGTCGTCCTGGCGACTACGGCCGATCTGCGCCAGTGACGGCGCGCGCTGCGGCGCTATTCCCAGCACCGAGCATGTCAGCCGGTACTTGGCTCGAATCTTCTCCAGCAACGCCAGCATGTCGAGCTTGGCGAGATCGTCATCGTTCGTCGTCTCGGCCTCGGTATCCTCGCTTTCCTCCCCAGCCTCTTCCGTGGGCTCGGTCGGGCGCAGGTCCGTTGAGGGGTCCGACGTGTTGGTGGTGGGGAAAAAGGAGATGAGCTTCTCGAGCCCGGCCAGGTGCTGGAGCTGCTTGGACTGCTTCCGCGAGGCGTGACCCACCGCTTCCGCTTGCTCCAGACACTCCTTCCACACCTTGGCCAAGCCTCGATAGAAAGCTACTTCCTCCCAAAGCTCGAAGCCCTTCTCGCGCCCTAGTTCACGCCCTTCGAACGTCCCATGCAGCGCGCCGTGGTCGAAGCCTTGCTGGTAGCCGTCCTGGTACGCCGCCTCCTCGACATTGTTGACCGTCTCCAAGTCAAAGTCGACCGCGTCCGAAGCCGTTGCCATGGTGAAGCGCGCAAACCGTCGGTGCAAGATGGATGATGCTGGTCGGGAAGAAAGCCAGGTGGAGGCGCGGAAGCCGGTGTCGAAATGCGCGCCGCAAAAAATTTCCTCGGATTTCGGCATCATCGACGCGTTGCCGCAAGGGTCTCGCTCGCCGAGCCCAGGCTGAGCGGGGCGTTGGCACCGCCCTCCTGGGATGCTGTCGATCCTGCATTGCCGCCGCCCACGCCGTTGGCAGCCGAGTGCATGGCCGAGTTGGAGTTCATGCGGAAGAGCGGATTCTTGCTGAAGCTGAGCCGGATGCCTCCGTTCTTGATGGCGCCGCCCAAAGAGTGGCCGTTGAGCTCCGACATGGCCTTGGATGCCGTGTGCACGTCTTCGAATTCGACAAAGCACATCGGACCGTTGGACTTGAGCCGGAACGAGAACTGGCGAAAGCCACGGCAGCTGCTGAAGACCGCTCTGAGCTGGTCCTCGATCTGCGAAAGCACCGCGCTCGAGGCATTGCTCGGAAGGTTGCCGACGAACAACGTGTTGACCGGAGGATGGTTGTCCCCAACCACGTTGCGGCCGGTCGGGCTGGGCAGATCCGGACTCGGCGCCTGCTGCGGCGGTCGCACCCCACCCGCTGCGGGTCCATCATCGCCGGCAGGCGGAGAGTTGAGCTTGAGCGAGCCAAAGCGTGTGACCACCGAGGCTGATTGCTGCTGCGCGTCCTCTTGGCTCGTCGAGGAAGCAGTCGAATTCGAATGGTTATTCTCCGCCTTGCTGCCTTCGTCAGACCTGCTCGTTGTGGCGCCAGCACCAGTGGCCGGACCCTGGTCCTGAGTGGCGCCGCCGATAGGACCGACACCGCGCGAGCCCTGTCTGGCGAAGGGTGGTCGCGGAGCGGATGCAGCGGCGCTGTAAAGACCTGGCGGCGGAGAGCCTACCGCGGGCCAGTCGGGTCTCTGCGCCCCGCTCTGGGCCTGTAGACTAGAAGCCGGACCGCCTTGCAGACCTCGTCCCGGCGCTCCGATGGGGCCTGGCCCACTCTCGGGCCCGTAGTAGTCGATAGGGCCCATAGAGCCACCCCACTTGTCTGGGCCTATCGAGCCTTGCGATTGCTGCTGTTGTGTCTGCGACGCCGTCGTCGGGCCGGTGGATCGAGCTTGATGGTCCATGGCGCTGGCGCCTCCGATAGACGAACGGAGCGCCGGATTGTTCCCCGGACTGAAGAAGTCGGGGCCGCCAAACATCTCGTGCGGCGACAGCAGGTCACCAGGAGTGGTACTGGGTCCGTTGGCGGTGAACGGCTCAAAGCCGCCCGGACCTTTTGCAAACGGACCAAACGGACCCGCCTGCGACGGCGGACCGTTGAGCTGCTGGCCTGCGCGAGGATCAAAAGGCCCGCCGATGGCAAAGGGCGGAGGCGGCCCGCCGACACTCGACGAAGGAGGCAAGGGTCCGCTGGCTCCCTCTGGGAAGCCGGGCGCTGCCAGAACGGGCCGTTGCTTGGTGTGAAGGTTCTTCTTGGCCATCTCGGTCTTGAGCACACATCCCTTCTCTGCATCTACTTTGCGGCCGTTGAGCGCATCGCGTGCCTCGAGCGCGTCGGCGCGTGTTCGGAACTTGGCAAAGCCGATGATCTGCTTGATCTTACCGGCTGCCATCGCCGACTGATTGTTGGCAGAGCCCAGAGCATTTGGCATACCCGGCACACCAGCCAAGGGGGAGAAGGCATCGTTCACGCCGGCACGGTTGAGGCCGAGTGACAGGTTCTGATCCTCCCAGCCGGGCGCCATGCCGCCAGTCGGGTCGAAGCCGGGCATATTGACGGCCTGATACGGGCCTCCAGGGCCGCTTGGAACGGGACCGTTGACATCAGGCATGCGGCCGTTTGGTGCTGCGCTGCCGAGGCCTGCGGGAATCTTGAGTGTAGACGCCTCGAAGCCTTTGGCGAAGAGGAACATATTTGCGAATTCACGTTCGGACATGTCATCGGGGAAGCCGACGATGAAGACGGTGGTGATTTCCTCTGCCGGACCGCCTGGCGGTGCGAGGCCGGCGGCGTTGCCGATGCCGGCTTGGAGGCCAAACTGCTGTTGCGTTGGTGGCTGCTGCTGTTGTTGTTGCGATTGCTGCTGATGTTGCAGACCTGGTGGAAGCTGCTGCTGTGCCTGGTGCTGGTGCTGTTGTGACTGCATCTGCATGTGGTGATGCTGAAGCTGCATCATGCTGCGTGGGCTGAGGTTGCCGGCGCTGGGTGGCATGCCGAGCATTCCTGGCGGAGCGCCTGCACCGCCGCCGGGGCCTCCGACTGCGTACGACGGACGTGGGCCAAAGTCGTCATGGCCGATGCTGCGAGGATGACCGCCCATCTGCGAGCCTTCGTCTCGTGCCGATGCAGGGTAGTGGCCGGGAGACAATCCGAATCGGTGAGGATGGACGTCCTGGTCATGGCTGGACGACAGCGAGAAGCCCCTCGAGTCGGCACTGGAGCCCGAGTGGAAGGCGACGTTCATGGGATCCGAGGTGGAGAGCGCGGCTGCGTTGGCGCTCTTGGACGCCTCGGACGCGGGGAGGTTGGAGCCATTTGGCGAAAAGAGCTCATTGTAGCCGAGGAAAGGTTCGGCCGAAGCATTCGCCGCGGTAAGGCCGGAATGGATCGACTGTTTGCGTTGCGCTGTGCTGTTGGAGGCGCGGCTGGCATTGTTTGACGCCTGCCCGATGGAGTGCCATCGCTCGCTGGGATCGCCCATGGGGAAGTTGAAGGACCGCTTGGTGGGCGAAGGCGAACGGCCGCCGGATCGCGAGCCTGGCTCGGCACCGGGCTGCGGCGAGGTAAGACGTGGGAACGGCTGCATGGGCTGGGGTGCCGCGAGCGGCGTGTGGTCGGCGTGTGCCAAAGGAGGCGACGCAGGAAACTTGAACGAAGTAGACGGACCTGCTGAATCGGGCGAAAGACCTGGCGGGCCGGACGTGCTGGCTGAGCTCGAAGTTGGTGTAGGTGCAAAGATTCCTGGTGGAGGAGGGTGCCTCGATTCTGCACTGTAGACCATGCCGTTACTGGCGGATGTGGTGGTGAAAGGACGGGGCTGTGTCTCAGGTATGCGATGGAACGGACGGGCGCCGTCTGGCATAGTCCGAGGCACGGTGGAAGAATGCAGTGGTGGCTGGTCTTCCCGAGTCGAGAAGAAGAGCTGACAAGATGGAGTTGACTTGATGTGATGGTCCAAGAGCAGATCGGCGACGATAAGCGCAGGGAGCGTCGCTGACATGGATGACCTCGCAAGGGCACCGAAGATGAGGATGGACGCGAACGACCGCACGTAGACCAAGTGCCTGCGTTGGAAGGAGTCGGGGCTTGGGTATGCTGGTAGCGAATGTAGACAGAGCAAGGGTCACGGCGCAAGCTACACGGGCCTGGGTATCTCGGATGGGAGTGGAGAAGTTGCCGATGTTGACGGGGACTGTATCATGCCAGCGACCGGGCCGACTGCAACGTAGATGTACTGACGATGACGATCAGGGATGAATCGCTCGCAGGGGTCGAATTGAGGCTAATACCGATGTGCAATGTGGTTGCGAACGTCGGTACTTGCGAACTTTGCAGGCTGTCTTCCGGATGTCCGCGTGATCAATTGAAACGATGACGACCGAGCCGAGACGGACAGGTGTCAAAGATGTCGTGCGTGCAGGAACGCCAAGCAGCAACGTCGAAATGCGGCACGCTGCGTGCTCTGTTGGGGGTTTTGTAAAAAAAGCGGGTTTTGCAAATGTCGGTGGTGGAGGTGGGCTGTGCGGGCAAGAGCGATTGGAGATATGCAAGCAGGACGCGGCGCGGAGACAGATGCGAAGAGAGACGATGGGTAAAGACGATAGCAGAGGGCGGATGATGGAGGCGAGAGAGATGATGTAGGGGGAGTATGCTGCGGAAGGAGGCGGATGGAAGGGCAAGGGGATGGATGGTGGTAGAGCGGCACGTCGGGCACGAGAGCGAGGGCAGACTAGATCGGGAACGGCAGCGGACAGAAGGGGGGAGGGCAGAACTGGATGGATGGAGGGGAACGGGGGATGGGGTGCAACTCTGTTCAAGACCCGGGAGACCTGGTAAAAACACAGTTGCGGGCGGGCGGGCGGGCGTGCGCGATGGATGGATGGATGGATGGATGCATCTCGACGAGGCGAGGGGCAGGAGGAGGCAGGGCGCGGGGCAGAGCGAGCAGTCTGGATTTGGCGTAGCGGCGGCGCGTTCGTGTAGAGAGGCGGGTCCTGGCCCAGGTTGGAGGGCATTGAGAGCGCGCGACCCTGAGTCAAGCCAATCTAAAACCTGGGCCCATTGTGCCGTCCTCGATGGGCGGCGCGTCAGCAGAGGACACGAGGCTGAAATGCGGACGATGAAGGGAGAAGCGGAGGCGTGGATGGGTGCAGGTTGCAGGCACCGAGGCGGTGGAGGCGCTGGAGCAGTGTCGGCGCGTCGTCGAGGCGGCGGCAAGATTGATTGCTTGGACCGAGGCACCCTGGCAGTCTGCATCCGACTGACAGCTGACACCCGACCCGACAGTCGCGGAGCGCGCTTCGTGGCTCGACGCGCGTCCTCAGGCTTAGCCTCGCGAGACCAGGCGGCAAGGGGCTGGCAGTGAGGCTCAAAGTGGAATTAAGCCCAATTCATGGCATAACGGCAGTGTTCCTGTCTTGGCATTTACGGGTCCTGTTCTGCTGCTTGACCATGCTCAGTCGAGTCGACACAGAAGCGAGCGCTGTCCGTCGCGTCTCGGGCGGGGACCCCGATTGTGCCTTCAAGCATCGACTGGCACGATAGCCGGGACGGAGCGTGAGAGTGGATGCGATAACGAAACGCACTTCATTGTGGCTTGCAGCCCATCTTGAGCCAAAATGAAGCCACGGGTGGGAGGTTGAAAGCTGCCATCTTCGCAAGCAGGCGTGCGTGCGTGCGTGCGTGCGCGACGCGCGTCTCCGTCGCGTTTAGTAGAATTCTTCAACAGCGGCGATTCGTCTCCCATCGGGGTGCCTGGATCGGCGACCTCGAATCAAGCCTGCCGGGCCCCTCAGATCCTCCGTCTTCGCAGTCGCAGTCTCTTTCAGTGCGTTTCGTACGTTGCCATCGAGTCATGCCAGCGTGTACGACAGATTCAGCATGCACTCTCAAAGGCTTGGATATGCGTGTTTTTTGGGCCGAGACTGATGCTTGGATATGGTACAGAAACAAGAGAAAGCAGGTCAAGGAGGCTCGATTTTGGGATGGACGTCCTTGCCACTCTTGCGTGAGCCAAGAGAGACCTTGATGGACGCGCGGTGCGGGGGGAGCGGATCTATGCACGGAGGATGGGCGACTGTGCCTGGGAGAGGAACTTGTGCATCTGGTCGAGCGAGATCTCTTCGCGGATCACGGTGGCCTTGATCTCGTTGTCTGGGTTGGCAGGCACGCTAACGGTGCCGTTGGCGAGCTTCCAGCCGGGCTGCGCGTTGACGAAGCTCTCCAGCTCGGAGCCCGAAAGGTTGAGGTAGCTGCCGATGCGCTTCTCGCTGATCGAGGTGAAGGAGCCCTTGACCGAGTTGAGCGCCACCTTGCGTGCCGCGTTCTCAAACTCGCTGATCTTGGCGGCGTACTCGCGCACGTCCGAGTACTCGGCGCTGTTGAGCATCGACCAGAACTCGCGGAAACGCGCCTGGAAGAGCAGCGTGCTGAGCTGCGAAAGGCGCACGATCAATGCGTCCGTGAGGTGGCCTGCCGAAGCAACGTCCTTGGGCTTCTCCACCACCGCATCCTCCTCGTCGCCCGCGAGCGAGCCGGCATCGTCACCAGCCGTCGCCTCCTTCTCTGCCTTGACGGGCACGGTGGACAATGGCGCCTCGCCGAGCAGAGACACGCACAGGTTGAAGTCTGGGAATGGCGCGGCCACGAGAGCCTTGAGCAGGATGTTGATCACAACGACATAGTTGAAGTCGGCAGGGTTGAACTGGTACCTGTTTTGTGCAAAGTCAAAACGTCGAGGGGATTGATTGGCGGTCAGTACGGTCGTCACTCGCTCGGCGTTTGACGTTCGCGGCGTCCGTAGCGTCGAAGTCCCTCTCGAAATGCAAAACCGTTTTGTGATAGCGCGCGGTGGTCCAAGCCAAATGCCACCGTTCGAATTGCGCCGAGTCGCTGCCGTGCAGGGGTCAGATAGAGCTAATATAGATGCACGTCATCGGGTGGCCGGGGCTTCACTCCCAGCCATCCAATCGCTTTGCATTTTGGTAATAAAAGGATCATCATTCGAGTCGAGGTCGCGGTCGCTGGTGGTGAAGACGAGGTGTGCGACTGTCTCTGGCGCACGGTACTGCTGTTGCCCTTTGTTTCGGGGTGGTCGGTGTGTTTGCATGCGAGAGGGTCGATTCGACGCTAAGCCGTCGGTGATACTCACAATTTGAGGATGGCGAGGTTGGCGAGCAAGTCGTACGAGCCATCGTCGAGCTGCTGGGCGAGGTAGTCGTGGAGCACGTCGAGGTTCTGCGGGTTGTATCGGTCGACGCCGGAGATGAGCTGCTCGATGTGCTCGGGGCGCGTGGATGGCGAGACCCACTGGGATGCGCTTGCGGATTCCGAAGCCATGATGGGATGTCGTATGTGCTGCCGGCGCTGGTGGAGATGCGATGGTAGAGTGGAAAGCAGATCAAAGGGTCGAATGGTCCAGCCAACTGCAACTTGGAAGCTTCTGCTCGCCGCAGAACGGCCCTCACTCAGCCTTGGAGCCAAAGCCAGCAGGCGAGCAAATTTGGAAGAAAAGCCAGAGAGCCCAGCACCGGCAGACGCACACACGCACCCTCGCAATTCAGCTCGGTCTATTCGCCCTTTGTACTTGCCAATTCAGAATCACGTGTAGATCGGAATTGAAGAGCTGCTCTGCCTCGTGGGGGCCCGATTTGCGAATCACAGCGAGACGCGATCTGCTGCGAGGCACAGATCCAATACCGAGCGAGTGTGGGCTGATTCGCAGGTTTGGGAGAGGCGAATCACAGTTTCGGGGGAGGCGCTGCAGAGATAGAGTTGCGTGCGCAGTGTTGCTCTCCAGATGTGCGCACTTCTTCGCACGCATCCGCTCGACCCTTCTTCTGTAACAACAAGCATTCGCTCATACTTTCGACCACCTTGCGAAGGCAGAGCAGCCAACATGTCGTCCACCACTGCCAGCACGACCACCACCACACAAACCGCTCAGGCCGGCTCCATCAGCCTCGACTCGTCGCTCGCCGGCTACGATGAGGAGCAGATCCGCCTCATGGAGGAGCGATGCATCGTGCTCGACAACGACGACAAGTACGTCCGCGACGGCAGCAAGAAGGAGTGCCACCTCATGACCAACATCAACAAGGGTCTCTTGCATCGCGCCTTCTCCGTCTTCCTCTTTGACCCCGAGTCCGGCAAGCTGCTCCTCCAGCGCAGGGCCACCGAGAAGATCACCTTCCCCAACATGTGGACCAACACGTGCTGCTCCCACCCGCTCGCCATCAAGGGCGAACTCGAAGAAGCAGAGCAGATCGGTACGTTTCTTCACCCTGCACACGTGCTTACTGCGAGCTACGGCAAAGTGCTGACGATTCGCGCATCTTGGCTTCGTGAAATGGGCAGGTGTTCGTCGCGCTGCTCAGCGCAAGCTCGACCACGAGTTGGGCATCCCGGCAGAGCAGGTGCCATTGGACGAATTCCAGTACCTCACGCGCATCCACTACCTCGCCGCCAACGGTCAGGACGACATCTGGGGCGAGCACGAGATCGACTACATCCTCTTCATCACCGCCAACGTCACGCTCCAGCCCAACCTCAACGAGGTGTGCGACACAAAGTGGGTCTCGCCCCAAGAGCTCAAGGTTCTCATGACCGAACTCGACCCCGCCTCCTTTACGCCCTGGTTCAAGCTGATCGTGCAGAAGTTCCTCTTCCCCTGGTGGACCGAGCTGCTGGCAAGGAGGCAAGCCGAGCAGCCACTCGATGCAAAGTCGCTCGCAGACCTCACAGACCACTCCATCCACCGCATGCTTTAGATCTCGGACCGATGGAACATTTGAACCGGTTGAATGCTTTTCCCGTCTGTGCAAGCCTGACCGCCCACTTCAGCTTCATTTCCGACTAGATTCCGTGGACAAAAGAGATTCTGGGATCGAAACTGCTCCATGCGTAGATGGGAGCGTGTTTTATTTTTGCATGGTTGGGTGGGCGTGTGTGGGATGGAAAGAAAGGGAATCAGATGCTAACCGATACAAGCATGTGAAGATGAAGGTTGTAGGTGTGGCGAAGAGAAGGAGATGGTACAAAGGAAAGACGACGCTGTTTAGGCCTCGGCCTTGACGACGGTGGCCTTGCCGGTGCAGTAGATACCGTCGAGGAACTTTCGGATATCCTTGTTGCGCACGAGCGTGGCACCGTGGAGGAGAGCGGCCGACTGCGAAACGAGGTCAATGTCGTTGCCCTCAACGAGCACCTGGTCCTTCTGCGCCTTGTCCTCCTGGATCGTGACACCCTCGAGCATCTGGATGTTGCGCACACGCTTCTCGCCCAGGAAGTTGCGGATCTCGGCCGACTTCTTGTCACCAGCAATGATGATGTTGATGGGGAAATGGGCGTAGACGGCGCGCATCTTGTACTGGAAGCCGACGGTGACACCCTTGATCATGTTGGCAACGCATGCCTGAGCGGTACGCAGGCAAGCGGCGTGCTTGCGGGCGGCGTGCCACACGATGAACTTGATCTTCTGGCCGGCGGGGCTCTTGATGATACGGGCATCAAGGTTCATGTGCTTGAGCGACTGTGGCGTGGAAAAGAGCAAGAGAGAATGTCAGCTTCGGAACGTCGGGCGATGTGAGGGGACGGGTTGCCTGGGTCGGAAGCTCGTTCGAAACAGCAGCAATAACAGCAACAGTAGAAGCGACGGTTGAAAGCGAAAGATGACCGAAGAGGATCTTTGCCTTGTCGAGGCATCCAGAGCTGTCGTCGCTACAATCAGCCATCCCGACTGAAAGACGCGACCAAGTCCAGATGCGCTTTCCCATCGCGCACCTTCCTGCTTCCTTCCATCTCCTCTTGTTGGATTGCCGAGTAGGGCCTGCTGTATCCTTTGGCTCTGGCCCTGCAAGTCGCCATCTGCGCAGGTGGAGAGGTCGATCGACACAAGTTGGCCAAGAGGCGGTCTGCTCTGATGCGATCGCTGCTGTGTCACCGTAATGTGTGCCTGACGGAAAAGGCAGCCTCTGCGCCGCCTGTCGTGCCTGTCCATCCTCTCCTGCATCCACCTCTTCATCCTGGTATCTGATGCTGTTCGTGCTGCTGCTGCTGCTGCTGCTGCTGCTGCTGCTTCTGCTGTGTCGAAAAGAGCTGTCCGGATAGTGCGGCTGGGAAGAAATGCTAACCTTGGTGAGAGTGCCGCGGGGACCCTTGACGGTGAAGACACGCGACGAAATGCTGACGGTGACGTCGGCGGGGACCGCGAGGTCGAGCTCCTTGAAGATCTGCAGCATCTTTGGATCTGCGGGCGGAGACGGAACAGGTTGGTGTGCGGGTCAGTACTGCTGATCCGGGAATGCATGCGATGCGGGCACAAACGGAGCGTGACGACGGTGGGGCGGAGCGACAACAAGCACGAGCGTGGGCGATGGGGTTGGACGATAGTGTGGCACGAGGCACGTCGATGCAACGATGCGGGCGATTTGCACGGACAGGATCATATGTTGTGTCGCCCTCTTTCCCGGCTCTTCGACGGGGTTGGCGTGGACTAGCATGCCCAGGATGAGAGTCGACGTGCATTCAAGGCATGTCTGCAATGGCCTGGTCGATGATTGGTGTCATCTGCCGTATGTGTCAAAACGACATCCTCCAATTGTGCATGCAGGCCAGGTCGGCGGTCGATCTATCTCCAACTGAGAAGCGGTCCTTCTCCGTGCGAAATGATGGACAGTACCTTTACCGAGTAATTGACTGGTCGATATGATTTGGCGAAGATATGGTGGTGCGAGTACGAGGTGTAGATATTCGAGGCCAAGCTGACCGGCCTTTTCTGATGCTGGGTGTGCGATGTCGGGGTCGATGGAAAACGCTCGTGCTGCGTGTGCTGTGTCGTCGCGTGCGAAGTGTCTCCGTTCGAAGTATGCTGATGCGTATACTAACCTTGAGGTGATGTGGGGTGTTGACGTAGGGTGAGGGTAAGGAGGACGTTCGGATGGCGACCAAGCTTCTTTCGCCGTCAGCACTGCCGCCCGCTGTTCGAACTGCACAAACAGGCTTGCAGGCCGCGATGTTCTCGGTCTCGCGCTCGCTTCCCACAGCACATAAGTCAATTCCAAGCTCTCACACCCAAGGCCCACCCCAGCCGGCACTCTGCCCTCAGTCCGTGTCCCTGGACTCGACAGCTCGCCGCTCCTCAGGGCTGAGGTTGCTGCTGCCTGGCGCGGTGCCGGTGTTCGCGGGTTGTCAGGCCTCGAGGTGGAAATTCGCAGTTCGACCGCTTCTGCAGAGGCTCTTCGCGGGTCATGTGATGCAAGCAAAGTTCGGCCGAGCTTTGAATTTTCGCAATTGATGCTCGAGAGACATCGACCTAACAAAGTCCAAGTGGGATTCGATCGGATCGTCGGCCCGATTCTGCCGCGATCGTAGGGGTGCATGAGTACCGGTGCAGTGGCGCAAGTCTGAAAGAGAGCACAAGACGGCCTTCCCCCGCACGGAGCATGCGGAGTCGAATCTGAAAGGTGTGCGCCGCATCGGTCATCTCACATCTCATCCTTCCCACCAAGGCCTGCTCCTCGGCCATCGCATCCTCCGCCCTTCGCATCCTTCATCGGTTCACGCAAAGCTACGGACCATTAAAGGCTCGACGTACGATTGCCACACGACACGAATCTCTGAATCTCTGGACCCGAAACGACACGAATCCGACCAGGGCAGGACCCTACTGGCACCCACGATGCCGTCCAATGTGCGCCCTCTGACGGGCAAAGGCAAACCGCAGCTGGCAGACACGCGCGTGCAGACCGCGGGGCGCATCCTCACCTACTTTTCGGCGGCTTACATTGCGATCACGTTCCTCTGCTCGCTTGCGCCCGCCGACCCATCCCGGGGCGTGTCGAGCAACGGGCCGCGGCGTGGCTACCACACTACACGCTCTGGGCGGTGCGATCCGTTCAGCATCCCAGGATGGGTGGACTGGTCGATCGGCACCAACGACCTGCCTGCCTGGCGCACATTCGATCCATCGTGCTCGACCACCAACCTGCTCGGTACGCTCATCTCGACGCTCAACATCCAGCACGAGGATCCGAGCAAGATCGCGCCGCATGCGGTGCACAAGCTCGCCACGACCAGCAGTGTGGAGGAGCTCGGGACGTTTTTGACCAACCGCACGGTGCTCATGATTGGTGATCATCAGGTGGACAAGGCGCTCGTCGAGCATCTGTGCGCGCTCACGGGACACACAATACAGGCGGTGGACAAGAACCATCCGTGGGGAGGAAGCATCAACGCGGTTCCGCCCAAGCACGGCTTTACGCCCGTCAAGAACAACGCGCCGCTGGCGCATTACTGCTACTTGCCGGAGTACGACTTTGTGGTGACGTCGATCTATGCGTATGGGGCGGATACTTTCGATTCGTGGCGGGGCGAGGAGCTTTACAATGCGCCTGGGTTGTTTGAGGATCGGGTGACGGATCTGTATGTGCCGTACATGCGGGATATGGCGTCACGGACACACACTTCGCCTGCACTGCCTCTGCCGCGCGCACGCGCCGAACCGGACCTGGTCATCTTCAACTCGGGGCTGTGGGATCTGGCGCGGTGGGCGCGATTTGACATCGACACGGGTGCTGGGTTGCTGGAGAATCTGTCCGAGGAACGCATCATGTGGTGGCGATCGCGCATGGTGGATATGCTCGGCAGCGTACGTCGCGCATGGCGCCGCCCGCGCATCGTATGGAGGGACACAGCCTATCCGCTCGCATCGGAAGCTAGCACTGTCGAGGCATTCCTTGGAATCGAGGGCGAGGTGCGTAAGAACCACCCGCTCTATCACGCCAATCGCATCGCCCAGATCAACAACGCCCAACACTCGGCGCTGGATGTCCATGGCGACGACGTGGTCAAGGGCGAAGTCTCGCGTGCAGCTCGAATGCCCGCCGACGTCGTGCCACTCAACTTCGCTCAGGTTCTGATGGGACAGGACCAGCATTCTCTCAACCCGCTGGCGCCAGGCCAGCTTCCCGGCGGCGCCCTGTTTGCCGAAATGCTCCTCTGGCATCTTAGAGACGCCGTCCTTCCTTAGCCCATATCCTCGGCTTTGCTCCAGATAATCTCAATATACCTCGGCCCTTTTTCCCGAACATCCTCGCTTCCTAACAGACTCGAAATGGGTGTGCAACCACACCAGAGGGCAGAGCTCGACGAGATTGACCGCAGATAGTTCTCAGAAGCGCGTCTGCCGCTGAGGGTTCCACAAGAGGCTGTTTGGAACTGTGGTGCGCGACGGTGGCGGGTCAAGGCATGCGACTGGTGGCAGACGGTTGCATGCGATCGGAACGAGTGTATCGACAATGCTCGGAAGCCAATGCGAATGATGGTGATGGATCGACCTACATGGTGCGAGTGAGTGAGATCCGAACACGAGGTACACGCTCCATACCCCTGAGTGGATGTACGCCATAGCCTCCAGAGCCGCGCGGCATTGATGAAGTGCGGATTGCACGCCGTTTGCAGGCGTGCATGCATGCTGGGGCCCCTATTACACGCACCGGGCGAAATGAAGTCGAAACCCACCAACAGAAGCTGGATATGAAATCTTATGAATGCACAGCTCAACTTCTCCCAATGCATCGCTATCTATCGTTCGATCATGGTTCCATTACTGGCCAACAGACTATGCTACAGATCTACATGTCTTCCTCGTGATCGTGCGATCCCAATACCGCACACATGCATTCTTTAAGATGACATCTACTTGTCGCCCTTGAGGTCGTACTCTGCCGTCTCGAGACCGCTCTGCTTGAGCTTCTGCCGGTCGTCTTCCGAGGCATACGTCCTGGGCTCGTGGATCTTTGTTCCGTCCTCGAGGATTCCGACCTTGCGAATGACGAGCCAGGCGGGCAGGATGCTGAGCGCCCACTGCGCCGTGTTCAGGCCGGCAACAGCGTCGAGGCGGAAGCTGGTGCTGTTGACGCCGTACGAGACGCACTGACCGGCGCTCTCGACACCGCGGACGATGGAGGCAAGACGAATGATCTCGGAAGGGTCGTCGGACAACTGCCCGATCAGGAAGTAGTTATACTCATACATCAAGTTGAAGCCGATCTGGAGGAAGATGTAGACGCCGAAGCCCTCTCCGTAACCAGAGGAAGTCCAGTCGAAGGTTGGCTTGGGCGTGGTGTTGTGATACTTGTTCATGATGTAGATAGCCCACGCCCACCAGCCGGCCTGGATCGCGTAGATGACGATGAACGACGACTTGGCGCGCTTGTTGACAGTGAACCTTCGCGAATCGAGGAAGAAGCCAAGAATGTAGTTGGCAATGCTGGCAGTGACGGCCGAGAGGAGCGATCCGAGCGCGCGCGACCTGACACTAAAGTACTTGACAGCGTAAGTTCCGATAAGTGCTTCAGACCAGGTCGATTGCCAGATGATGGGCAGAAGCAGCAGCACCTCGCGTCGGGTGATGAGCTTCCACATGAGCTTGAGCTCACGGCGGGTGGACGACTCGATGTGCAGATAGACGGGCGTCTTGTCGGTGCGCTGCACCTTGTGCGGTGGCGACAGGAGCAGGGCGACAAGAGGACCGATGCACTGGAGGACGACAAAGACGAGGTAGGTGTTGGTCGAGATGGATCCTGCTTCGCTGTCGTTGTAGTTGAGCGCCAAGTTGATGATGCCGCCGAGGAGCTGACCGAGCACACGGAACATGAGCCAATAGGCGATGTACTTGCCCTGCTTCAACCTCTCTGGGTAGCCGAGGGCAATGGCGCCCTCGACACTCCAGAAGGTGCCTGCGCTGATACCGCAAAGCGCGGCGCCGAGAATGATGAGCCACTGGGTCTGGTTGACGCTGTTGAGGTAGAGGCCCGCCGCGTAAGGCGCATAACCCATGGTGCCAAAAGCGAGTGCAAAGCGCACGGACGTCTTGCCGATGAGCGAAGACGTGAAGAGCCTGGTGACGACCATGAGGGCAAAGGTGAGCGAGTTGGCGGCGTTGACGGTGCTGGGGTCCTGGGAGCCTCCTGCGCCAAGTGCGGCCATGGCACCCCAAATACCGGGAGCAAGGAAGGAGCATCCACCGAGGACGGTGATCTGGAAGAAGGTCGATCGGAACCATGAGGGGTTCTGACCATCCCACACGGGGCGTGCCTCGGGCTTGGGGTCGCGCAGACCAATCAACTCGAGGAAAGTCTGCTTGGTGCCACTCTGCTCCGCAGCAGCGGGAGGGGCAGCATGGTCCGAGACGCTGGTGAGCGACTTTTGGTCCGGGTTGGAGCTGGCATCGTCGGTGACGACGCGGTCGACCGAAGCGGGCTTGGCCGACATGATGGTGTTAGGGGGCGTAAATAATTTGAAGGAGGGAGGTCGGTGGGGGGTGAAGATGGTCAAAGATGAGAATGGCCAGCTTTATGTAGGCATCAAAGAGCTCGCTTGCCGCAAGGGGAAGGGGACAAGAAAGCTCGGCTAGGAGATTCAGGGCAGAGAAACCTCGTGGACCAAAAAGATCCGAGACTAGCGGCGGGCGCTAGTGCACGTGGAAGAGCAGCTGAGGGTGGATGGTGGATGGCGGACAAGGCAGGGGTTGCGATGGAGAGGGGCAGATGGCGAAAGCGAGCGCAAGCCACGCGAGGTGGGCCTGAGACCAGAGTGCTCAAAAGCCAGTCCGATGTAGCCGAGCAGCATCTCGCGAGCATCATGCCCTCGATGCTCACCTATCGCAACACAGCCGGCTTTGCCCGCCTCCTAGACAGCAGCATCGTGACTCACACTTCCCCATGGCACCATCACATGATCTATGGTGTACATTGCTACGAAACAATGGGTGGCGACGACAACGGGTGTGTGCCTGGCAGGGGGAGTTGGATGCACAATGTGACAGTGCCCGCCCAATTGGAGCGGTGGAATTTTATTCAAACCACGCCGGCTGAACTTGTCTACGCCATCTGTGCATTTGGCGCGTGCTGTTTGCGAAGCTGCCAAGTTGACCGGCGATCAGGTCTTCCAAAGGGCCGAGGGGGCCGAGCTCCGACTCTTTGTTCCAGCTGGAGCCATGTCGGAGCTTCGCCAAGGCGGGCTGCGGTGCTTCATTTGGCAGATGTCGGGATGTGTGCGTCGAATGGCGGGATTGCGGATCCACCGATCTGTTGGCTTCGATTCGAGCCGCGCGTGGGGAGCCAACGTGAAAATGCGGGGACCGGCGCTGCGATTGGGCAGTTGGGCAGTGTCAACGCGGGAAGCACGTCAGATGCAGGCGGATGATGAAATCCGCGCTTGGCCCCACCCAAAATGCGCAAACGCGCAAGATGCAGGGTCCAGCGCGAAAATGCAAAAAATGTTAGCACAATCATCCCAACAATGTCATTCGCTGCGATTCCGGTTGTTGCGGACGGATGACTCGCCGGCATCAGACGATCAAGCACGGACCGTCCTAGCCGACTCTCTCCGCCGTATCTTGCCAGATCTTCTTCCGCCTCATCCGACCATACCACCACAGCTGATCCCCGCTCAACACCACCAAGACAGCCATTGCGATACCGGTGCTGAACGCGCATGAAGCTCTTGTCGACCCTGCCGCAGCGCATCCCCACCTTCGCCCTTCCCCGCGCCTCCACATCGCTCGCAGGCGCTTGTCGCTCCACCATGTCCGCCGCCTCTCCCTCCACCGGCGGTGCCACGCGCTGGGCCACTCAGCGCGCCGAGCGCATCCATGCCGAGCTCAACGCAGGCGTCGATGTATGGACTCTCTTCAATCCCGTCGTCTTCCCCACCGCCATCAATCTCGGCCAGGGCTTCATGAATTGGCAGCCGCCATCGTACATCCTCGATGCCATCACCACCGAGTTCGCCAACCGTGTCGATCTGCATCACTACTCGCATCCCAAGGGGCGTCCTCGTCTGCGTCAGGCCATCAGCGACTTTTACTCGCCCGAGTTCCACCTCCCCTCGGGAGCTAGCGAAGGCGACCGCATTCGGCCGGGCAGACAGCGTGCTGCCGGATCGCGCAAGCTCGACGTCGAGACCGAGGTGCAGGTGACGAGCGGCGCCAACGGGGGTATCTACTCGGTCATGGGCGCTTTCATCAATGACGGCGATGGCGTGGTGTGCATCGAGCCGTTTTTCGATCAGTACAATGCAGAGATCCTCTTCCACGGCGGCGTGCCGCTCTACGTGCCCCTCCTCCCGCCCACGGATGCGAAAGACGCACACATCGATTCGAACGAATGGACGCTCGACATGGCGCACCTCGAGAGCGTTCTTGCAAAGCCATCAACAAAGGCTCTCATCCTCAATACGCCGCACAATCCGGTGGGCAAGGTGTTTTCGAGCGAGGAGTTGGGAAAGATCGCCGAGCTTTGTGTCAAGCACGATATCCTTGTGGTTGCCGACGAGGTGTACGACTGCCTTACGTTTGACAATCACAAGCACGTGCGACTGGCGAGTTTCGAGGGCATGTGGGATCGCACCATTACGGTGGGTTCGGCGGGCAAGTCGTTTGCGTGTACGGGATGGCGCGTGGGGTGGTTGGTGGGACCGGATCATTTGATCGCGCCGGCACGCGCCGTGCATACGCGCATCACGTTTGCCGTCAACTCGTCCGCCCAGGAAGGCGCAGCCATCGGTCTGGAAGCCGCCAACAAGCACGACTTTTTCAACACCCAGATCAATCAATACGCCGAGAGGAGAAAAGTCCTCCAAACTGCGCTGGACGACATTGGTTTGCCATACACCGTCCCACATGGAGGCTACTTTGTCATGGCCGACGTATCCAAGCTCAAGATCCCAGGTGACTGGGTCGAGAAGAACGACGTGCCAAAAGCAATTCTCGCCAAGCACGACGATTATTTAAAGGCGTGGTTCATCGCAAAGACGTGCGACGTGGTCGTCATCCCCGCAACCGCGTTTTATGCAGACAAAGGCGCTGGAAAGGTGGGCAAGAACTACGTCAGGTTCAGCTTCTGCAAGGACGACCAGATCCAACAAGCCGCCCCGCGCCTCCGCAACCTCATCCCCTTTCTCCAGTCCTAGTTTTCCCCCCAACCCCCCAGGTGGGTACAGCATAACCTAATCACAATCCCGTACAAGTCAAAGATGCAGATGTCCCCGGGGAGAAAAAAGAGACTGTTTCAAATGAGTGTGTCATGCTTTCCATACCGGTGCCTCGGTGGCGGGCGCGTCGGCGGTGGGGCGCGGGTGGGGCGCTCGAGTGTCCGGCTCGTGCACCGCACGACGATCGATCCAGCTGCCCAGATCGAGGCTCCTCCATCCGAGTGCGTTGCGCACGTTGGTGCGCGTGCGCGCAGCCGCAAATGGGTTCGGATCCCTGTACCGCGGTCGGGCGATCTTGATCTTGACGAGCGCGGCGCGCAACCCACCGCGGCGGCGTGGGCGGTCCGCCGCGCCGTACGTCGAGGCAGCGTCGTCATCGCCCGCAGGGTCGAGTTCGAGCTGCTTGTGTTCGCCGTAGTCGCGAGCGGTGTTGATGCGGATCTGCTCGACCGTGGAGCGGTTGCGCAGCACGAGGCGCACGTGGTAGCTCCACAGCACCACCAGCGGTGTTGCCGCCGCAAGGCTCAGCACGAACAGCACCGCCGACACAGGCGACTCCCCCAGCGCCTGCCGGAACGAGTATCCCTCCGCAGCCCCTCCGCGCGGATACCGATACGTGGTGGGCTTGGTCATCAACACCAACCTCGCCGCCGTAAACGCCACCACATAGAGCGCGGCGACGATCGAGGCGGAGAGGAACACGAGGAAGGGCACGTAGTTGCGTCGGCCAATGCACGTGTTGAGGTAGGTGCAGTGGTGGTCGATGTTCTCGACGCAGTTGTCGCACACTCGGCAGTGGCTGCTGCGTGGCGGACGGTAGGTGCCGCACGTCTCGCACCACTTGACCTGCACCGTCTGGCCGCGGATGCGCAGCACGCGCTGCACGGGCACCGCCAGCGGATCCTCCGGGTCCGCCAACGCCTGCCGCCCCGGCTCGTACGACGTATCGCCCAGCACGCACGGCGGGTCCGCATCCAGCCCGCGGGGGATTATCCCCGGATCCTTCCACGCCGTCACACCCATGTTGACCACCGCCAGCAGCCACACGTATGCAAACACCGCCACCACCGCCGGGCTCAGGTTGGCCGATAGCCACTTGGCTTCGAAGCCAAAGAACAGGCCGCCCAGCACCAGCAGCAGCAGGTACGACGCGATGAACGGCAGCGGATTGTCGCTCGAGGTCATCAGTAGGCCGCCCAGCAGGAACCGGTTCCCGCCCTTGTGCTGGCGGTAGTTGCGCATGCCTCGCTTTGCGCCCTTGGCCTGCGCACCCACCGCATCGGGCTCCGCCTTTGCGCCTCCATTTGGTAGCGCTGTCGCCGTGGCAGTCGTCTTGGAAGCAGCAGCGCCGCCGTTGCGCAGACTCGCGCGCTGGTCGGGCATGTCCGGCGAGCCGGCTTGCGCAGTTTCGCGGGCAGCCGTCGCATCGGAAGTGCCCAGACCCAGCCCGGATGCGGGGGTCGCGTGCGGGAGGGCGCGTGCGGGCAAGAGCGGGTCGGTGCTGGCCATCATGCGCACGACCGAGTGCGGCGACGCCTGCCCGGCCGCATGTCCGAACGCATCGTGTGCGCCGAGCGGGGTGGCGGGCGCGGTTGCGGGGTCGAGCGCATCATTGCGGTCCGTCGCTGCTGAGCCTATCGCCGGTGCGTGCTGCACCGAGGAGCTGGCGGAATGCACGGAAGCAGCGACGCCCCAGGGGCTGGGCGAGCGTGCGTGGTGGTGGAACCCCGTCGGGGAGGTGGCGCGGTATCCGAGCACCTCCTGTGCAGCCAGGCCGTCGACGCTGTCGGCATTCGCACTGTGCACGGGCGCCGCGGCCGGTGCCGGAGTGGTGGATCGGAACGAAAGCGGAGTGGTGCTGCGCGCTGCGTTGGTCGCTGTCGACTCGAGCAGGTTGCCGGTCGAGTTGCGTGCCGAGGGTTTCTTGGGCGCAAAGAATGCCGCTGGCGGCAGGATGGAGCCTCGGTCTCTGCCGTCGCGCTTGATGAACGAGCCGCCGTCCTGGTCGTAGCGGCGAAGGGCGAGCGAGCTCCCCGAGCGCGATGCCGGACGCGGTGCGGGCGCGTCGTCGTCTTCGTCCTCGGTGCGAAAGCCATGCGGAGTGGAGGCGCGGCTGATGTTGCGTGCGAGCTGGTCGATCTCGACCGAGTGGCGGCGGTTGGAGAACGACGATCGACTGGCTGCGGCGGCCGCTGCGTCGCGGAGACGGTTGTGCGGCTCGTCATGGCCTGCTGCGCTGATGCTGCTTCTGCGCGACAGCGAAGACAAGGGCCTGGACATCTCTACGGAGGTTCGTTTGGAGGAGCGCCTGCGCGCGAGACCGGGCGCGCCTAACGACGGCGAGGCAGGCGTATCTACGGTAGTCTCGAGCTCGTCTTCGCTCGCAGCGAGGGAGCGACGCTTTGCGAGCATAGCGTCTGCGGCCCGGAAGCTGGCGGCCGAGCGTGGCCGAGTGGGTTCGAAGGGGGATGCGGTGCGGGAGCGAGCGGTGCGGCTGGCGGCACGCTGGCTGCGCACCTCGAGGTCGCTGTCGAGGTCGAAGGACTCGCGTGCATCGTCAAAGGCGAGCGATGCGTCGGTGTCCTGGTAGAGGCTCGCCTGTGCGCTCTGGAAGGAGGAGCGGCGCGTGGGTGCCTCGGTGTAGTTGGAGAGGCGCGAGGACGAGTTGAGCGTGCGCGACGAGGGGAAGTTGGTGGTGTCGCGCAGCGTCGTGTCGGCTGGAGGCGTCGCAGCATCGTCGGCGTCCGGATACGACATGTTGGGGTGCCGTTGGCGATGGCGCGCTGCCAAAGGTGGGTTGAGGCCGATGTGGCGGATGCAGCAAGAGGCAGCGTTTGGGATGAGGTTGATGACAGCTTGCGAAGCGCAGAGGCCCAATGCACGCCCATGCGACTCAAGCACGGCTCTGGCAGGCGCAGGCAAAAGCGCACGCTCGCACGCCCGGACATGCCGATCCAGCGTCCCAACGCAGGAAAAAGAGAAGTGTTGGTCTCTGCTTTTTCGACTTCATAAAGCGGATCTTCCGGTTTTCGTGGCTCGAGCCTGGGACCGCACCGTAATTTAGAAGAGCAACACTACTTTGTCGGGCGGTCATGCCTTGGTGCACGTCCGTTCGGATGGACCGTCTGCAAAGCTCATCTCAGCGGCCGTCCGGCTTGTCTAGAGGGCATGTGGGCCGTGCTTGGCGACAGGAGAGTGGATTCGCGTTGAATGGGCGGCCCCATGCCGACTCGAGGTTCCCACGAAGCCTTCCGGGTTGGACCCTGTGCTGACGGAGGTGCATGACGAAAAAATCGTCCATCACACCGACCACCACGATCCTTCGGTGGAATTCATCCCATTCCCACGACCCGATTGTGGCTGGCAAGAGCCAGGCGGCAGTCCACACCATGCATCCTCGAGCATGATGCTCCTTCGCAAGACTCGGCCCATTAGCTCCGCGCGCGCTTGGCTTGCGCATTCACGCGTACGCTTGGCACACCCCACCGCTTCCTCTGCATACTCTTCCGCATCCGCCTGCACCGGCCGTGATGTCCCGCCAACGGCGCCGTACGATGTGCTCTTCTGCGGCACGGACGCCTTCGCTTCCGCATCACTCGCAGCGCTCATCTCGCACCGCGAGCTGTGTTCGTCGCTTCACGTCCTGACACCCGCTGATGTTGGGCAAAAGTGGGGCGCACGCCGCATGCGCGTATCTCCCGTCAAGCAGCTGGCGCTCGAGCACTCGCTGCCCCACCAGCAAGTGCCCTCCGCCGAGGACGGCGGTATGGATGCCTATACGCTCCCTGCCGAGCTGCCGCTATCTAGCTCATCGATCCTGCTTACCTGTTCGTTCGGCCACTTGATACCCGATGCGCTGCTCGACGCATTCCCACAGCCGTGGCAGAGGATCAACATCCATCCGTCGCTGCTGCCGCAGCTGCGAGGTGCAGCGCCGATTCAGTGGGCCCTTGCGCGGCGGCTCACGCGCTCGGGCGTATCGATCCAGACGCTCGAAAAGGGCAAGTTCGATACGGGGCGCATCATCGCCCAGACGCACTTCGACTTCCCACCCCTCAGGGACGCGGGGTTCTTGGAGGTGCAGGATGCGATGGCCGAAAGAGCCGCAAGACTGCTCGTGCAGACGCTGTCGGATCTCCCGACCCACTGGAAACACAGCTGGCAGCAGGATGAGGCGCAAAAGTCGCTCGCGCCCAAACTCCAATCCACCCACAGCGTCGTCCGGTGGTCCAGGATGCAGGCGGCGGACATTGTCGCCCGAAACAACGCCTTTTCATACCTCGTAAGTCTCGCCCACTCCTTCTCGCTTTCTCAGCGTACTGACCTCTTGCTCTGGGGGATATAGTATCCGTTGAGTACGACGCTGCATCCGGCCGCGGAGGGTACATCGTTCCGCCCTGTTGAGGTGACGCTTTCGGACGTTGCCGCAATTGCACAGGCAGATCTCGAGACCATCGACCCCACAGCTGCACGGGCGATGCACGATTCAGCCACTTTGCCAGGGTGCGCGCTCGTCTCGCCAGCACTGTCGGCGCTGGTGGTGAAAACAACACCCTCGAATCCGCCACACCACCTGCTCGTACGCACGCTCAAGACAGCAGGAAAAAAGTCCAAACCCGCACAAGAGTGGTATGCCGCCTACCACGATCGTGCACACCCCACCACACGCATGCTCACCTTCACCTAGCACGCCCTCCCCCAACCACCGCAATGTACGTCTATGCTGTGGTATTGCTCGATGCGGATCAAGGTTAGATGGATTTTTTGGGTTCTGTGCGGGTGGAGGCGTATTGGGCGGGGGTGAAGGGCCAGTGTGGTTGGACCGCGAGGTGGTGAGAGTGCAACGCTCGGGCGTGGGCAGCAATGAGGGTGTCGAGCGCGCCAGTGTCGGCGATTGAGACGAGGCTGTGCAAAGCATCGCGCGCCTGATTGCGTGCAGCCAGCAACGCGGCCAGCAGCTGTGAATTGGAGAGCGACGGTCGTTTGCGCGGCGCAAAGGCACGGTCAACGTAGAACTGGATGCTGGGCTTGTCGCTCAGCTGTGCGCACACGCGCGTAATCGCCTCCTGAACCATCGCATCGCTAGACAAGCTCGATGCAGCCGACTCGATCCACCCCTCCTTGTTTGCCGCCGCTGGTGGGGTCTCGCTGGGCGGTGTGGAGGTCATCGTCTGTGTGGCAGTGATGTTGGCCTGGACAGCGTCGACCACTTGGTACTCGTGTTCGTGTTCGGCCTCTGCGCCATCACCCACCCAGCGCGCCGCATGCTCTCGCGCAAACACGTCAAACTCCCACACGCGCTCCTCGAGCTTCTCCCGCCCCGCACTCCATGCATACACCTCGACATCCTCCACCACCTCACCCCCCGCTCGCACCTCGTCCATCCTTGCGCTCGTGAGGCTGGATAGGACGGCGTGGAGAGGTGCGGTGCCGGCGTTGGCGATGCGCGTCTCGTTGCACTCGACGCGTGCGGACGGGTCGGGGACAACGCCGACGCGCACACGCACGTACTCGTCGCCCTCAAATGCGTCGAGGCACTGCACATCGGCATCGGTCAGCCCAGTGACGAGCGTGCCCTTGACCATGCCTGTAGGTGTGCGCACCAGGCCAGGGTACTCTTCGCCCCGCACGTGGTAGAGCGTGGCACCGTCCAGCACGGCATTCTGCACGCGCACGTGCGCGCCCGCACTCCCGATCACGCGCGCCAAGATGCGCGGATGCACAAGCGTGCCGTAAAAGAACATGCTCCGCTCGTTCCTGCACGCGGGCTTGGTGGGAGCAGTCGACGGGTTGGCTCGCCACAAGCGCCATCCGAGACGCAGCTGCTTGACCAATCCGTACGCCGTGTCGATGTTGCTGCGATTCAGATCGTGCAGCCACCACACCGCTGCGATTCCCACCAGCAGACCCGGGGGTGTCCAGCGCGTCCACTGCATCGTCTTGACCACCAGCGCAGCATACAGGCTCGAGGTGAATACAAAGCCAACGAGCGTCTTGACGCTCGACAGACTCTCTTCCTCGCGTCGAGCAAAGTGGTGCGCCACCGCCCGCGGAGCCAGGTACATCGGCACGAGCGTAGGTCCGAATACGGGTACGTACAGCAGCAGGCGCACCGCCATAGCCCGAACGGTGGAACACAGCCCGTTACCCCAGCCGGCGGGAGAGCGTCGCAGCACCCGCGCAAGCGTGAGGTTGTCCACATCGCACAGATGCAGCATGCACGCATACACGAACAGCGCACGCCGCGCCGCTGTGCTCGTCTCGTCCCCCTGCGTGAGCAGCCCCATCAACTCGCGCGACACCTCGACATGCTCGTCCATCCCCACGCGCAGCGCGCTGAGCGTTTCCGGTTCGAGCTCGAACACGAGCTCGCGCGCCGCGCGCGTGGCCTGGAACGTCTCCCAATCCGGCGCATTGAACGTGAGTGCCTCGATGGCTCGCTGCAGATCCGCCGTCAGCCGTGCCACCGCACGGTGCGCCGGGCTCGCATAGCTCTCTACGCCCGCCGGGCCCGTGCTGGTATTGGTCCGCGTCATGCTTTCCGGTGTTGCAGGTACGGTTCCGTCCTCCTTGACGCGCGGTACGCTGCCCTTTGCAGGCTCGTCGGAAGGCGAAGGAGCCGAGAGGAACTCGTCGATGTACGCATCGAGCCGAATCGGCTTGCCAAAGCGCAGCAACGCGCGCGATCGAAACCTGCTCTTGTCGTCAAACACCACCGCCGTCGGCAGGATCTCCACCTGCGTATTCTGCTTGCCCCCATCCGACTCGAGCTGCAAATACCGCGCGTACTCAAGCGCCGCCCATGCCGCACCCATCTTGAGGTCCGCCACGTACGGAATCGTGTAACTACCCCCCTCGGGGAACAGCGCAATGGCGCCTCCGGCCTTCATCGCGCGAAAGGTCCCCTGGAAGAGGGCTTGGTTGTTCTTGTTGCGTCTGTCGACCTTGATGTTTCCGGAGGATGTGAGGATCCAGCGGGTGATGGGGTTCTTGAAGAACCCGGCTTTGGCCCAGAAGTGCAGCGGACGCCGGTGCGGAAAGTGCGAAGCCAGCACGGCGACGTCGATGATCGTGTTGCTGTGGTTGGCGCATACGATGAGCGGCGTTGTAGGCGCGGGCACGAGCGAGGCGTTGGAGACGTGGATCGACGAGAAGAAGACGGGAAGCGACATGTCGCCGATCGAACGCATGATGGTCCACCACGCGCCAAAGCGCGGCGCCGCATCTTGGCGACCCGACCCCGACGCGGAAGCTGTCGCAGACGCCCGTGCCGATTTCGGCGCAACGGAAGCGGAAGTGTCGGCCATACTTGATCTGCACCCCTCCTCCGAGGTTGGTTTGAGCTAAAGAGATGGTGGAGGTGGGATGGAAGGATGGCTGCTTATCATCGCCGGTTCTTCCGGCTCGAAATCACCAATGCCGCCGGAAAATCAGCCCACCTTTCGACCGCAACTCGGTCGGCGAACCCTTGCCGATCCGATCTGCTGCCCGTGAGCCTCACACACCCAGCTCTGCACCACACCCGCATTGCACAGACCCACATTTCTTCCTCCACATCCACACTCTCACACACATCCACACGGCAATGTGCACAACTTATGACATCGTTATCCTAAGCTTTTTTTAGATAGGGACACCCGCCAACTAGGCCTTCTGATCCGCCTGCACCTCGTCGAGCAGACTCTGCCTGAGCACGTCGGCGGTCCTCCAGACGTCGGTGAACGTCGAGAACTGCGCGAGCGGCGCCAACCTGAGCATGTCGGGCGCACGGATGTCGGCGACGAGGCCGCGCTGCTTCTCGGCGCGCCTGTGCGCCCTGGCGATGAGCCGCTTGCCGTCGATGGGCGGAGGCACCTCCTTGCCGCTCGACTTTGCGCTCTGCGCCTGCTCGCGCTGCGCCTTCTCCTCGGCCTCGCGCTTGGCGACCGCGGCGGGCGGGTCGGGGATCTGGATGCACAGCTGAGAGCCGCGCTGCAGCGGATCGCGCGGCGTCACCACGCGGATGTCGAATCCGTCCGGGAAGAAGCCCGGCTCGAGCAGCAGCGCCTCGAGGTACGCTGTGAGCCTGAGGCTCTTGCTGCGCAGGATGGGCATGACGCTGCCCCTGCCCACCTTGCCTTGGCCGGCGCCCTCGTCGCGTGCGTTGCGCTCGCCGTACTCCGCCGCCTTGAGCAGCGTCTCGAGACTGCCCTTGAGCGCGGCCATGTCGAGCATGGACGGGTTCGACACCTGCCAGCCCTCGGCGCCGCGCGTCGGCACAAAGCGGTCCGGCATGGAGAAGCGCGTCTCCTTCTCGTGGCCCCACCAGCCCGCCTGGCGCGCGAGGTGGCGCTCGTGCCAGCGCTCGTGCACAAACAGACCGGCGATACCGCCCGGGCCCGAAGAGCCGTACTTGTACGTGCACCAGCACGCAAAGTCGATGCCCCAGTCGTGCAGCGCCAGCGGCACATTGGCAAAGGCGTGCGCCAGGTCCACACCAAACAGGATGCCGTACTCGTGCGCCTTGGCCGCGAGCTTCTCGAGCTCAAACAGCTGGCCGGTAAAGTACTGGATGCCGCCGATGAGCACGATGGCCGTCTCGCCCTCCTTGCCGCACTTTTCGATGGTGGCGAGGATGTCGGCCGTGTCGAGCGTCTTGGTGCCTTGCTTGGGCACGAGCGGCACGAGCGACGTGGCCGGGTCAAACCCGTTGAGTTCGACGACCGAGGCGAGCGCATACTGGTCCGAGGGGAACGCCTTCTGCTCAAAGATGATCTTGTGCCTGGTCTTGCGGCCCTGGCTCTTTGCGGCGGCAACGTCGCCGTTGAAGTCGACGCCAAACGGCATCGTGGCCGGGCGATAGAAGGAGGCGAGCAGCGAGTGGAGGTTGCCCGTGAGCGTGGCCATGACGACGACCTCCTGCTGCTTGGCACCGACGATGTTGGCGCAGAGCTCGCCGACGCGCTTCTCCATCTGGGTCCAGGGGGTGCCGTAGGGATGCTCAAAGTGGCCGAGCACCGCCTTGCGGCCCCAAGCGTCGATCTCCTGCTCGAGATAGCGCTTGGTGAGGCGCGAGAGCGGGCCGAGCGAGTTGCCGCACATGTAGAGCGACTCGGCGTCCGGCGCGGTGTCGGCCGAGGTGGATGGGTAGTCTGGGCTGCAGACGTCCTTGAAGGTGGGTAGGATGTAGCCGTCGCGCATGGGGCGCAGCGGGTCGGCGCTGTCGAGGTGCTCTGCGATGGCGCGGTCGGTGATCTTTGCGCCCGAGCCGATCTTGGCGGCGATGGACTCGAGCTCCTGGATAAAGACTTGGGTTTTGAACTCGTCGTTGGGCTGGCGGATGGGCGTGTGCTGCAGAGTGGCCTTGCCAGCGGGAGCGGTTGCTGAGGGTGCGCGGATGACAATGTCGGAGCTGGCCTCGGAGAGCACCTTGGAGAGCTGGTTAAACTTGGCGGCAAAGACGTGTGCAAAGTCGCCGGTCTCGTCGGTGGCGCAGGCGAGGTGCACCTTGTCTACCAGCTCGTCGCGGTCGGTGACGTATGCGGAGAGCGAGACGATGGCCTGGATGTACTGCTCGAGGGTGCGCAGGATGGCCTTTTCGATGGCCTGCTCCTCGGTGAGGTCGGCATCGCCGTCGTCGTTGGCGCTGGCGTTGCCGTTGCCGTTGAGGTGGTCGTCGGCATCGTCAGCATCGTGGTCGAACATCCGTGCCTCGAGGCCGGCGTCGACCTCGCCGTAGAGGCAGGCGGCGACGAGCTCGTCCTGGGACTCTTCGAGCTGCTTTCCGATTTCTTCAACCTCGTCGAGGTCGATGGTGGCGGCGGTGGCGGGTTGTGCCTTGACGAGCTGCTTGAGGATGTTTTCGTGAGCGAGGTTGCCGATCTTGACGAGGTTGGAGATCTGGCGGAGACGGTCCTTCTGCTGTGGGGAGAGCGGGGTGGCGGCGGGGAAGGCGAACTCGTCTGCGTCGTCTGCGGCGAGGTCGGCAGCGCGAGGGTCGTTTTCTGCGTCGATGCCCTGCTTGAGCTCGTCGAGGCCGTCGCGCATGAGTTCGATGCGGTTGTTCCAGGAGCGCTTGGAGGCCTCGAGGTTGGACTTGCTGAGGCCCTTTACGTGGACCTTTGTGCGGACGCCGTTGGGAGCGACCGAGGTGATGGTGCGTGGGGTGCCGTCGGCATTCCTCTCTCCGATGTACTTTGCACACGTCTCCCAGACGAGGTTGTTGGCGGCGAGCGTGCGCTTGCGCAGCTCTGCGGGGTCGCGCGGGCCGGAGGAGAGGGAGAGGTTGTCGAGCTTCTTGCCGACGCTGGCGAGGATGCCGTCGGCACGGTCGCGTGCGTTGGAAGCGGTTTCAAGCGCCTTGGATGCGCGGTCGTCGAGGAGCGAATGGAGGAGATCTGCGATGGAGCCGAGAACGTCTTCGACGGCGGAGCGGATCTCGCGTGCGAACGAGTTGCCGAGCGAGTACTCGATCTTCTTTTCGAGGTCGTTGCGCTCGGACGGCGGGATGCCGAGCTGGTCTGCGGACATGAGCTGACCGCCCATGTCTTTTGCGAGCTGTTCGAGCTTGCGCCTCTCCTCGAGCTGGGCTGGGTCGTTTTTGAGGTGGTTGGGACGGTGCTGGAAGACCTCGCGGTCCTTCCACGTCTTCTTTGCGAGGAAGACGATCTTGGGGAGGAGGTCGTTGCCGAGCGCTACGATCTGTGCCTGAGCCGCCTCGAGGGACTTTGCGTCGAGGCCAGAGACGGGAGAGACGGTGGCATGGGGTGCGGGGGGAGCGGCTTTGGCGCTAGGTTTGAGGGCAAGGGCGAGGTTGGTGGAGTGCTTCTGAACGAGGGTGAGGAGCTGGGAGAGATCCGAGACGATCTGTGCGGCGAGAGTGTGTGCGGCGGGTGGCTTGGACGACGATGAGGAGGCGGCGTCGTCGTCGTCAGCAGCGAGGATTGTGGGCTGGACGGGTTCGCGCAGCGACTGGATGGACGAGGCGCAGATGATGGCGATGCGGAGCAACGACGACTGGAGCTGCTTCTCGGCGGCGAGGTTGGCGGCAGTAGCGTCGTACTCGGACATGGTGGTGATGGACATGCCCTGTAGACGAGCCGGACAGGATGGTGGGAGCAAGCAAGGAGGTAGCGAAATGCGGTCAGCCAAAGCAACACTCTCAAATGCAGCCAAACGCGCCTCTCTGACGGAAAAGCCGAGCTGGAAAAAGTTGGATGAAGCAGGGTGCAGCGGCAGCGCGCGCGCGGCCACTCGCTTCGGAGCAGCCAATTCCGACAGCTATGCTCAGCTGCCGAGGCTGGCTGAGCCTTGAATGCCTTGTGACTTACTGCTAGAGTGTGACTTTTTTGAGCACCGTGAGAGTGGCTGGGTATTGTCTCTAGAGAGAGCTCGAGCTTTGTCGAAGACGAGGAGAAAGTGTGCGTTGACAGGCAAAGGGAGGAAGATGGGATGGATGCCGTTTGTCACTTTATGCGCTGAGGCCGGCGCTTGCAACGTAGTCTTGGGCATGTGCGCGGACTTGGTCCGAACGGCACTTTGTCTGAGCCCACTCGAATCTTTCTGCAAGCTTGCTGGAAGATGTGGCATGTCTTGCGACTTGGATGGGCCCGCAAAAGGCTCGTAAGCTGGGGCGAGATAGCGTATGCCGGGCTGACCACGGCTATTTCGGCGCATCTCTGCCTCCACGCCTCATCGTAAAGTTGCGCCGAGCTTTGCCCTCTCGTTCAGCTTCGGATATTTGCACAGGGCCACAACCTAACAATTACTATTTGATCGTGTGCATACACATCGGCGTAACATCGGTACGAAATCGCATCGGTCCTTCACGGCGGAGTCGGCGATGGCGATGCAGGCGGTGGCAGTGTGACGTTGGCGCACCAGCAGAAGCAGCAGCAGCAGCGCCACATGGCCGGCCGGCCTCCACTTTGGGCACCCTGGCGCACATTGGGCACTTTGCCACTGCAGCGCTCTCGGCAAGCTGCCGTCAGCGACCCTTGGCATCCAATCCAAGAGCTATAAGTGGCATCGCCGCTCCTTCACTTCTGCCCACCATCATCCACCGCCTCAGCTACACCGACTCAACAACGATGTCCACGCAAAAGACCACTCAACCTTCCGACGCGCCGCCGTCGTACGATCAAGTGAGCGGCCGCGCTGGCTCCTCCTCTACCGCTGCCGCTGCGGGTAGCAACACCACTGGATCGAGCAGCCTCGCCGTCCCTAGTCAGGATGCGGCCGCCACGCGCAAGTCGATGGAGGACATGCTGCGACCCTTGCCGCACGGCTGGATTCGACAGTGGGATCCCTCGACGCACCACAACTTTTTCGTCGACACGCTCGCCAAGCCGCCGCGCTCGATCTGGGTGCACCCCTTTGACGACGACCAGTTCCAGCGCGAGCATCCGGACGACATTCGCCGCGAGCACGAGCGCTACGAGCGAGAACAGATGGTTCATGCCGATACCGACGATGAGGACGAGCAGCCACGCAAGCACTCGCATGCTGCGGCTACGGGTTCGTCGGCATCCCAGCCAAAGGGGCTCAAGAAGTTCGGTCGCTCGCTCAAGGACAAGATGACCAACACTACGCACGAAGAGCGAGAGGCCAAGCGCAAGGCCCAGCGCGAGGCCGAACAGAGGGCCATGCAGCAGCACGCCATGATTCGTCAGGCCCTCGTGACTGCTACGCGCACGGGACAGCCCCAATTCATCGGCAAGGATCAACAGGGCAGAGAAATTTTTGCCCAACCTCCTCCTCCAGGTGCATTCGGTGGAGGCGCTACACTTGGTTACGGTCCCTACCAGACTGTCGGCGGCCCTTACGGAGCGTATGGTCCGTACGCTAGACCTATGGGCCCCTACAGCCGACCGTACGGCGGTACAGGTATGCCCATCCTAGGCGGTCTGGCTGGTGGCATGCTCCTGGGCGGTCTCCTCTTCTAATCCCCCTCCGACTCTTGTAAATACCTACCCTCACTCCCAAATGATACCTCGACATGCCTCGATCCAAAACACGTGTACTGCTTCATGCCAACTTGATTGCGGGTGCGCAGGTTGCGCGAGTCTAAACAAGCTTGTTTTCGAGTCGGCGCTCGTGCTTGAGGCTGGAGAGCAGCTGGATGGTCTTGTCGAGCGGCATGGTTTCCGCCTTGCCCTTCTGGTTGACGTCGTCGCGGTTGCGGATGTTGACGCTGCTCGTCTGCATCTCCTCGTGGCCCACAACGAAGACGAAATTGTACTGGGCGATTTCGCCGTTCCTCACCTTCTTGGGCAGCGTATTGTCGGACAGATCCACATCGGCGTAGAAGCCCTGATCCCACAGTTGCTGCTGCACCTTCTTGGCATAGTCGAACACGCTTGCCGTTACGGGAACCACGAGCACCTGACGCGGGCTGAGCCAGAATGGCCACTTGCCAGCAAAGTGCTCGGTAAGAATCGCAATGAAGCGCTCCAAGGAGCCGACGATGGCACGGTGGATCATCACCGGTCGCTCCGCCTGCGTCTCTCCTCCCTGCGATACGGCAGTACGATACTCGAGCTTAAACTGCTGCGGCAGCTGGAAGTCGAGCTGGATCGTCGCACACTGGTGGTGACGTCGCATGGCGTCCGAAATGGTAATGTCGATCTTGGGACCGTAGAACGCGCCATCGCCCGGGTTCAACTCCCACTTGCCCGGAACAAACTTGTCCAGCGCAGCCGCCAGCCTCGCCTCGGCCGCATCCCACGTCGCAACATCGCCCAGGAACTTGTCCGGACGCGTCGAGAGCTCGAGCTTGAACGTGAAGCCGAACAGGCCGTAGACGCGCTGGAGAAAGTCGAAGCATCCCGCCATCTCCTGTTCGATCTGGCTCGCCATGCAGAAGATGTGCGCATCGTCCTGGCAGAAGCGCCTGACACGCGTGAGACCGCTCAGCGCTCCGCTCGCCTCGTTGCGGTGGATCACGCCAAAATCAGCCAGACGCAGCGGCAGCTCCTTGTACGACCGATCGCGCGACGCAAACATAAGACAGTGTCCGGGACAGTTCATCGGCTTGAGCGCAAAAGTCTCCTTGTCCACGCCGAGCGCAAACATGTCGTCCTTGTAGTTCTGCCAGTGTCCCGACGTCTGCCACAGCTTCGAGTTGTACATGTTCGGCGTAATCACCTCGTCGAACCCGCGCCCGCGGTACTCGGACTTGATGTACTCCTGCAGCGTGTTGTAGATGCGTGCGCCGTGCGGCAGCCAGAAGCACGAGCCGGGCGAGAGCTCGTGGAACATGAAGAGCTCCTGCTCCTTGCCGATCTTGCGGTGGTCGCGCTTCGCCGCCTCGAGCAGGAACTGCTTGTACTCGCTCATCTGCTTGGCGTCCGGGAACGAGATGCCGTACAGCCGCTGCAGCGAGTCGTTGTTCTGGTCGCCCAGGAAGTACGACGCCGAGTTCTTGAGCACCGTCATCGCCTTGATGCGGCCCGTGTGCGGGATGTGCGGTCCGACGCACAGGTCGATCATCGGCCCGCAGCGGTAGACGGTGGTGGAGGTGCCGTCGGGGATCTTGGACTGGATAATGTGCTTCTTGTACTTGTTGTAGTGGAACATGTCGAGCAGCTGCTGCTTGCTCACCACGAGTCGCTCGAACTTCTGCTTCTCCTTGGTGGCGTTCTTGACGAGCGTCTCGAGCGCGCCAAAGTCGGCCTGCGAGATCATGCGGTCGCCCGAGTCGCCCATGGCCATCTCGTAGAAGAAGCCCTCCTCGGTCGGGGGGCCGATGCACAGGTGGCAGCCGTAGTGCTTCTCGCACGCCTCGCCGAGCACGTGCGCCGACGAGTGCCAGAAGACGCGCTTGCCCTCGGCCGACTCAAAGTCGAACAGCTCGAGCTTGCAGTCGGCCTCGAGCGGGCGCTCGAGGTCCCAGAGCGTGTCGTCGACCTTGGAGATGACGATGCGCTCCGAGAGCGACTTGGAGATGGCCTTTGCGATGTCCATGGGCGAGGTCTCGAACGAGGTGCCCTCGCGCTTCGATCCGTCGGGCATGGTGACGGTGATGGGCTGGCGCGGCTTGGCGGCCAACTCGGCGTCCTGCTCCGCCTTGAGCTTCTCGAACATGGCGATGCGGTGGTCAAAGTAGGCGGGCTTCGGGGTGAATTCGAGCGGCGCCTTGGGTCCGGCATCGGCGCCCTCCTTCTTGGCCTTGGGCTTCTTCTCGCCCTTTGGCTGCTGCTGCTGCTGTTGCTGCTTGGCCTGCTTGGCCTGCTGAGGCTGCTGAGGCTTGGCGTTCAGGTCGACATTCTGTGCGGCGTCGGTGAGGTTCTGGACCGGGTCAGCGGCCTGCGCCGACGAAGCGACGGGCTGAGGTGCAGACGACGACATGGCGATCGTTGATGGTGGTGGGTAGGAAGAGAGTCGTGTGCTGCTGCATTCACACTGTCGATTGGAAGGTCAGAGCGGCGCCAAATTTTCGAGTCAGATTTGGCGCAGCTTCGGGAGTCGATTTCTCATAAAGCGCTCTGCTGCCGCGTTTTTTCTCTTTTCGAGCTTCTGGCTGCGCTGTCGCTCTCCTTAGGTCGTCGCACGTGACTTCACTGGCGGCTGCATCCGCACCGACCAACACTTCTGTCTCTCTCTTTCAATCGCCTCAATCTGCCATTCTCCTCATCACTCCCCCTTCATTCTCAAAACAACAGACACGCGTCGCCCAGCATGTCGGCACCCACTCCGGCCACACAGCCGGTCAAGACCAAGTCCAAGGCGTACTCGTCCACCGTGGCCATCCAGGGCGACGCCGCCAAGTACCGTCTCAAGTACAAGGAGCTCAAGAAGAAGGTGCGCGAGATCGAGGTGGAGAACGACAAGCTGCATCTCAAGACGCTGCGCATCAAGCGCAACGTCCAGCGCATGCGGCTCGAGCGCGCCATCCTCTACGAGCGTCTCGAAGCCGAGTCGCAGGCCACACCCTCCATCGCGCCCTACCCTCCGCCGTCCGCGCAGTCGCACCACTACGATGCGCCGCACGAAGACGTGCGTCGCGACGACGCCTATCGCTCCCCCGCCGTGCGCGCTGAGCAACCGCCTGCCGCTCGTTCGCATGCCGACTATGCCTATCCGCCAGCATCGGGATCGAGCGCCTCGTACCGCGCGCCGTCGCACTCGACGGCTGCGCCAGCTAGACAGGCATACGCGGCGTACGATGATTATCCGCCACCACCACCGCGTTCGCACGCACATGCTCCTGCGCACCTGCACGCACGCACCTATGCTCCGCCTGCACAGACGTACGACCGTAACCACTCGCCACCGCCCCACGCACCCGCCTCTGCCGGCGACCGCGCAGAGCGGCTGAGGCAGTACACCGAATCCGCCTCGCCCGAACCCGCCCCCGGCCGCACAGACGCATCCATCGCAGACACACCCGCAGATGCACTGCCACCTTCCGGCTCGCGCTCCAGCATGAAGGTCACCCTGCGCAGAGGTGCGTAGCTCCTGCCTGCTCCGCTTTTGTACGTCTCTCGATCATCTCTGTATTTTAGCTTCTCGATAACCGCGCACACTCTTTGCGTCTGCATTTCTGCGTGCCTATGTAGTTGTGTTAGGAGCTAGACGGCCTGTCCTGTGGTGGACGTGGGAGAGCCGCATGTGCAGGTGGTGTGCGCATCGTCGTGCTGGGTGGCAAGCGTGTAGGTGGGACTGTGCGTGGCAATCCCAACGCCTGACCCAATGCACCCGTTGCTCTAGCCGGTGGTACGCTGGCGCCCTGTCTTGCAGTCGGAACACCCAGACTGCCCAGATTGCCCTGTCTTCCACCCAGTGCCATGCCCCTCGCGGGCGGCACTGTAGCCTGCCCCGCCACTGGCGCCGGATTGTCGGGCCACACGAGACCGACCTTGCCGAACGGCAGATGCTGCACCACCACCTTTTTGGCGAGACACTCGGCGGCGTACATCTTGAGCATCCCCGAATGCAGCTTGATCCAATTCGGCACGGACGAGGCGATATCGTGCAGCAGCGGGCTGTGTTCGTGGAACGGCCCGCGCTTCAGCACCTGGATCCGCAACAGCGAGCTCAGGTACAGGTTCGGCACCACCACCCCCTCGTCCCCACTCAGCAGCGAGGGGGGTAGCTCCAGCGCGCGCGATATGAGCGTCGCCGCATCACGCGCACTTCCAAGCTGGTCGTGTAGGATCGAGGTGTGTGCAGAGACAGTGTTGACGTGGCTCGGTCGGAGCGCGGATTGACTGCGCAGTTGGGCGGCACCGATCACGTAGGGGAGAAAGTGAAAGTCGTCGAGCCCCCATACGCCGTGGGAACCGGCCGGTTCCAGTCCATACCGATCCTGCAACCGCCACACCACCAGCAGGTACAGTGGGAACACCTCGAGGCCCAGCACCTCCTCGGTGCGCGGATCGGCCACATCGCCGCCAGTCGAGTCGGTGAAGACGCCGAGACGGTACAGCATGCTGAGCCAGATGAAGAACGCCAGCTCGTGGCCGCTGCCGTAGTCGATGCGCGTAAAGCTGCCGAATGCGTCGAGCAGATACGCGCCCAGCTCGGGCGCAAAGCCCGCCAGATGCGACGGCAGCAGCTCGTGGTGCAGCTGCTCGATGCGCTGCGTGAGCCGCGCTCCCCAGTCGCGGAAGGCCAGATTGCCAAACCGCTGCGGCTTGGCGTGCGGCTCGATCGAGTCCGTCCAGCTGTCGAGCTCGTACAGCAGCCGCACCAGCCTCTCCACCCCTCCCTCTTTTGCCGCGGTAGCAGCGGGTGGCGGGGGAAGGCGCGTGGGCTTGCCAACACACGCTTCGCAAATGCGCTGAACGAACAGCGTGTAGATCGCATACGCCTCCGATTGCTGCCAGATGTGCACGTCTTCTTCCGAGTGGATCTGCTTGATGGGTGGAGCGATGCGCGCGAGGGTGGCGGCATCGTGCGCGATCGCCGGCAGCGGGGGCAGCGACTGAGCTGTCAGTGTGGCTGTGGACGCTATCGATGCCGCGAGCCCGGGAGCAGACGACGACGCTTGCGCCCTTCGTAGGGCTGGAGTGATCATCGGCATGGTCGGTGGTGGTGTTGCGAGAAGAAAGAACGCGGCTTTAAGGGTCCACCTTGCAAGGCGCCGTGTGGAGGTTTTTCCTCCTCGCCACCAACGCATCCTCCTCATCCTCCTTCTCCCTATCAACGCCGCACACTCATGGAGCATCCACGCTGGACGAGCTCGCGCGTGGCTAATCGACGCGCCGCGCAGTCGTCCGCTCCTGGTTCCGCTTCCGCTTCCGCACCCGCACGGCCAGGTGCCACGTCCGCGCCGTCAACGAGCGGCACATCGCAGAGTCGATGGGCACCCTCCTCCTCCACTTCCACATGGCGGACACAACATCCCGCACCAGCATCCAGCGCCAACAACACCCGCACATCTGACACTACTGTGGGCTCATCTAGCTCGCGCTGGGCTAGTCCATCCGCTTCTTCGGACCACGACATGGCTGCGCTCACGGCGACACTCGGCAGCACATCGATGCGCGACTCTACTCGTCGGGATGGTCTCCATGTGCGCGACACCACTCGCCCTTTGGGAGGCAAGACTTTGGACCGGCTGGCGCTGCTAGCGTCTCCGTCGCGCGGCCTCGACTCGTGCGCGTCGATCTCGAGCGAGCTGGCGTCGCAGGGGAGTATGGACCTCACCTCTGCGTCTGTTCAGGCCGAACTGCGCGGGTACATCGGAGACCGACTCACCACACGCGTGCTGCCATTGCTATCTGCACACGCGCCGCCACTTTCGGTGCTGGATTCGACGACGTACCTCGGTGCAGCGCGAGCAAGCGCTGCGGAAAAGACGGCGGCGGATGAGGAGCTGGGACAACTCATGCTGCAGACGCGCAAGCTGCGCGAGGCGGTGGTGTCGAGTCAGCGGGTGGACGCTTTTGCAGTCGACGTGTACGAGCTCTCGACGTACATTGCGCTGCTGTGTGCGGATGGACCCCAGCTAACGGCTACCCTGCCACGACTTGTCGCAGAGCTGTATCCTCACGTCGAGCCGCACGACTGCCCTGGTAAAAGCGGTGTGCGCGAGCTGGCAACGAGGCTGGGATTGGAGATGTACGATGCAGCCGAGCGGCGGATGAGGATGTGCTCGGTGTATTTGCTCTATGTGCTGTGTCTGTCCGGCCGCGCGGTGCGGTTGGGACAGTACGCAAACGATGCAGCGGGGGGAACGCAGCATGGACTGCGCGAGTACAGGCTACTGCGCACAAAACTCCTAGCTCAATGTGCTGACTTGGAGCCGCACGTGCGATTCTGCGATCGGGTGTATACGGCATTGCGCGCGGCGGACCCGCTGCAGCTCGCAGCGATACTCCGCGGAAACGGGAACGATGCAGAGTACACGATGGATGGATGGCAGAGGTTGTTGGTGCTGCATGCTGTACCTGGCGTGCGTGCTGCGGCATGGCAAGTCGCCACCAAGGCGTACACGTACCTTCCCATCTCCCCAACCTTGGCGAGTTTGATAAGTCAAGACAGTATGCCACCAACTACCCCACGGACGGGATACGAGTCGTACCTCGCCTCCATCCTCCTCCTGCAGACTGACATTCTTCCTCCCGCTTCACCACCGTCCAGCGACACGCCGGACGACTGGGATACGGACACGCAACCTTCCCCCGCCGAAGAGGATGCTCGTGTCCATCGCTTCCTCACATCCCACATCCCCACGCTTGCATCACGTCTAACAACGATTCGCTCGGGCGCCGCGGTGAAGCTGCGCTAGTTATTCTGTACAAACGCCAAGCTCGCCGGGGCGCTCTCGGCCGGTTTGACCGATAGCTCGCTCATCGCCAGCTTGCCCGCCTTGACAACAAAGTGGCTTCGTCGCGTCTTGTCTGCTGCGCCGGTGAGGTGTTTGATGAGCTCGCGCTGCGGGTCCGAGATGAGCGTGTAGGGGAAGTTCTGCTTGGCCTTCCAGTTGGCCAGCGAAGTGGGCGAGTCGTTCGACAGGCCGTATACGGCGTACTTGGCTGCAACGAACTCGTCGTGTGTGTCGCGGAACAGCTTGCCCTGCGTAGTACAGCCCCCCGTGTTGGCCTTCGGATACCTGCTCACACCGCTTACAAAAGTCAGCAAGTTGATAGTAAACAGGGAGGGAGGCTAATACGCACGTAAAGATCACAGCGTCCGAAAGATCAGCTGTGCTGATGTCCTTGCCTTCGTCCGTCTTGAGAGTGAGTGCGGGCAGCGGGTCGCCGACTTTGAGCACGCCAGGGGACTTGGCTTTGGGCTTCTTCTCCCCGTCGGCGTCAGTGTCCGCTTTGCGCTTCGTCGCCGCTGGCTTGGCGGCTGGCTTGGGTGCAGCGGCAGCCGCAGCAGCAGGCTTACCCGCGTTGCGCGCACTACGTCGTGGTGCCTCACTCATCTTGACCGAAACAATGGATGGATGGAGGATGCAAGCAAAAGTCCGAACACCATCCATCCATGATTCTTCGAGTTTCCCCTCCACCAAGACTCTACTTTTGCGCAAACTGGTCCGTGCCACAAACCCCGGCTCCTTCTCAATTTCGCCCTTCGCTTTCTCATATTCCACAAGACTCGGCCGGGGCAATATCACGGCATGCGAACTGGGTATCATGCTCATTGCATCCGCGTCCGCCTTCTCCATACAGAATGACAGCTACGATGCGGTGCCTTTGGCCTTGTTGATGAGGTTGCGCACAAGACCGCGCTTTCCGCCAGAGGCGGGCTGCGATGCTGCACCGCCGCCAGCCACGTCCACTCGTCCCGCCGTTTCGTCGGTCGACCACCGGCTGTGGCCGTACGAGTCCGACGCGCCGCCCGACGCCTGACTCGGCGTCTGCGAGTGCGTCGACGACGAAGTGGCACTGCGCAGCATATTGAGACTCGGCCGTCGCAGCCCTTCCCACCGACTGCCAGCCTTGTCGCGGCCAAACTCCTCTTGCCCTTCGCCGCCGCCGCCGACGCTGCCACCGCGCCAGGATGACCAGGTGGCAGAATCCGGTGTCAGCATGCGCCTGTCCGACGTAACACGCTCTTCAAGCCCAAGGGAGCCGAGTTCGGCCAGCTCGCCCAGCTCACCCATGTTGATCGACTCTTTGCGCGGAGGCGGCACGGGCGGCGTCGAGCTCGCCGTGCTGCTTCCGGCGCTGTCGCTCAGCCCCACCGCAGGAGAGCGCTCCCTGCGCGCAGCCGTGTACGAGCTCAGCTCCGTTGGCATCGACGGGCTGTGCCGATGCAGGCTGCGCGGCGACGTGGCAAACTTGTCGAGCATGGTGCGGCTGCCTCCGAGCACGGGCGTCTTGGGGTCGTCTTCGTCGCCGTCGTCCATGTCCACCACCGGCGTCGGCTTGGCTGCTGCAGCCAGCGCGAGCGCTCCCACTCCACCGTGCAGCGTGTCGGGCCCGTGCCGACGTCGTCGCTGGTCCTTGGGCGGCACAGCGGGCGCAGAGTCGCGCACATCTTGGGTTGTGCTTGAAGCGGGCCTCGTTGCGGTCGACGATTCTGATGCGTCGCCAGCAGCATCGTCCCGCACCCAGCCCTGCGTGGACTGCAGGTGCATTGGCGAGCCGAGCCCACTAGCAGCCGAAAGCTTTGGCGAGACGATCGGCTGCCTCTCCCCACCGAGGCCGTGCGGCTCGAGCCATCCGCTCTTTTGCGTAGCGTCGCCATCCTGGCCTCGACTTGCTGTTCCGGCACTGCGCTCGACACTGCGCTCGGCAGACCGCTCGGTCAGCTTCGCCCGATCCGACGAGGATTGGGTCAATCCTGCAAGGCTACGCTGCCCGGCATCCTGGGTCTGACGACCTTCGCTGCTGTGCGGCCTGCGCGAAACGCGTCGGTTGTACGACTGCGCTGCAGTGGCCGGGTAGTTGGGCGTGCGCGATTCGCCGGCCGAGAAGCTGTGCGCGCTGTGGCTCGCCGACCGCGAAGGCGAGTGATCCTCGCTCACGCTCGGCAGCTTGGAACGCAGCGCTGCGTTGCTGCCGCGAGTACTCAAACTCGGCGAAGGCCCCGAGCGCGTATCGCCAGCTCGCTTTCTCTCAAGAGCCAGTGCTTCTCCGTAGGCCGCCAGCTGGGCGGCGAGCGAGGCGCTCGTTCCACCAGGCCCGTCGGAAGCGAAAGGCGCGTCGTGGTTCAAGATGGCGTGCGCCTGCTCAGCTGCACTGAGATAGTTGGATCGCAGCGACGACGAGGACGCGTGGCTCGTCAGGCTGTCTGCGACCGACGGAGCTCGAGCAGGTCGGCTTTGTGCCGCAGAAGCTGCCACTCCGTTCTCTTCGGCAATCGACAGTGCTTGATAGCTCGCCGACAGACTGGGCGAGTCCCTCGAATGCGACTCGCTGGATGCGACCCCGACTCCGATGGCGCTGCTGCCGGAATGCGAGCCGGAGCTTAGCGTAGATACGTGGCTTCCGGATCGGTCCCGTGTGTTCAGATTGTATGCGCCCGAGGGACCCAGCGCGGCATTGGTCCTGGCCAACAGCGCCGTGTCTCTTGGATCAATCTGCTTGGGAGCCGTCGTGTTGCGCAGGGCTGCCGGAAGTTGGTGTGCGTGCGAACGGTCCTCTGCGTCGAGCGTCGAGTCTCCCGGCTCTGAGTCTGCGTGGTGGAGGAACTCTTGCAGATCATCGTCGTCAGCGGTGTGGTTGGCGGCGGAGCTGGCTTGGCTGCGTTCGTGATCGGTCGTGTCGGCGCTGCGTGTGCTGGCTCCACTGACGGATCGGTCCCGGTTAGCAGTCGCGCGGCTGCCGGTCGAACCTGCTCGCTGGCGCTCGATGCGTGCGGCCTCGGTGGAAACAGATGAGCCGAGGTCTTGGCTGTCGGCTGGACCATAGCTGCCCGGACGCAGAAGATCGAGGGATGCATTTCCTCTCAAGGGAAGCCGTGCCATGCGAGCCGAGTTGCTTGTGATCTGGTCGTTTGAGCCGGCACGCGCTCGTCGAATCTTGTTGCCCACGGACAGGGGATCGCGAGCGGCCGAGAGCGACGACGAAGAAGAAGTGGATCGAAGGCGACGCTGCTGGTCGAGCGGAGGCAGAGGTGGTTGGCCTGCGGCGGCGAGGATTGCATCTGCGTCCTCGCTCGAGCTCTCACTGGCGCCATGGCGGCGGGCGCCTCGCTGCAGGGAGGATGCGGCAGGGCGTGGATAGTCGAAGGACTTGCCAGATGCGCGTCCGGGCTTGGAGAGCGCATCGAGATTGATGGGGAGACCACCGCCCATGCTGCTCGCTGCGGAGGTGTCGGCCAGGAAGGAGCTCGAAGAAGCGGGCATAGACGGAGACAGCGTGGTGGACTGGCTGCCGGAATGCGATCCGCCAGTGGCTTTCCTGAGCATGTTGGAGAGGCTGCGTTTGCCGGCGAGCTTGGAGTGCTTCTTGCCCGGACTGGTTGTGCTGGCATCGTATGAGTGATCAATGTATCTGCTGGAGGTTGCCTGCGACAGACTGCCACCCATGTGTGATGATGAGCCGCTGGCAAGGGCGGCCCGGAGCGAAGCCGCCGGATGCGCGGCCTTTTCCAAGATGGAGGGTAAGGATGGTCGACGTTTGGACTCGCGTACGCTGCCAGATGCGGAAGCGCCGATGTTGGCGCTGGTGGCGCTGGTTCCTGCTGCCGAAGTACTGTTGGAGGACGACGATCTGGTGGTGGTGGCGGTCGATGGTAGCTGGCCGTTCGAATCCCTGTTCTCGAGCGTGAAGCCGGATGTAGATGCAGTGTGAGAGGCGCTCCTCGGCGCTGCCTGAGAAACGGAAGCGGACAGGGCGGAGGGCGAAGCGACGGGCAGAGGTGGCGTAGCGGCTGCGGTGGTGGTTTGGCTGCGGAGGTTGGGATTCGAGCTTGTCTTTGCGAGCAGGCCGTTCTTGGAAGGCGTGGCTGAGCGTGAGCCAGCCAGCCTGGAGCCATTGTTGGTAGCAAGAGTGTCGGAAGAGGCTTGTGTGTTGAGTCCGATGTGGGCCTGAGGGGTGCTGGGAACGGAAAAGGAAGTGATGCCTGCTGGTGCTGAGCCGTTGGATTGGGAGGCGGCGGTGGGCGAGAGTGGCGAGTTGCTCCTGCCGGAGGCGGCGTAGCGGATATAGGCGGCGGGGCCGAGGGCGACGTCGCCGCTGACGGTCTCTCGCGATTCGACCATGCCTGCGAGGCCGTTGGAACCGTAGGCGGAGATCCAGGAGCGGATGAGGTTGGCGCACTCTGTGTGGCCGTTGCCGAGAGCGAGTGCCTCTGGGACGAGGCCGTCCTTGTCTACGGCGGCGGGACGTGCGCCTGCTTCGAGGAGGATGCGGACGATGTCGAGGTGGCCGTTGGCAGCAGCAAAGTGAAGTGGGGTGGATGCCTCTGCGCCCGGGCCGGTAGATCCCTTTGACTTGAGGCGAGGCGCGTTGACGTCTGCGCCGTGGAAGATGAGCATGCGGACGCTCTGCTCGCTTCCGCCGGAGCAGGCGGCATGGAGGGGGAGGATACCGTTGAGGTTGCTGTTGGCTGGCTGGCCATTTTCGAGGGCGAACTTGACGAGGCCGATGTTGCCCGTGGCGGCGGCGTTGTGCAGGCCGAGATTGGGATGCATGCCGTCGACGTGGCCCGAGTTGCCGCCGAGGCCGCTCTGGCCGACGGCCTTGAGCGTGGTGCGGCTTACAGCACTACGCAGCATGATTGGTGTAGGGCGGTGAGGGCGAGGTCGAGTTGGTGGTCGAGTGGGACCGCGCCGAGGAGCGGCGAGATTGTGTGGATGCAGAGATGCCGCGATCAGGGAGAAGAGGGCGGCATGCTGGGAAAGGGCGGCACTCGGCCCGTATCGAGGGCGATGTTCGAGCCACGCGTGCGCGATGGAGGTAGGTTGAGAAGCTGAGAAAGCACAAAGGTAAGCGCTTGTGCAGCACCGGGGTCGTGTGAGCTTAGGCGGACGCAAGTGTCACAGCCAGTGCGTATGGGCAGGTGGGGATGATGGTTGTGGGAATGGCGGCACGCGGTGTGTGATAGTGTCCAGGCGCTGGGTGGATGGCCGTGGGATGGAGGCAGGGAGGCGAGGCGAGATGTGGCGAGGAGGTGTGGAGCTGAGTTGCGAGAGGCGATGTTGCTGCGGATGTGAAGTCGGGCGTTGGTCGGCGAGTCGTGAGAAAGTGGAGTGAGAATTGGCGGCCGAAGCGCCGGCTGCTGGTCTCAGTCGCGCGGGCCGCCCGAAAAGCCACGCCTTTTGGAGGGTGTGGAAATCGTATTCTGCGGCTGCTGCTGCTGCTGCTGCTGATGCTGCTGCTGTGCTTTAAGCTTCTGCTGTGCTTTCGGCTGCCGCTGGGCTGCATCGCGCACCGAGCCCGACGCAGCTGGGCGCAACGGCGCGTGAGCTTCTGCTGCTGCTGCTGTTCCGAAAAATTACACTTGGCGAGGGGCCTTCCGTCCGTGCAGCTGCTCCATCAGGGTCAACATGGGCCGCTGGAGCGAGCAGATCAGTGATGTGAGTCCATCTGTCTTCGTAATTCGGTCTGTGAGCACGATCAGCAGAACGATGCGTAAGAGGAGCGACCGAGTGGCGACAAAATCGTTGCGCTTTCGGGAGTTGCTGCGAGTGGGTCGCCGTTGCAGCATGCAGTAGCGGTGCGGCAGTTGAGAGTGGCGAGCTCGAAATGCGCCTCGACGGCAAAAGCACCGACGCTGCTCGATCGCCGATGCATCGACGCCGCTATCTGAAAGCTCTGTTGCGCTTGCCAGACCGAAATGAGTCCCGTCTTGGATCGAGTTTTGGCTCTCAATCTGACGTAGGTGGGTGCAGCTTCATATGATACTGCGGATACTGCGCTGGGGCCACGCCGATCGCATCGTTATCTGCAGCAGCGCCTCAGTGACTTCGCGGACCGGGCATGATGAAATGCTCAAAAGATCGAACCTCGAGTTGCCGTGCAGCGACAGATGAGCTCCAGCGCCGGACCGCATCGACTGTCAAGACGGCAGCGGAGCGTCCGGAGCGTCGGAGAGTCCGAAGCGGCCTCATGCACTGGGCACCGCGCGATGGCGTAGAAAAGCACACACGGTGCAGGCAACCCCCAGCTTTGACCAGCGTCGGCAAAGCCGTCTGCCGTTGCTGATCAGCTCCAACCCACACTCGGCCTCTCAGCGACGGCAGGCCCGACTTCGAAAGCAGCTCCCGCACAGTGCTGTACAGGAATCTACTAAACCAAGCGAGCAAGCAAGCAAAGAGCGCAGATCAGCTCGTTGTTCAAGTCCGAGCGAGGCCGTGGGAGCAGCAGCCTTGGCGCTTCGGTTAGCCCGCTTTGACGTGGCTCGACAAGCTCGAGCGTCGTGACAGCTGCTGATCAGCAGGTGCGCGCACGTCCACCCATGCACGCGGAGCCTTTTCTTCCCTCTTGATTTTGGATAGCAAAACGTGCGCCCTTTTTGGTGGTTGCCCTTCCGCCAAGGCTCAACTGCTCAAAAAGATGCAGGGGCCCTGCAGCTCGAGCCTCGCCTGTCTGCTGTCTCGTTTTCCGGGACGTGGCGGCGAGGCATTTTCTTTTTTGGTGAGGCGACTTCTCCACATGCTCAGCTGCGCCCATCAGCAGGCGAGGCTGCTGTGGCGGACTGCTGGTGTTGTTCGCTCGGCTCGTTTTTCCCTGACTCGAACCCTGGATCGCAGGAGCAGCGCAACGCAGCGCCGCACTGCACCGCAACCCTGAAGGCGGGAACGGGCGCGCAGCATTCATTCGACCCTCCCGACCCGACGCTGCACCTCGAGAGCTTCTCGGGGCTCCTCCACGCCTTCTTTCCCGTCACCATCGTCTTGGCTCCTCTCCGCCCACCATCGCGGCGTCGGTCGATCCGCTGACGACGCTGCTCATCATCCTCGTGACCAATCCTCGTTTCAAGTCTCGAATAGTCCGCCTCCAAGCAACCGAGGTCACCGACGTCCACGTCGTCTTTTCGATCGCTTCATTAAGTTCCAGGCGACCTTTGCTGCAGCTGCACCGTGGTTCGAGCTTGAGCTAGAGTCAAGCATCCTCTGATCACACCTCCTGCACCCTACCCGCAACTCCGAATCACCGGCATCCTCGCCCATTCGTCCGTGCAGAGTGGAGCAGGCGTGGCCATGGACGTTCTGCGCAAGGTCAGCGGCGCAAGCGCCCGCGCCGTGCCTGCTTCCCACGCAGGCACCGCTGCCAGCGGCTCATCCAACCATGCCCCCGCGTCCACTGCCAGCACCGCTTCCGCTTCCAACTCGCTTCTCAGCGCTTCCCCCGCACGCTCGCCGAGAAGCAGCATCTCGCGCGACTCGGTCAAGGACAAGGATGCCGCCTCCTCCCGCATGGCAAAGATGCGAGCCGCAATGCACATCGGCTCCGTGTATGATGACTGGGTAAGCACACTCTCCCGCTCTCTCCTCTCCCTCTCGCTCCCCTCACACCCCATGCACCCGCCAACATGAAGCCCTCGCCGCTATGCGCCATGATGCTGACCGCAAAACGCTTCGTTCTTCGTCTCATCGCAAAGCCGATGTACTCTGCCAACGGCGATGACTACATTGTCGGAGACGTCATTGGTTTTGGCGCCTCGTCCGTCGTGCATCAAGGCGTCTTCAAGCCGCTCGACAGGGCGTGCGCCATCAAGGTGATCGACCTCGAGGCATACGGCCGCGACACAGAGGAGCTGCGCAGAGAGACGCAGCTCATGTCGCTCTCCAAGCATCCCAACGTGCTGCGTGTGCGAGGATGCTGGGTCAAGGGTGCCAAGCTGCACATCGCCACGCGCCTCATGAGCAGCGGCTCCATGCTCGACATCATGCGCTTTGCCCATCCAGAGGGCTTTGACGAGCTCGTCATCGCCACGGTCCTCAAGCATGCCCTCGAGGGCCTCAACTACCTCCACATCAACGGCTGGCTCCATCGCGACCTCAAGGCGGCTAACATTCTCGTCGACGACGATGGCACGGTGCTCCTCGGCGACTTTGGCGTGGGCGTCTTTGTCGGCGACACGGACAAGTCGTCCGGCTCGGTGTCGAGCGAGGGCAAACGCAAGAGCTTTGTCGGCACGCCGTGCTGGATGGCACCCGAGGTGATCGAACGCAAGCACTACGGCACCAAGGCCGACATTTGGAGCTTCGGCATCACCGCGCTCGAGCTGGCGCAGGGCCGCGCACCCAACTCGAAACTCAACCCGGTCAAGGTGCTCATGCGCACCATGCAGGACGAGCCGCCGCAGCTCGATCGAACGGGCGGCGCGCACAAGTACTCGAAGCTCATGGACGATTTCGTGCGCCAGTGCCTGCAGAAGGACCCGGAGAGGCGACCCACGGCGGACAAGCTGCTCTCGCACGGCTTTTTCAAGCAGGCCAAGGCGCCCAAGTTCCTCATCTCGGCCATCCTCGCCGGTCTGCCGCCACTGGCGGATCGGCAGGAGCGTCGCCGACTCGCCTCGATCCACTCGACGCAGCACTACCTCTCGTGGGACTTTGGCACCATCAACAGCCGCACCACCACGCCCAACCTCGAGCGCCTCGATCCGTTCCGCAATTTCACTGGCGTGGTCTCGCTTCCGTCGCCGCAGGGATCGGTGCGGTCCACCAAGCTGGTTTCGATCGACGGCCACCACGTGCTCGCCACCGAGGAGGACGACACGAGCCTCATGCGCCGATTCAGCAGCTTCGACGACGCGCTCGCCAAGGAGGGCGCGATGCACGGCAGCTTCGGACGCCGTCGCGGCCGCTCGGTGGATGCGCTGGGCCATCGCAAGTCCGTGTCGTTTGAGGGCCAGGACAGCGGCGGTGGTCGTGCGGGAGCCGAGACGGATTCGTTCGGCACGGCGGGCGTTGCGTCGTCGTTGGCGCCGATTGGCGAAAAGGTGTCGCCCATGGTGTCGCCCACGCAGCCGCCAGCGGCTGCCGAGGAGCCGACGAGCTTGCGGCTGAGCGCCGAGGACACGGCCACCGACCGGGACACGGCGGCGGACGATCGAGAGGCCAACGCAGCCGCGCCGGAGCAGTCTGGCGAGAGGCAGGGCGTTGGAAGCGGTGAGATGACGCTCAACGGATCGTCGCAGGGCCAGAGGTCGGTGTCTTCGGCCACCACGGCGACGCTGGTAGCCAGTCGCGGCGACGACAAGGACGAATCGAAAGCGGCTGCAATTGCCACTGCACCGGCGCCCAACATGCTGCAACGCACAGCGAGCCGGCTACGAGGCAACGGTGGGGAGGCGGCGTCTGGTGCGCACACCAAGCATCACAAGCGCGAGTCGGTGTTTGGCAAGCTTTTCAAAGGCACCAGCTCCGGTCGCAAGGAAGGCAAAGTTTGAACCCGCATCTACACCAAGACATTCTGCATCAGCATCAGGCATCAGGATCGGAGACGCATGCAATTTTCACAGAGCATATACCCTTGTCATCGGTGGTGGTGGTGAGTGCGGGCCAATACTCCACATGGCGGAGGGAGGGGGGCGGTGTGTGAAAATTTACGACGCTTACGCACGGGCCGGCACACGCGCGCCGGTGGAGTGGGGGAAGAAATGAAGCCGATTGCGGGCGGTTTTGTGGTATGCTGTGCACCACCAACTGCAACCACTGTAACACGGCAAAGGCAACAAGGAACCTTGGTTACCGCACACCGGTCACGGCTTTGAACGAAAGGAGAAACGAGGATGCGTGGGGCTTCGCTGGCGTCGAGTTTGGCGTTGCCGCTCACGACCGCGTTTGGGGGCGCGCAAACGCTATGGTGGCCGAGCCCCACCTCCTCGCCTCCACGGGTCGTTCTACTCTTTATCCCGGGCAACCCGGGGTTGGCATCGTACTACATTGACTTTCTGCACGCGATCTACACCTCCAAGCACCTATCGGGGGTTGGGATTGAGATCGTTGCAGTTTCGCATCGGGGGCATGCCCCCCTGCCGCGCGTGGGCACAAATGCGGTGTGGGGCGACAACGCTACGAATGCATCGCAAGCTGCCAGGGGGTGGGGAACATCGCTTTCGGACCAGGTGCGACACAAGATCGGCCTGCTCGATGCTATCAAACGTCAATACCCCCAGGAGGGCACTAAAGTGGTGGTTGTTGGACACAGTATTGGCGCATGGATGGCGGGAGAGGTGCTAAAGGCTCGACCTGATGCGGTGGATGGACTGCATCTGCTATTCCCAACGATGGCATGGATTGGACGCACCCCCAATGCGCGTCGGATCAAGATTCTTGCCAACCGTGCCGTCACGGCAGCTGTACTCCCGGTGCCACTCGTCGTGCTATCGCTATTGCCGCTATGGGCGCTGGTGTGGGTGATTCGGCTGCTGACGCGACAACCGACCGCTGCAGCCCTTGCAACTGCCGAGTTACTCACGACCCCCGGGGCGGTGTACAACGCCCTCACCATGGCAGGTCAAGAATTCACCACAGTGCAGGCGCTTGAAAAGCCGACAGTGGATGCGCTCCACGCCTTTACCACTGAGCGCGGAGGCAGGATTCGAAGCTACTGGGCTGCAGACGAGACCGATGCCTGGGCTCCAGGTTGGATCCGCTCCCAGGTCGAATCCACCCTCTCCCTCCAGCGTGTCCACCTCCCGCCCTCGCTCGGACTCAGCGGTGCTAGTAGGAAGAGCGAGGGACCGCGCAGAGGCTCACACGTTCGAACACGAAGCTTCTCCGTGTCAGAATACCGGAGTTCGCCCGGCTCGATTCCTGACCTTCGCCACGCCAAGGCAATGCGCCGTCCTAATGGCGAGATCGTCATCGAGGCCCAGGTGGTCGAACCCAGCAGCGAAAGCGAAAGCGACGAACCCACGAGGGGTAATAGCGAGCGTGCGGCCCAGTATCATTATGGCCGTGCCAGGGCGACTGCAACGCACTGCAGGGTGGGCATGCCACATGCTTTTTGTCTCGACCATTCCGAGGATATGGCGAGCATTGTGGCGCATTGGATCGCGCACGACCATCTTGCCAGCTCCAGCTAGCAGCAGCAATACCAAGGCGAGGACTAGAACCGGCGCGTATGAGGTGTGGGTGCAGGTCGGGCGTGAGGTGGATCGGGTCCAGGCGCGTCTCTTTCGAGAGACTTTACGCGACTCTTCCGAAAAGAGCAGCAGCAGAGCAGCGCTCGGGGGCGCAAAATTGGCGAATGCGCGCAGTCTCTCAGCGCTCGGGTCGCATCCGACGCGCAGCTTTTGGGGCAAGAGAACGTCTGTGCAGAAGCGCATCCTTGCTTCTTCTCCTCCACCGCGCCCTACTCCCTTCCTGATCCTCATCACTCCGCTCTCACACACACACGCACACACACGCCATCTTTGCATCTGGGTTCCTGCTTCAATGTCGTCGATCGCCGGCCCATCGGGGGCACACGAGGACGACGTGGTCATGGTGGATTCGGAGGGCAACACGCTCGCCACCTCGCCCGGTGCCGAGGAGGGTGGATCCGACGCGCCCGAGGACGAGTACGAGATCGAGTACATCGTCAGCCACTCTACCGAAGAAACCGACGACCAGCTGTCGTACTTTGTCAAGTGGAAGGGCTACCCCGAGTCGGAAAACACGTGGGTGTTTGAAAGCGACATGGGTGGTGCGCAGGAGATGATCTCCGAGTACTGGGCCAAGTTACCCCAGAAGCTCGTGCAGAAGGTCAAGGGCGGCAAGAAGAAGCGCCAGTCATCGACGCCGCAGCCATCGAAGCGCGCACGACGCGAGTCCTCGGTGCCCACCCGCCGCAACAAACGAACCAACGGCCAAGTTGCGCGTTCGGTTTCACCCGATGACGAGGGATTGGACGACGAAGATGCGCAGCTCGAACGCATCCGATCGGATCCATCGTTGGCGGATGAGGAACGTGCACTGCTGGAGACGCAACATCTGCATGCAAAGCGACTCGACCGTCTGCGTAAGCGCTATGCGCGGATCGCCGACTGGGATCCCATCGTACGCCGCATCGAGGGCGTGGAAAAGATGAGCGACAACAAGATCCGCGTCTTTATCCATTTCGACAACGGCGACAAGCTGGCGTTTGAAAGCGCCGTCGCCCACCACCGATGTCCGCTCAAGCTGTTGCAGTTCTACGAGGCCAATTTGAGGTTCCGCGAGCGCGATGCGACGCAGGAACCTCCGCTGGTGGGCGAGGAACCCACGGAGCAACTCGATCAGTACCTCTCGCGCGACCAGGACGAGTCTCAACAGGACGGCCAGGACGGCCAGCAGCAGCAGGAGGAAGAGGAGGAGGTGGTGGCAGAAGCGGTTGCACAGCAAGATGAAGAGGCAGAGGAGGTGGAGCAGGCACCACCGAGTGAAGAGCCGCAACACCTTGACTCGTCACAGACCCAAGATCAGCCTGTATCCTGAGCCTCCCCCCTTCGCCGCGTTGATTGTACGAATTGCATGCTGTGTTTCTTTTTTTTTTTTTGCCTCTACATTGCGTGTGTGCCAGCCGTGTCCTTCTTCGCATCGTGTCTTGCGCGCAGTCGTATTCTCGTCGGTAAAGCCAGTGGCGCTTCTCCGTCCGCAAGAAGTTCGAGCATCTTGATCTCAATGCCGCCAAAAGCCTCTGCACCCCCGCGGCGCTCGAACGAGAGACGAGGGCAGCCCCACGGACTTCATCGAGAAGCCGCCAGCAACAGCCCGCTCCCATGCTCTTCCTCCCTCCCGCCCCTTCATCTCCAGCTCAACCCCGAACATCCAGACTCATTCGCTCGCTCGCACCACCCGCTCCATCTTGAGCACGACACACACCACCCACGAAGATCAACGAGAAGAAAAGTGCTATTGCGACTGCATGCTCCAAACCAAGTTAGACAGCGGCGCTCTCAAGCGGCGCGACTCTCGTTCTGCGCCTGCTGCGCCTGCTGCGCCTGCTGCGCCTGCTGCGTGTGAGGCACAGGCGGCGGCAGCGCCGGCACGGTCGCAGTCACCCCCGCCGACGCAGCCGCATTCGCCGCAAAGCTCCACACCTTGATGTCCCCATCGTCGGACCCACTGACGATCTTGTCGTCCGTCAGCGACACGCACGTCACGGCGCCCTTGTGGCCCACGAGCGTGTTCTGGCACAGGCCCGTGTCGCGGTCCCAGATCTTGATCGTGCGGTCGTGCGACGCCGACACGATGCGCAGCTTGTCCACATCCAGCGACCACACGCCCTCCACGTGCCCAAACAGCGTCCGGATGCACCGCCCCGTGCGCACGTCCCACACCTTGAGCGTGTTGTCCAGCGAGCCCGAAATCAGCACCGGCCGCGGCTTGGCGTGGTGGCGCTCACCATTGGCGCCGGCACCGTTCGCATCGCCATCGCCCGCGCGGCTCGACTGGCCACCCGACTCGTCGCCCGACCGGTTGCCGCTACCACTGCGAGCCCCGCGCATGCTCGGGTCCAGGTCACCCATCTCGGCATCCAGCGGCAAAGGATCCACCAGGCCAGCCTCGCACAGCCGCTCCTGCACACGCAGCAGCGCCTTGTCAATGCGTCGGCGCTGCTGTCGCTGTTGTGTCGACGACGACGACGACGCAGCAGCCGTACTGGAGGACGACAGCGGCGACGGCCCCGTGACGCCACGTCGGGCAGCGCCGTACAGCCGCTCGCCCGTCTCGGACGCATTCGACGGCCGACGCCCAGCTGCATTCCTAGCGCCACCGGGGCCCACATCAGCAGCGCCCACGGCCGACGCCAGCCCGCCCGACAGCCGGCGCGAATGCGACAGGCTCGCATCGCCCAAAAAGTACGACTCTTGGTCTTCCAGCGAGAGCATGTCCTGGTCGCCATTCTCGACCACGTCCGGCGCATCGTCGTCGCCGTTTCCGTTTCCGTGCACCGAGCCGCGACGAGACGTGCCGTTGCGCTGAGCCTGCGGGCCCTCGGCGCCCACACCGCCAGCCGCGCCGCCGACGAGCTTGCGCACCGCCTCGTCGTCCATCATGACGAGCTTGAGGCTCTGCACCTGGCCGACGTGGCCCTCGAACGTCAGCAGACACTCGCGCAGGCCGAGGTCCCACAGCCGGATCGAGCCGTCGTCCGAGGCGGAGAAGAGGAACGTGCCAGCCGCGCGCGGGTCCTCGTCCTTGATCGAGGCGGCAGGGCGTCCTTCGCGCAGCGCCTCGCGCAGCCGCTGCTGGCGCTTCTTGGCAGCCGGGCCCGTCCAGAGCGTGACGGCATTGACCCAGTCGCGATGTCCGCGCAGCGTGTAGCACTCGCCCGTGCGGAAGTTCCAGATCTTGATGTTGCTGTCGGCACTGCCGCTGGCGAGCGTGTCCTCGTTGAAGTGGAGACAGACGATGCCTTCGGTGTGGCCCTCAAGCGTCCGCATGAGGGCGCCCGTGCGCCAGTTCCAGATCTTGAGCGTGCGATCCATCGAACCAGTGATGAGCTTGGCCTCGTCGAACTGCAGACAGCGCACACCGCGCGTGTGTCCCTCGAGCACACGCAGCATCTCGCCCGTCTCGAGATTCCAGATGCGTGCGGTGCGGTCGTAGCTGCCGGTGATGACCACAGGAAAGGCGGGATGCGCGAGGTTCTCGTTGAACTGCAGACACATGATGCCGTCCGTGTGACCGGCGAGGGTGCGCGAAGTGTACCTGCCGCGACGCCAGTTGCGCTCGATGGCCAGGCGCTCGCAGTAGACCGACTTCCATGGACGCGTCTTGGGAACGGAGCCCGTCGACGAGCATGGGGTGGCCTCACCGTTGAGGCCGCTGCGCTGCTTCTTGAGCGGCGGCGCGTCGCGATCGCGCATCTGCAGATCGCGCTGGCCGGAGACGGAGCGCGAGTGTGCTCGACTGGACGACGAGGGCGTGGGGCTGGATGCGCGCGATCGCGACTGCTTCTCGAGTGCAGCGGCGTTGGCGGCGGCGGTGATGGTGCGTTTGAGCGTGCCCGGTGTTGTAGACGAGGTGGCTCCGGAGCCGTCGGAGCTGAGATCGCGCGACTCGGGCGTGCCGAGCTGGACGGCGGGGCCCGGAGCACGACGTCTACGCTCGCTGAGGAGCGGCAGGCCCCAACCGCATTTTTCACACTTGCGTTCGATGTGCTGCTCGCACATGTTGCGCCAGAGCAGATCGTCGTCGGCCAGCTGCTTCCACGAGCGGCTCACTTGGGCGGCGCGGCCGAGGCTGATGGCGTCGAGGTGACCGAGCACCTTGAGCGAGACCTCGCGCGGGAAGAGCGAGAAGGGGTCGATGCGGATGGCCAGCGCGAGCTCCGAGGAGAGCAGCGAGAGCTGGCTGAAGCAGCACATGGTGAGGATGCCCTGGAGGATGAGGGCCCTGCGGGAATGCGACGAGGAAGAGAAGAGCGACCACACCGTGTTGACGGCGGTCTGATCGGACAAGGGCAGACTTTCGATCGACTGAGGCGATCCAAGGTGCAAGACAAGACATAGCTTAGAGTCAGCAACCAGGCCTTTTCTTCCCAGATGTTTGGAACGGAGGGGAAGAGAAAAGCCAAGCTCGGAGAGGTTGGGAATGTACCACATCACTTATAGCGCACGACCTATAAGGCAGATCGAGGCTTCAAACAGAGTGTTTCGTTATAGCATGATCAAGGGTCACGAACACCGAGACGAATCCCGATGATCGCTGTGCAGCGTCGAGCGTCCGCGATTAGACAGTGGACGACACGATGCTGCCTGACCTGCATCGCTTTCGGACGGCTCTCTGAGCTCGTGCCGAAAGATGCGGAGAAAGACAGAGGAAAGGAGGAACGAGAAGGGGAAGAGGCAACCAGGGCGGGACAGTGTTCAGCAACTTACCTTCTGAAGGCGGGCGGTGGTGCCCTCGTCGGCCATGCGTTGGTGCCTGACGCACAGCTTGCGCGTTGCCGGAGGTACGAGCGGCGTAGCGCCGGTGGAAGTGCAAGAGTCTTCGTCTGTGTTCATGGGAACATCCTTGTCGGCGATCTCGACGTCCTCATCGGAGCCACGTAGACCGCCGCGGTGCGCTCCGGACGGGTTGAGTGCCTCGCTCTGCATGGCAGGCGAGAGGGTAAGCGGACTGGGCGGACGGGTGCCGCTGCGGCTGAGGGGCCTTGCGCCGCGCTGGGATAGCGAGATGATGGCGGGCGATGCTCTCTCGCCAAAAGGCACATCGAAGTTGGTCGAGGCGTCGGCAGGACCGCATCGTCGGTTCGAGAGGTCGGCGGCGGCACTTGCATACGCGGCCTGGCTGAGACCGAGGAGGCCCGATGCGGCGGATTGGTGTGCTGCTGTGGCCGACGAGGTGGCGGGTGATGGGGCCTGCATTGTGGCGGCTGGTTGCGCAGTCGCACTCTTGGGTATGATGGCCCAGCCATCTCCCGCCGTGACATTTGCCAGGGACGAGGTGACTGGAGGTTGGGTATAAGGGGCTGCCGCCAGAGGAGGAGGCGAAGGCGAGGCGGCTCGGAGGGAGGCGATTGACTTTTGCAGCGGGCTGTTGGTAGCGCGTGCAAAGAGCATGGGGTCTTGCTGATGCACAGCTGGGGGCGTGTGTACCGAAAGGGTAGCCATGGCTGTTGTGGTGGGGTGATCGGATCTGTGAGAGTGGTGGAGGGACTGGCTGCCCTTGAGCGAGTCTGAGCCCAGGTGGTCGTCGTCGTCGTAGTCGCTGCGTGAAGACTGTGCGGGAGACGATGGAGGCGACACAGCGGAGCCACGCCGCCTGCTAGAAGAGGCACACGGTGTGGAAGCGAGGTCGTGTTTGGGTCGAGGCAGCGACGAGGGCGCGATGGATTGGGACTGGTCGTAGTCCAGGGTATGGCGAGAGGACGAAGCGACAGCCGATGTGTCCGCAATGTTGTGGTGGTGGAGATGATGTTGGTGGTCGAGGTGATTGGTGTGGGATTGGGACCACGAGGTGGATGTTGTGGAGGAGGAGGACGAGGAGGACGGATCCTGGAAAGAGACCATCTTGCCCTTTTTCTTGGCGAATGCGCCCTGCTGCAGGCTCGGACTTATGGCGTAGGAGCGAGCCGAGGCGGTGCCGATGATGCGGGGAGATTTGATGGGATTCGAGCTCAGCCGCTATGTGCGCAGCAGCGATTGCATGGCAGAGCGATATTGAGCGTTGCTCGAGCTGAAGTGCGCAGCGGCGGAAGCGTCCGTTCCGAGGCTAGAGAATGCGGGCGAGCTGCACCGATGCGATCTGGTGCGTGGGAATGCGCACTAGCGAGGCGATGTGCTGTGCTCTATGCCGGCGGGCAGGGGAAGCAAACACCCCAGAGCTGCTTTGCGTTGTTGGAACGTGGAAAGCAGGCCAGGTGTGCGCGTCGAAGCGAACCAATGCGGTGCTTGGGCGATCTGCGCAGCAGCACGAAAGGATGGCGTTATTGCGAGTGCAGATCGAGGAGGCAGGGTCTTGCTCGCGTATGTGCAGGCCAGTTGAGGGTCCGCTGCAAAGGAGAGTGAAGGAGAGGGTGGGGAACAAAGAAAGGGAGAGGGTGGAGGAGGATGGCGAAGATGATGTGCGAGCGACCCCGGCTGGGTTGCGTGCGAGCGCGAGGGCCAGGCAGGCAGGCGAGCGTGGGAGCGTGGGAGCGATGGAGCGGCCGAGCCGAATCAGCGTCGTGCCTTTTGCGTTGCGCTGCGCTGCGCTGCTGGGCTGCCAAGCAAAAAAAGAGTGTGGGAGCGACTCGGCGCCACCGAAAATCCGACTCGGCAGTGCCGCAGAGCGAGCCAAAATCCGAACCGCTTCCAACAACAGCTGAGCCGTGGCAGCTGACTCGCTTGTCCGGCACCGCTGTCACAACTGCCTCGAGCAACTCCACCAGTTCAAGTCAAGCCCGACCAGCTCTGCGAGCGCCTCGACCATGCTCAGCATAGGTCGAGCGTTCCAGAGGCTCAGCGATGGGAGGCTCAGTTGAGACGCGAGCCAGACGTGCGTTTCGTTTCGGATTTGCAAGCTCAAGGCTCGATGGCACCATCGCCTCGCTATGGAATGAAATTGTGACGGGTGTGACTTTGTGACTTGGTCAATTTGGCCGGTGAGTCGCAAACGCAAATTGGCGACTGCGGCGGGCGCATTCCGGCCCCACTTGTCACACTTGGCTGCTTCTTGTGTTTGCTGGTTTTGATTGTCACTGCTCTGCGTCGACGGGTCGGAAGAGCCGTGCTTTTCCAGCTTAAGCTCTCTTTTGTGAGCCTGCGTTAGGATCGGTCCGGTCAGCAGACCCAGCCTCATGCGAATTTTTCGTGGCGCATGCGCAAAATGACGAGCTTGCCTCTTCGGCTTTCGACAGGCCGCACCATCCTTGTGGCTCAACTTAACACTCTGAACCAAAATTCGCCGGTACGCTCCCGTCTGCTTCGGTTCAGACTCACCCTGTTCTTCCAAAAACCCTCTGTTCACCACGGTCCGAAATCGAGCCGAAAAAACGAGGCCCCAAAATCGCACCCAAATAGTACACTCGCTCTCGCCTCGAGCATCACACAATGCGCAACGGCATCACAACGCAAAGCATAGGATCACAGTAGTGTTGGGATTCTTTTGGGGTGTGAAGCAGCGCACGGCTGTGGGTGCGTTGCCACCTGGCTAGATAGATGTGTGGGGTGCGTGCGGGGTGTGCATGCGGCGTGTGTGGGTCGAAACCCAGACCAGGTGCGCCCAACCAACGACGCACGACAATGCCACGACCGAAGCAGCCAGATCAACGGCCCAGCATCGCTTGCGTCACGTCGGCTGATCAAGGATCCCACCTGGTCATGAATGGGGGGATGCGTAGGGAAAGAGAGAGAACAGTGTACAAAGCGATTGCAGATAACGGCGTCGCCAAGGAGACCTTTTGACCACCACGACGCACCCGCTCAGGCCCGAGAGGCCTGCAGCAGATGCATCAGAGGTGGAGTGGTGGTGGACAATGAAAGGGTGGATGCCAATACAAGGTGCGCAGAAAGGAAGGAACGAGAGAAAAACACAACACGGAAACAAGACTAGATCAAAGCCTTGCCTTTTAGTTGTCCTTCATCTCGACGTCCTCCTCCTTCTTGGCGCCCGACTTGCGTGCAATGATCTTCTTGCGGTCCTCGTCGAGCTTCAGCTTGGTGATCACAACGTTCGAGGGGTGGATGCCGTGGGGGATGGTGGCACCGTTGGCCTTCTCGCGGTGGATGCGCTCAATGTTGATCACCCACTTCTTGCGGTACACCTGGGTGACCTTGCCCTCGGCACCCTTCTGCGAGCCACGGACGATCAGAACCTCGTCGTCCTTGCGAACGGGGAGCGAGCGGATCTGCATGTGCGAAACAAAGGAGAACAGGTTAGAAGCAGGGTCTTTGGATCGGATTCTGCACGCGGCGCATCCGACATCGAGGCCGCTGAAAGTAGAACTGCTGGGATGCGTGTTGGTGGGCGTAGCGCCGCCTGTCGTCGGTCGGGTGTCGCGAAAAAGTCGTGGTGCACGGAACGAGTCGAGGCAGCATCGAGATCGATGATGCGCAGAGTCCTTCCTGGAGAGAACTTGCAAACAACGTCCTCCAAGCACCGCGCCATCTAATCTTTGTAGCGGTGTGTCGTCCTGATCATCCTGCATCTTCCTGTCCCTGACCATATGGCTGCTTAAACGACCGGCTGGCGAGAGACGTGAAGCGCAATGTAAACCGACCGCACGACCTTCCACAGCCCTGTCGCCGGCATTGCTTGTCCTTGCCGGGGCAATTACGATCCGAGGCAGAACGCAGTGCGACAGTTCAGATCTGGAGCTTGCTGGGATACTGGACGGTCGAGGATGGTCGCTGCAGTGGACTGGAACAAATGCGAACAACTCTGCCGCCTCCACGAACAAGAACAAAGCCATCTGCCTTGCGTCTCCTGACGGCCGAGCGCTTCTCCCACGCCGTCGTAGATCCATGCAGATGTTCCTGTCATCATCTGCTGCGCCATCATGCGTGTCGTGGCCGACATCCAATAGAGTCTCCACCGCTTCCGCAACTGATCGCAATGTCTCCTCCCGACTATCCGTCCTGCTTATGCTTCCAACTGTGCTGTGCTGATCATTGTCGAATGGTCCGTCAAGTGGCGGATGTGCTCATGCTGGTATCGTGCAAGGTGAGGTGCGAATAGAATGCGTCGTACGGATCGTGTCGGGTTGCATCATGTGTGGAGTGTCGAGGGGCATCGATGTTGGGTGCAGCCGATTGAAAGTGGCATACTTACGCCGTGCTCGGATCGGAGCTCCTTGTTAAGGGAGGCCGACATGATCTTTCGGCGGATGTGAGCGGGGGCATCGAAGTGAGCCTTGCGCTGAACGCGACGCGACGAAGAGACCATCTTGAAGTATAACGAAACGGGTGGTGACGATTGGTGGTTGGTGATGGAAGGTTGGAGGAGCAGGCGTCCCAAGACGATGACCACCCGGACTGGGCTTGCCAGCCTCGAATCAGCGAAGCCGCCTTGCCAGGCCCCCGGTCCCACAAGACAGCGCTCCAGAGCCAATCTCTCCCTCTCGTCCGTCCAGCCTGGCATTTCCATGCCCGCTGGTTCCATCCTTCCCAGCCTCGAAGATTTGGTGCTGCAGCCCCACTCTCGTGCTACAGCTAGAGGAACTCTGCGCTCTGCTGCCTGCTTTCTTGCCAGGCCAAAAAGTGAGGCTGCAGAGCCACTCTCGTCCAAGTCAACGCAGCCTCTCGACTGGGCTCCGAGCGGTGCCGCCTGCGTGTGCGAGGGTGTGGCTCAGGGCTGGCCCAAAATTCCAATTTCAACGCTCACCTTTACGCCCTTTTTCGAACATTAAGCCAAAAGGCACGTGATAGATTCACACCTCGGCCGAGGCCCGATCATGGAAATCGGAAAGCGTGCAACCCTGTATCGGCACTAGACCGATGCGGAACACCCTCACCGCACCGTGTCCTCCGTTCGAGGAAGCAATGCTCGGCCATCACTCTGCGCTCAGTAAGGCCGCCGGGAGCAAGTCGGGGTCGCGTCGGAACGCTCGGACAGCCGAAGCGGAAGCCGGAACCACACGATTTTCCGGGTCATCACGGTGCGCTTGGGTGCGTGTCAAGTGTCTAGCCAATGTTCCGAGGCTGGTCAGCTTCCTATTACTGTAACGTGAATGGGAGTGGAGTAGGGTGGGAGTGACAACTGCATATTGTCCGGGAAAAAGGCGGCAGCATCAAGCGGCCAGACGGTCCATGACGGCCCTCGCACCGCCAGTGCTCGTGCCAGCCTGTGGATTCGACGAGGCGGCGCCTGTATGTTCGGCTGGTTTGCGGTTCGACTGAGCGTCGGCGTCGGCATCGTCGTCGCTCCAGCTCTCGAGCTCGTCGTCGCCAACGACAGGATGGTAGCGGTATTCGGAGCGGCCGGCACCCGAGCGCTGCGTAGTTGAAGCTGCCGAGGCCTTGGAGAGGGGCAGGGTGCGGTAGGTGCCGTGGCGGAGGTGGAGCGCGTACGAGTAGAGGACGAGGGCAAAGTAGAGCTTGACGATCCAGCCGAGGGTGAGCACGCCGGCCGAAAAGTCCTTCTCCTCCTTCCAGATGCGCTGTGCGCTGCTGACGCGCTGCTCTGGCGTGAGCTTGTCGTGGTGAAGCTGCGCCATCTGCTCTGGCGTCCTGTACTGCGCCTCGATGGACTCGATGAGGTCCATGAGCCCCGTCTGGTACGACGACTGGTTGGCACTGGGACGGCCATCGTGAGGCGTAAAGTAGAACCAGTTGAACGTGAAGAGGAGCGTCCAAAACGTCGAGATCATGTGGTCGGCGGTGAAGAGGTGTGCGTAGGTGAGCACGTGCTGTGCATCCTCGTCCGAGATGCCCTTGAGACCCCATAGGAAGATGACGATCGTGGCTATTGAGTAGAGGTAGAGCGCGACTTGGGAGAAGGTGCCGCCCTGGAAGATGGCGAGGATGCCGTAGATGCCGGCGGTCTTGTTGAAGAGCGCGAAGAGGGTGAGGATGGTAGCGCCGATCTTGAGATCCATGAAGCCCAGGAACGAGGTGATGGCATGGTGGAACGACGGCAGATTGGGCAGCCGGAGGTAGAGGCGCGACATGATGGCGATGGGGACCGCGCCTTTGATGGAGCAGGAAGCGAGCGAGCTAGATGCAGAGCAATGACCGGGCAAGACGATGACGATGGATGCACGACTACAATCGCAGCATGGTTGGCTCTCGAGCTGAAGAGTGGTAGTTGCGGTGCCTGTGACGGTGTAGACGACTTCCACGCGCGTAACAGCCCGGCAAAATCAGCGCTTGGGCGGAGACGAGGTGGTGATGGCGGTGAAGGGGTCTCTACGACGACGATGCACGGGGCGCCAAGAGAAGCGAGCTGTGTTGCACTTTCGACAGCTGATGGACCGGCGCGTCACCGCCGAGTCTAAATCGCGGGACTCGGCGGCAGTCCCAGAGTGTGAATTCCGTGCCGCGTTGTGACAGCTCGAGACAGCGCTGCTGGCACGGCACACTTTTTCCCAAAACAACCAACACGTGCCCTTCGACCTGTCTGAGCCACACTCTGCTCGAAAGTGGAGGCAGAAAATCGCCAAAAATTAAGAACAATTTCAAGGCACACACAACACCTACACCCACCCACACACACGCATGCACAGACCCGCACCGCCGTGCAGCGAAGCGGAAGCCTGGTCCCACCGGCGGTTCGTTGCTCTTTCACTCCCGACATCCATCGTTAGTGTGCGCATACATCGAGCTGTCGAGCGCTTGTGACCACCATGTCCAAGGCGGTCTCGCAGCGCGCATCCGCCAACTCGCTGCGCGGCGGTCGCACCCAGCACAAGCGCCATGTCTCGCTTCGTCACTTGCCCGACCAGCCGCGGCCGGAAGATCCCATCCACCCGCACCTCCTCGACTCCACATCGCCCCGCAGCTCGGCCTTCAGCATCAGCTCGACCGAGCAACACCTCGGTGCCGCCTCCTCCAGCCATCCGTACAGCGCAGGCACGCTGACACTGCCACGATCTGGCGCCCACACTCGCACCTCCAGCACCGGTCGACGCACCACCGAGGCCTCGGCACACGAGATCGACCGTCTGCTCGAGTCCGAGGGCGAGGATGGTGTCAACCTCATCAAAGTCGTGGAGCGCCAGGACGTCTTTCACCTCATCCACCTCATCCGCGCCGACCTGCGCAAGACCATCGATACCCACCTCAGCTGGGAAGAGCTCACGTCCGTAGACCTCAACTTCTCGCTCGTGCGACCCCTGGCGATCAAGTACAGCAACTTTCGGTCCATCGCCATACTATACTGTCTCATGCTCAACCGCATCTACTTTCAGCGCGAAGCCACGCGCGATCTGGCGTTTCAGTCGGTTAACAACACCCGCTCGGCGCTCTGCGAGCTCCTCGCAATGAAGCTCCTCCGCACCTTTTCCAACGACGGTCTCGAGCTCGTCACTTCGCTCACGGCCAGTTTTCACCCGCTTGCCGGCGCGACCTATGCCGAGCTCAAGGAGTTACGGCTCTCGTCGTCGCACGTCGACTTTGACGACATTGTCTCGCACGGCCTGCCGCCCAAGCAGTACTCGAACACGCTCGAGCTCGCCATCGCCTCGTCGGCCAAGCGCTTCATCTCCACGCCGCTGTGCCAGCGCTGTATCGACGGTATCTGGAACGGCAAGGTGGTGCTGTCGCCCATCCAGGCCTCGCACGCCATCCTCAACGATAGCTACAAGAAGCGGCCGCTGAGCATCTACGACCCGACCAAGGCGCCGCTGCTCAACCACCTGCGCCTGCGCGTTCCCTCGATCCGCAGCAAGCTCGAGTTCGTGACGTTTGTCGTCATCCTCGTTCTGTACGTCGCAGCTCTCGCACAGAAGGGCAGCCCGACCTGGACGGTGCAGGAGACGCTCTTCTCCATCTGGCTGTTTGGCTTTGCGGTCGACGAGCTGGCACAGCTGCAGGAGCACGGCGTCTCGTACTACCTCGGCTCGCTCTACAACCTTATTGATGCCAGCTTTTGCATCATCTCGTTCTGCTGGTTCGGGCTGCGCATCTCGGCGCTAAGGCACGGCTTGCCCGGACGCAGCGATCTGAGCTTCGACTGTCTTGCGCTCGGCGCGGTGGTGCTGTGTCCGCGTGTGGCCAGCTCGCTGGTGCAGGACAACGTGGTGCTGCTCAGTCTCAAGGCGATGCTTTCGGACTTTGCCTTTTTCACCGTGCTCGCCATGGTCTGTTTTTCGGGCTTTGCGTATGCATTCTACTCACTCGCATCCGAGGAGAGGTGGACGTTCAAGGCGGTGCTCTGGCTCATGCTCAAGGTATGGTTCGGCAGCTCGTATCTCGGCTTTGACGAGGCCAAGAGCTTCTCGCTCGAATTCGGACCGCCGCTCATGATCATCTACACGATCATGAGCAACACGCTGCTGCTGACCGTGCTCATTTCGCTGCTGAGCAACACGTTCCAGGTGGTGGCCATGAATGCCAACGAGGAGGCCATGTTCCAGTTCGCCTGCAAGACCATGTCCGGCATCACTACGGATGCCATCTTTTCCTACCAGCCGCCGCTCAATTTGCTGGCAGTGGCGGTGGTGATGCCGCTCAGCTTTGTCGTGTCGCCGCGCTGGCTGCACAAGATCAACGTGTTTCTGATTCGGCTCACCAGCTTCCACATCCTGCTCTTTATCCACTTTTGCGAGCTCAACGTGTTTGGTCAGGGCATCAGCCTTACGGCGGAGAAGGGAAAGAGCATCCTCAGTCGGCTGCCCATCTTTAGCTCGGGGCTCGATCATTCCACAGCAGACGTCATCGAGGCTGCGTTCGACTTTCCCATGGAGCAGGACAAGGACGAGTGGCCCGAGGCTGGCGACGAGGCGCAATCGGGTGACGAAGCCGATGTGGAAGGCGAGGCAGATGAAACTGTTGACGCTGCTGTGAAGAAGGCGAAGCACAGTGATGGCGAGAGGAGACTGGCAGTCAAGGCGAATGGGAGCTGGGAGGAGCGGGCTGCGGCCCAGCTCGAGCGCCGGTTGACGCCTCAACCTGACCAAGAGGGGCGGTCGATCGGAGAGGCACTCGCTGCGCCTTCACAGGATCCGCTTCCACGCAGCACGACACAGACCTCGTTTGCGGGCAGCACGTCCTCGCAGCGTCCACGCGAACAAGGCGTCAGTCGGAGCGTGCAACTGCTGCGGCGCGGACACGAGCCACGCGGACTGGGATCATTAAGCTCTCCGTTAGCCAAGTTGTTCAACCGCGTGCTCGACCCCAGCGAGCTCGATGACAGTTCCAAAACTGGACCTTCACGATCTCGATCGCGCTCCGGACGTGCTGCGCAAAACCACTCTCGCGACTCGAGTCCCGACGGTAGCCGTGCGGAGCAAAAACGTCGTCAGCGTACGACCGAATTTGACGCCGCCACTGCAGCTGCCGTTGCTGCGCTCAGCGAGGAGGCATCACCAGAGCGCATCGAAACATCGGTTGGAAGCGACAGCTTGGATGCTGAGTTGCGCACGATCGCACGCAGGGTGCAGGATATGGAGGCGCGTGGCAAGAGGATGGAAGACCTCCTGCTACAGCTCCTCGAAACCGCCAACCGCACAAACCACCCACAGCCCCCGCCATCGCACGATTCAAACGGACCGAGGGCAGGACAACCAACCAGCCGCACAACCAGCCAACAGCCCCCACCACCGAGAGATTCGACCGAACAGAGGCCAGGATACTGGTGGTAGCAACCCTCTGCTCATTCATAGACTAGATACGTGCTCTGAAACGTATTCTACATCTTCACAAGCATGTTCAGGGTGAAGTGTGCCCGTTGTCTGCTCGAAGACCACCGAATACTAGAGCCGTGTTTGTAGTATTATAACAACATTGGGACGTGAAGATGACATGAAAGGCACTATGGCGGAGTGGTTATCGCGTGGCACTAGAATCGATTCGCATTCTACAGCAAATCCTGCTCAACAAATACATGCCATTCCCTCTGGGAGCACAGGTTCAAATCCTGTTGGTGTCGATTTTTTCGATTTTTTTGAAGCTTTTTTCTCGACAATTTTGGTGGTGGCCGTATAGATGCTGTGATGTTGGCAACGATGGCGAGGAGGAAGCGGCAAGGGCAATTGGAAGGTGGCGACGGGACGTGAGGATCGGAGCAAGGATATGGAAATGGGTATATTGATTGAAGCGGTGCAGGAAGTGAGAGACGCTCGACGATGTAAACGGGAGGGATGTGCCGCGCTGCATAGCCGGGAACGAGGAACCACTGGCACGTCTAGGAGCTCGGTTGCTCGCTTGTTGGGGGAGGCTGTGAATGGAGAGCGTCTAGCTGTGCGAGGTGATCAGCAAGATCATCGAGCGGAGTTCTTTCCTGCTGCTGTTGCTGCTGTTGCTCCTGGTGCTGGGGCTGTACCGCATTCGTGTTCTGACCCGCACTAGGGTTGGACTGGTTCCACGCCGTCGACGTTGGCTGTAGTACGCCACTTGCACCCTGCCACCCCGGGGCCAGTTTATGAAGCATGTCTCGCTGTCGTTTCTGCTTGTCCTCTTCCCTGTGCTTCAGATACTGTGCGTGCTTTTCGAGGAGCTGATCGATGGTAGTAGACGACGGAGTGTTGGGATCGAGGACATACGACTCGAGGCTGAACGGATACACAAAGTACGCCGAGATGTCGTGCGGGAGTGGATGCAGATCGGCGGGAAGTGTGACGGGTTTGGGCAGCGAGATCGAGGGCGACTTGATGAGCGGTACGCGCGAAGCGAGGGCGTACAGCTGGTTGGAAGCATTGCCGCCAGTGCGAGTGGATCCACCCGCCGCGGGGTGCGATGTCGACGTAGAGGCCGCCATGGTGGTGGATGTGATGGTGGAGGAAAAAGGCGTCGGCGTGGCACGGACCGGGTGAGGCAAACCTCCACCGACAGGTCGAGAGCCTAACACTGCTCGAATCCGCGCGTGGCGCGCGATTTCGAACAGAACGATTTTCCGGAGCAGCCAACCGCGGGCACTGCATCGCTTCCCGCCAGCCTGCGTGGAAAAATGGATCGGCTGCAAGCACACCTGTCAGCTGCCATCGATCTTCTCGGCGTTTCCGTCGTCGTTACTCTTTGCTTCCCACCAGCCCACGCCGCCTCAGCCTGCCACCATCACCATCACCTGCACCTCCGCATCGACCCAGATCACATCCACTACTCATCCCGTGGGGCCGCGACCGCGTCACACCATGGATCCTATCGCCGGCCCTTCCAGCATGGCTGCACCTCCGAGCGCCCCTCGTCGAAGATCGCATAGAGCCCAGTCGAAAGAATCACCACGCGCTCCTACACACGATGAACCGCGTTCGGGCGCGACATCATCGAGACCGTCTGCAAAACGTGCGCGGCGCCCAGCATTCAGCCTGATGCTGCTCATGCTCGTCGCACTGCTGCTCTCCCCCCTAGTACACGCGTCCGAAGGCGACCGCTCGCCCGAGTACCGCATGTGCGTCTCGTCGTGCACCGCCGACCTGTGCCGCGACGGCGTGGACGACGGCATCATGTTTGCGCACCGGCTGCCGTTCATCCTGCGCGTCACACGCTGGACGTGCGAGGACGACTGCAAGTACCACTGCACGCACCGCATCACCAACGACGCCGTCGAGCGCGTGCACAAGATCCAGCACGACGCACGCGCCCAAGTCGACGCCCTCTCGCTGCACCAGTCCATCTCGGCACCCGCGCGCGCAGCTCGTATTCGCACACTCGTCCGCACCGAGCTCGCCAAGCTGCGCCCCGTGCAGAAGCAGATGGTGCAGTTCCACGGCAAGTGGGTCTTCATCCGCTTCCTCGGCGCCCAGGAGCCGCTGTCGGTGCTGTTCAGCCTGCTCAACTTGCGCATCCACTACAACGCGCTCTTCAGCCTCCGCAAACAGCTCCCCGACGCGTTCCCGCTCAAGCTCGTGTATATTGTGCATACGCTCGTCAGCATGAACGCCTGGATCTGGTCCGCCGTCTTCCACACGCGCGACAAGGACATCACCGAAAAGCTCGACTACTTCTCCGCGGGCGCCGTCATCATGTCCGGCTTCTTCTTCAGTGCGGCGCGGCTGTTTCGACTGGCGCCGGGCGGCGACCGCTTTGTGCTGCTGCGCAGGGCGTGCATCGGTGCACTGGCGCTGCACATGCTCTACCTCAGCATCGGCCGCTTCGACTACGCGTACAACATGGCGGCCAACGTGGTGGTCGGACTGGTGCATACGCTGCTCTGGCTCACGTACTCGGTGCGTCCGACCACGTTCCCGTCGAACCCGCTGGTGGACCGCAGTGCATTCAGCCGCGCCGCGATGCGCGCGGCCAAGCCGTCGCTGTCGGCGCTCTCGACGCCCACGCCGCTCTCGAACGGCGCAGCCACCCCGCCCGTGCCCGTATCCACCAACATCGGCCCGCCCAGCTCGCACGCCAAGCGGCGCCGACGCCTCCAGCTCATCCTCGCGCTCATGACGGCGTCGGTGCTGCTCGAGCTGCTCGACTTCCCGCCCGTGCTGCGCATCGTGGATGCACACGCGCTCTGGCACCTCGCCACCGTGCCCATCACCAGCATGTGGTACGACTGGCTCGTGGCGGACGCGCAGGAGTGCGTGAGCACCGGATGGTGGCTCTCCGAGCGCAACGGGCAGGCACAGGCGGGTCAGCTCGGCTCGACGCTCGAGCAGATGAGCGAAAAGCTCAAGGGCAGAGCCGCCAGCCTCGCGCAGAACATCGAGCTCAACGCACTCACCGCCAAGCTCAACGAGCTCGCCAACAAGGCCGGATTTAGCGGCCGCGGCGGCGATGCGACGGGCAGCGGGGCGGGGCTGCTGGGTCATGCCACCGGCGTGGATGGAGACGGCAGCGGCCACGGCATCGATATGGACGTGCACGCGCGCGCCAAACCTGCATCCGCGCCAGCACCAACGCCAGGGCCAGCTGCCACAACGTCCACGACGACGGCGTCAGGAAAGGCGAAGGATACATAGCGCAGCTCATCGCAGCATGTAATGGAAAAGAGGACGTTGCGTCGTCCCTGTTGAGAGATGAAGTGCAGGCATGAGTGAGAGGATGAGGTGGAGCAATTTGGCTCGGAAGTCGGAGTGCGAAGATCGGAGGCAAAGGCAAAATTTAGGGTCCTTGGCCATGCGGCGCTTTTTGGTTATTCCATCATCATCTGCACCAGCACCCTTACCTTACCTTCCAGATATACACTACAGCAGCATGGCCGAGGCAGTAGGATCGACGTCGGCGGCGGGGAGTGCGCGCAAGCGGGTGCGCAAGCGCACGCGCAAGTCCAAATCCAACACTACTGCACACGATGACTCGGACGCCGAATCGCTCGACACACCGCACCACACCTCCGCACCCGTCACGACTACTCCTTCCGAGCCTGCACGGGTTGCTGCGGCAAGTGTACCTGCCCCTGCGCCTGTAGCTGTAGCTGCACCCAAGAAAATGGCAAAGGTGGCGGAGGTGAACCCGCACAAGCCGTCGTTCATTACGCGGCCGACTGCGCCGGGTGGACGGCGGTATACAGTGTCGGTCGCCATCCCGGGCTCGATTGTGGTCAACGCGCAGTCGCCCGAGCTGCAAAGCCGGTTGGCGGCGCACATTGCGCGCGCGTGTGCGATATTCAACGTGGACGAGATTGTCGTATTCGACGAGGGGGATGTGCGCTCCATTGACCCCGACGCGCATGCGCAGCAGCGTCCTGCGCCGCGCGGCAACAAACGACGCTGGAGCGAGCCACAGTCCGCCCCACACGAGGGCGAGGGCGAGGGTGAGGAACAGCAAGAAGAGTCCGAAAACAAGGGCTTCGATCCACAGACGTTCCTGGCGCGCGTGTTGCAGTACCTCGAGACGCCGCAGTACCTGCGCAAGGCGCTCTTCCCCATGCATCGCGATTTGAGGCTGGCGGGTTTGATGCCGCCACTCGACTGTCCGCACCACCTGCGCTTCGAGGACGAGTGCGAGTACCGCGAAGGCGTCACCGTCGACCCTCCCCACTGGGCCCGCGGAAGGGGTCAAGGTGTATACGTCAACATTGGACTTCGTGATCCGATCCAAGCCACTCTCCCCGGTGGTGTGCCTGCACGCGTGGAGACCGGCACCCGGGTCACGGTAAAGATGCCCTACACCGTTCACGAGGCGGGCGAAATCGTCTCTCCGCGCGAACCGGTGGAAAAGCTCGGTTGGTACTGGGGCTACACGGTCCGCCTCGCACCGTCGCTCTCGGCCGTGCTAACCGACTGTCCCTTTGGCAGCGAGTACGATCTCGTCATTGGTACTTCCGAGCGCGGGGTTTCGCTGACTGACCTCGCGCTCGCTACGAGCCAAGCTACACCGGTTGCCACGCCCGAGGGCCAGACCGTCCAGCCGCTGGCCAAACCCCAACATGCGCTGATCGTGTTCGGCGGTCTGAGCGGGCTGGAACTCGCGGTCGAGGCGGATCAGGGCATTCAGCTGGACAGGAACAATGCGGCCGAGCTCTTCGATGCCTGGGTCAATGTCGTGGATAATCAGGGGTCTAGGACGGTCAGGTCGGAAGAGGCGATCATGATCGCACTCGCGCGCGTCAAGCCGATTCTAGACCACCTCGCCGCTGCAAAGTAGTATGCATAGCAATCAAAGACACCTCCACCTGGTATGGGCCGCGTCTCATGCTCGTTCCGAAGCCTCACGCACACGCAGTGAATGAGGTTCGGTCCCGCGCCCCGAGTGTGATGGCGAGAGAACTCGACCAGCTCAAGTATGCGAGGTTGAAAAGCAGATTGCATTGGTCGCCACGGGTCTTAGACGTCGTCGTCGTTGTCGTCGTCCCTGAATCTGGGGTTCTGCGGTTCAAAGCGAAAGTCGTCAGCACACGATCCACCTTGAAAGCGAGAATCAAGTTGGGGCCTACCTTTTCAGACTTGCCATAGAGTTCCTGGTCCTCTTGGTCGTAGCTCCTCTCTCTCTTGGCATGCGGCGCGGCTGTGGGGGCAGCGTGGCCTCTTGCATCTGCCTCGAGTTCATCGTACAAATGCTCTGCGCCCTCCGGCACGAGACCTCCACCGCCCGAATCCATGCCCGCCTGCTCCTGATACAACTGCTCCCTCTCGAGCCTCCTCTGCTGTTCTGCCTCGATCTTCTTCCTCTCCTCCTCCTCCCTCAGCCTATTATGTCCCCACCCACCCCTGCCTGCATCGTACTCCTGGCGGTACTCGTCCCTCACCTGACCGCCGCTTCGACCGCGCCCGTACTGTCGGCCCTCCTTATAACCGGGATCCAGGTCACACCGGATGACGCGTTCGTCGAGCTTGGTGCCCGAGACGTAGCGCATGCAGTCGACCGCCTCGGCGTGAGTGTAGAACTCGACGAACGCAAACCCGCACGGCGTCTTCTGGTTGCGGTCCAGCCCCATGATGATGCGCTTGATGCCGCCGCCCGCACCGACGTTGGCAACGCGCCCGAAGACCTCGTAGATCTGCTCCTCGGTCGTGTAGAACGACAGATTGCCCAGGTAGAGCGTCGCAGTTTGGCGCAAAGCTTGCTGCTGCTCGTGCTTGGAGCTGTGCGAGCGCGAGTCGCGGTCTGATCGAGAAGTCGTTAGTTGCTGCATCGACGAGGTGTGACGGTGGTGGAAGTGTGGGGGGACTTACACGATGATGGCGCATCGAGCGGCTCGAGGATGTGCGACATTGTGAGGAGGTGGTTCCCAGCTGGTGGTGGTCAATGGTTGGTGCGGATGATGGTCTTGATCCGTCAAACAAGTCGCGCGCCTTGAGGGAATGGCCGAGTTCCGAGTTTGGGTCTCAAAAAAGTGGCGCCGAAGGAACAGGCTCCGGCAATATGCTCCACATGGGTGCTTCATGGCCACCACCCCACCGCCCCGGCCCGCACAGGATGACCGACGACGAGCAGCGCACACCTTCGCCGCTCACGCCGCCACTCGAGGCGCTCTACTGGACGCAGTACGGCCAATGGTACCCCATCTTCCGCAAGCACGCACCCAAGTCCACGGTGATCGACATCCGCACCGTCGAGCCGCGCTTCCTCGACTGGCTGGGCGCCGACACGTTCATCCTCCCCGACGGCAGTGGGCCCTCGACTCTACCGCGCTTCAGCTCCGCCAACTCCACCGGCTCCAGCTTGTCGCATAGCGATGACGAGGATGAGGACGAGGAGGCGGAGGAGGCGGAGGCAGTGGTGAGGCTCTCGAGTCTGGATGCGGCGATCCGCGCGGTGGTGGAGCGGTACAACGGCGGGCCGGTGTTCGCCAAGCTCAACTGGAGTGCGCCGCTGGATGCGAGCTTTATGCTTGCGGGCAACAACCTGCAGTGCATGCATCCGGAGGACGTGTACTTGCTGCTCAAGAGCAGTGAATTTGTCGGGCGCGATCTGGAGCAAATCAGCCAGACCCTTCACCCTTCGGACACGGCGGCGGACGGCGGGGCGGCACTTGAAGTGAGCACTGCGGATGCGGGAGTGGTGGGAGAGATTCGGCCGCAACTGGTGCTGAAAAAGTGGTTCCAGCTCGCAAGGTCGTACGAGTTCCGCTGCTTTGTGCGCGCACGCACGCTGCTCGCCATCTCCCAGCGGGACATGACGTTCTACGACCATCTACAGGACACGCACCTCCAGGCACAACTACGCACCGCCATCCACACCTTCTGGCAGACAGTAGTTGAAGGGGCGACCGAATTTCCACTTCGCGATTATGTGCTGGACGTGTATGTGACCAAAGACCTGGGGCGGGTGTGGATCATCGACTTCAACGCCTGGCTGCCGCGTACCGATCCGCTGCTATACACCTTTGACGAGCTGGAGCAGCTTCACCTTGACCCCCCCGCGCAAGCAGAGCTGCGCGTGCTGGAGGATAAACGTCTCAGCTCCGCAGGCGGGACGGGCGCAACGTATAGCAGCAACATGGTCCCCACCGACCTGGTGCAGTTCGCCAAATCCTCCTCCGCCGGCACAAATTCCACTCACCCTCAGTCGGTCGATCAAATTGTTGCCAGCTGGAACGCCCAAGTCGACTTGGAAGACTCCCACACACCTTAAGACCGGCTTGTATTCATATCGTCGCCGTGCCTAATCCTGCATGCCTACATCCATGGTCTTCTTCTTGCTGCTTCGTGGCTGTTGCGACTTTTTCGGCGTCTTTGTGGGTGACTTTTTCCGCCCAGCTTCGGGCTCCTCTTCAACCTCTGCCTCCTCGTCGTCGCCGTCAAGGTGGTCGTCGAGCATATCGTCGTCTTGATCTTCATCGCCGTGCGCCGTGTACCAGTCTTGCACCTTGATCGCCAGCAACCTATCAATATCCGGCACCGGCTGGTTGGCCAGCGCGTTCCAGCCGAACTTCTTTGCGACTGCCAGACGCGCGCGGTTTCTCCTACCCATCAATCCCCTATACTGCTCCACAAGCGCACCCATATGGTCCAAGCTCTTCATCAGAACCACCGCTTCCGACCTGGGTCCCGCACGTCCGTCGATCTTTTCGCCGTCGATCTCAATCCCGCCCTCGGCTTCGCCCTTCTTGCCCGCTCCCGCGGGCTTCTTCTTCTTGCCCGCGCCCTTGCCCTTCTTGTCATCCTCGTCGTCGCTGCCGTCGGAGCTGTCGTCGTCGCGCTTGGTCTTGGTGCTCGCCTCGCGCTCGAGCGCCTCCCTGAGCGACGGCACAATATCACACAGCAGCTCGTAGCCCTTGCGGATATTCGCACGACGCTTCTGCTCCGACGCAATGTGGTTCGCCTTCTTTTCTTCGGTGGTGAGCAGCGTATGCTGCTTCTTCTCCTTCTCCGCCTCCTCCGCCTCGCGCTCCAGATCCTCCGCCGTCGGCTCGGGCTTGATCTCGAGGCCTGTGCTCGCGTCGATGAGGCCGTTCTCGATGTGCTGCTGCCGAAGCATGTCCAGATGCGGCTGCGTGCGCTTCTCCAGCCGCGGCGGCGTAAAGTGCGCATGCAGGTTCGAAGGAAGCATGCGCAGCGCGCCCTCGAGGTCCAGATCCAGGTTGGCCAGGTCGGCAAGCGCACGGATCACCGCACCGGACGGACCGGCATTGAGCGACAGTCCCTGTGTGGGCGCCGTTTTGGGTGCGCCTGACGACGTGCGCTTGAGGCCCAGAGCGCCTGTCGATCCCGAGGGGGATGCAGACGATGCCGCCGGCGCCGCCCATCCGGCCGATGCGCCGCGCTGAGACGGCTTGGCCGAGCCCGTTTCATGACCAGATGCTCGCGACGCCCTGCCCTTGGGAGTCGAGCTGCCCTCTCCTGCATCCTGCTCGTCTGGCTCTGCGCCACCTAGCAACGATGCAGCACCCAGGCCCGCATCTCGGTTGAACATGGCGAGGGCCTGTGCGGAGAAGCCGTTGGACATGCCGCCCACCGCCGCATTGCGCATGTCGTGCTGCCGCGCCGCTTGCGCGCCCTGCTGGAGCGAGCCAAAGTTGTGGCTGCTGGGGAACTGTGCGCCGAGCATAGCCAGCCCAGCGTGTCCGTCGTCAGCTCCCGGATAGAAGGGAGCACGGTTATGCTGCTGCGCCAATTGCTGCTGCTGCTGCTGTTGCTGTTGTTGTTGCAAATGATGTTGCTGTTGCGCCTGCAGATGCGCTGGCGTCTGAAAGAAGAGGTTATCGTACGGCCCGGTAAAGATGGCCGAGGCGCTGGCGCGTCTCTGATGCTCGTTGAGTGCTGCGTGGAGAGGATGCGCTGCGGAATGTTGTTGTCCACGGCTTGCCTGTGCTTCGAGGAAGGAGAGCTGTTCCATCTGCCACGCCTTGTTCTTGCCGTATCCTGCTGCCGCGGCTGCGGGGGAGAGAGGACCGGTGGCGGCCGAGAAGGAAGCGTGACGGCCGGCTGGATGTGCCTGGGAGTAACTCTCGTGGATGTGTGCGCCCGGAAAGGGAGAGTTGCCCGGTGGCGTCGCTCCACCAGGACGATGGCCGTAGAGGTTGAAGCTGTTGAGTCTCTGTGCGCTGCTGGACGGGTCGTGCTGGCCTGGTGCCGACGAGGTGAAGGCCATGGCGTGCGAATTGTGGCCCGAGAGACTGCGTGTTCGCATGTCGAGCGCGGTGCCAGGTTCGACGAGGGCGTTGTGTGCGAGCATGTTGGCCGACGACGAGGACTGCGATGCGAGGTGGTCGTGTGTGGCTGCGATGTTGGGGGGCAGCAGGGAGGGCACCTTGAAGCCTGGCGCACCGATGGTGAAGGGGTCGAAGGACTCGGCGGATGAGAGCGAATCTGTGATGAATTTGGACTCTTCCGAGCTGAAGAGGGAAGATGAGGCTGATGGAGCGCCGGACGACGAGGAAGCGCCGAGCGTGTGACCGTTTGCAGTGGGAGTGAGCGAGGCCGAGGAGCCGGAATCCGACGACGCCGATGGCGGCTGGGGGATGGCGAACGACATGAGCGTGGAGCTAGGCTAGCCGAGCCACATTGGCGCTGGTGATGAGGAGGTGGTGGATGATGGTAGTGGTGATGGAGTGGAAGGCCGGGTGGGGTGGAGTGGATGGGCACAATGCTCAGCTCGCTTGGATGGCCCACGGCTCTTTTGATGGCTCTTTCGCCTTCCGGCTAAGTGACTGTCGAGCCACCTTGAATTTTGCCTAAAATGTGGGGATTCGGATCCGTGCTTTGGCGGCTGAAGCGCGGTTTCACACGCATCCGCTTTTGGCATTTTCGGCTCCACCCAAATTCACTCACACTCTGCTCAAGATTGCTCAACCCGCTGCTGCTCGCTTCATGCAGCATGGTGTGCAGCATCCCCTGCATTCAGCCATCAGATGTGTGTGCATGGTCGTATTATAAAAAGAGTGCAATTACATGTTGGCGCCCTCTGCATCGGTGGGGCTTCCGATGAGGCCCACGTCGGCTTCGCGTAGCCTCGCTGCGAGCCTTTCTTCGTGACTGCGATGCTGGCTGTCGGATCTCGTCCTGCCACCCAAGACGCCAGCGCCGAGAATGCCATCCTGCAGTGGTCTTGCATCGCTTGTCGCCAACGAAGTCGTTTCGTGCTGCAATGAGCGTCCTGCGTTGACCGAGATCGAGATTTTGGGCGCGCGCGGCCGCGTCGAGCTCGACGAGCCCAGTGGCGCTTCGGCAGCAGTGGCATCGGTCGTGGGTTGTGGCTGCTTGGCGTGCGACGAGACGCGATGAAGTGCTGTCGCCGAAGCGATGGGTGCCGAGCGTACGCTGGGAATCCTGCCCAGCGTCGCGCTCGATGCCGTCGACTGCGTTGGGGTGTCGTGCGACTGCTGTTCTGCTGGCTGCTGCTGCTGGCTCGCGATGGTCGAGGGGAGATAGCTCCAGCCGTACACGTCGGCCACAAACTTGGCAATGTCAGGCTGTGGCTGCCGCGTCTCGGACTTGCGGATGAAGGGATGGCTGATCATCTTGTGCGGGCCCGGTCGCTTGGTGGGCTCCTTTTCGAGGCATCGCTCGATAAAGTCGCGCAAGGCGCGCGACCACTTGACGCCCGCCTTGTCGTCGTCCTGCAGCTCGGGCACCTTCATGTTGACCACGTACGAGAGCAGGTCGATCGGCCCCAGTGGTGGCTCGCCCTCGGCGGGGAACGGGAATCGGTTGCTCGCTACCTCGAGGATGGTGAGCCCGAGCGACCATACGTCCGAGGTGATGGTATACGCCAGCCCGCGGATCCTCTCGGGCGCCATGTAGTAGCTTGTGCCCGTGAAGGTGCCGGCGACCGAGTTGATGAGCTCGCCCGACACGCCAAAGTCGCACAGCTTGATCTGGCCCTGGCGCGTGACGACGATGTTGCTGGGCTTGATGTCGCGGTGGATGATCTTGCGCTCGTGCAGGTAGCTGAGCCCCTTGAGCACGCACTCGGCCACCTTGCCCAGCACCTTTTCGCCCGTGCGTCCGTTGCGGCTCTTGACCTTTTTGTAGATGGCATCGAGCGAGCCCGCCTCGGCATACTCCATGCAGATGGCGATCGAGGTGTCCTGGTCCTCGAGGAAGGCGCCGTAGTAGCGTACGATGTAGTCCGAATGGCACGATCGGTTGAAGGCCAGCTCGCGCAGGATCTGACGGTGGATCGCCGGATTGGGCGAGGTGGAGATGGTCTTTTTGGCCATGATGAGACCGGTGGGGCGATGGCGCACCTTGTGCACCTCGCCGCTGGCACCTTCGCCTAGCCTCGAGAGCATCTCGAAGTTGCCTGCCAGCACGAGCTCGTCGTCGTGGCCAGTCGAGCTTGCGGCACGATTGGAAGCGACCGAGGCGCTCGAATCGGCGCGTGAACGCGACTGAGACGCTGGTGTGGCGCTGTCTGTGGCGGCGCCGCTTGATTCGATCGAAGCGGCTTGGGAGCTGTTGGCGGCGCTGTTGGACCTCCAGTAGCCGCTGGAGGCATAGTTGCCGCCGGTAGCCGGGATGCGAAGTCCGTTGGCATCGACACGCTCCGAGTCGGAGTCTGCCATGGAGATTCCACCGATGGCGCGACGGAGGTCGTCTGTGATGGCGGTGTGCATGTGTGCATTGGTGAGGTGCGGTACGGTGCTTGGGTATATGGTGGAAGCGTTGGACGTGTCGATGCCCGGATGGCCATCTTCGTAGCCGTCGTCGGGATATGGCTGGCCGAGCGAGACCGAGGAGGAGGCGGCGTTGGGGATGGCGAGCTGCGGACGCTGCAACGACGCCTCGTCGCGCTGGAGTGTGCCGCCGGGAGCCGAGGAGGATGAGGTGGGGCGCGCTGGGATGGTGAGCTTGGGCATGCCCGGCTTGCGCGGCTTTTTGGGTGGGATGAGCGACGCCATGGTGGCCAAGGCGGCTCGAGTCGAGCGAGGTTGAGAAGGAAGCGAGCTCGTAGCAAGCCTCTGCCTGCTTGGACTAGGATCGCAAGCGCATGTGCTTGACCTTGCGTGGCGTCGATGCTCAAGGCGTTCGAAGAGGTGAGGCGGTGATGGTCGGTAGTTGACAGATGGGCTTCTTTTCCGACCAAGAAAAGTGCGTTTGGAAGCCGCCTCCGCACGGTGCACTGCTGGCTAAAAAGTCGAGTTTGTGAGATCGTTGGTATATCACATTTTCGATCTTTGAAATTGCGATGTGGGCGCGGCCATCGAGGCGAGGCTGAGCTGCCGCGCCTCCGCAAAGGGTCCTCGGCGTGTTGCTCTGCTGCTCCACTTTGGTCGGCTGGGCTGCGAGCTGGTCAACTCTGCATCCATCGTTGCTGCTCGTCATCCACCCTCCACCCTCCACCTTCCACCTTCCACCTTCCACCTTCCACCTTCCACCCTCGCAGACACACCTGCCATTGCGGAACAGCCCGCATCCAGCACTCATCCGACGACCGCGCCACTCCAGGCCCCTATCTGCCTCCACATGAACATCATCGACTCGCTCTTTGGGCGCACAAAGTCGCCAGCCGAGCGGCTGCGGCAGCACCAGCGCACGCTCCAAAAGGCGCAACGAGAGCTCGATCGCGAACGCACAAAGCTCGAACAGCAGGAGAAGAAGCTCACACAGGACATCAAGAAGAGTGCACGCGCCGGCCAAATGGTGAGCATCCCCAGTCGCCCACGCTTTCCCCAAGTGCCCAACACTGACTCCACCGTTCCTCCTTGACTTCCTGCTTTCACAGCCCGCGTGCAAGGTCATGGCCAAGGACCTCGTGCGCACGCGCAGACACATCCACAAGTTCTACCAGATGAAGACGCAGCTCCAGGCCGTCTCGTTACGCATCCAGACGCTGCGCAGCAATCAGCAGATGGCCGAGGCCATGAAGGGCGCCACGCGGGTAAGCTCTCTTTGCTCAACGTGCTCACCACCGCCCAAGCTGACTTATACTTGTGACTCCTCGGCAGGCCATGGGAACCATGAATCGCAGCATGAATCTGCCCGCGATCCAGCGCATCATGCGCGACTTTGAGCGCGAGTCCGCCACGATGGACATGAAGGACGAGATGATGGGCGAGGCCGTCGACGAGGCCATGGACGATGAGGACGAGGGCGTAGGCGAAGAGGAAGAGTCCGACAACATCCTCAAGGAGGTCCTCGATGAAATCGGCGTCTCCGTCGGTCAGCAGCTCGGCGAGGCTCCCACCGCCGCATTGTCCGCACCACAGGCCGCACCCCAACAGCGCATCGCCATCGGTGAAGGCGCTGCTGGCGGTGGAGGTGGAATCGGTGCTGGCGCGAACAAGGACGAAGATGCCCTCCAAGCTCGTCTCGACAATCTGCGTAGAGATTGATCCTCCGCTCTTTCCGCTCTTTCGTTCATCGTCTCTGTTGTTGCCGAAGCGTCACGCGTGCTTCACAGCGTCTTTGTTGGCCATGTGCATTTGTCATTAGATTACGGTTTGATTCTTCGGCACGCCGTTTGTGTCCGGTTGACCCTTGGATAAGATGCAGGATGAGCGCTGCAATCGTATTGAACGGCCAAAACAGCGCTGGCAGCTGCAATATCGACGCACAGGACACGCGTCCAGAATGCAGCTCTGGCAGCGTGTGTGTGGAGCGGAACGCTTCTCCACTTGCCACGTACGACCCCTCTTTTTATCCAACACCATCCCCGCATTCTGCCTTAACCGGGTATTCCTCTCTTCCACCTCGGCCCGCCGCGCTCGTGTTGACCGGGTCTGCCAAGGCGACTACATGCATGGTTGCGGTTGAAGCCGTTCCTCTTCGACGCATCGAACCACCTGCGCATGGTTCGTCCACCCATACAACCATCCCGCATAGACGCAGTCTCGACCCCAGCACGCCGATGGTGACATCGCGCGAGCCTGCGGGCCTTCGCACACGGCAGCAACCCTCGCCACTGCAAAAACGCACGTCGTACCGTCTCAACACCGCGTTCTTCTTATTTGGCCTGCTCAACAATGCGCTCTACGTCGTCATCCTCACCGCTGCACTAGAGCTGCTTCCCCAAGGCGTACCCACGGGGCTGGTGAGCTTTGCCAACATCTTTCCCGCGCTGATTGCAAAGGCCGTTTGGCCGTACCTCCTGCGCGGGAGGGTGCGATATACCCGCCGCGTATGGTCGTGTGCAGGGCTCAGCTTCGTAGGCATGTTGCTCGTCTCGTTCTTCCCCGCCCTCACAATGCGTCTACTCGGCATCTCGCTCGCGTCGTTCTCGTCCGGTCTGGGCGAGCTGACTTTCTTGCAACTCAGCACGAGGTATGCTCCCAAGCATCGAAGCGGCGCGTTGACAGCAAGTGCTGCGGCGAGTGCAGGGATCGAGACCAACTTCGCGGGAGATGCGGTCGGATGGTTTGCCAGCGGCACCGGTGCGGCGGGTCTCGTGGGCGCCGCGGCCTGGTGGGTCGTAAGACCGCTGGGTGTGCAGACGGGTATGGCGATACTAAGCATCCTGCCGGGTTTCATGGTGCTAGCGTACCTAGCTGTGCTGCCGTCGATCGATCAGCTGCTGCACCCAAGTCCAGGCCAAGCGCAATACGCCCCCATCTCAACATCCGACGACGCTACAAGCCCAAGTCGCGAGCAGCTTCACGACGACGATGAAGACGAAGCTGCGCCCCTCAACGGCGCCCAAGCGGACACCGGCATTTCAAGCCCCAAAGACGGCCATGGCGACGACGATGTCAAGGTGCGCTTAAGTTTCGCGGAAAAGATGACGCTGCTTCGTCCGATGTTGCTGCGCTACATCCTACCGCTGGTCACTGTGTACTTTGCCGAGTATACGATCAATCAAGGCGTAGCACCCACGCTGATCTATCCATTGCCGACATCGAGCTCGCATCCGCTGCTGGCGCTGGTGGTCAAAAAGCTTACCGACTACTATCCGCTGTACCAGCTGGTGTACCAGACGTTTGTCTTTCTCTCTCGCTCGTCCATATCCATCTTCAAGCTTCCTGCCATCCCTCGCCACCTTCTCTGGCTGCCTGCAGTGTTGCAGACGGCACTTCTGATGCTACTCGCTTCAGAGAGTTTGTATGCGTGGTTTAGGCAGAGCATCGCAAGCCCGCTCGTCATCGTGCTGATCTGCATCGAGGGTTTGGCAGGTGGTGCGGCGTACGTGTCGGTGTTCTACAGCATCGGTGTGGACGAACAGACCCATTCAAACCCCATTGCTCTCCCCTCTGCGACGGACGATGCCATTCAAGCGGAAGACGGCGAGCATGCATACGATCAGTCGTATGCAATGGCAAAAAAGGCCCAGGAACACGAATTCCGCATCGGCTGCGTAGGCGTACGTTCACCCCCCACACTTCCCCAAACAGCATGACCATTCTCTAACCTCTTCTGCTTTTTGGTGTATATAGTTCGGAGACAGCCTCGGCATCCTTGCCGCAAGCCTGATCAGTATGCCCCTCCAGCTGGGGTTGTGCAACGCCCAAGTCGCCGCCGGCCGCGACCTCTGCAAGCAAGCCTAGCCCCGCGCCGTGTCAGCCGCTCGGTTTGGAATCCTAGATAGCCCGCCCTACGTTTGTCTCTTCCGCTCGCGCAACCATGCATGCCTGCGGTCAGCTCCGTGTGCAAGATGAGCCTCCAGTGTCCTGCAATAGCAAGGCTTCGTCCAATCGACCAGGGTCTTGGAAGGTGCGTATCAAGGGAAAGTGTATATTCACACATGTTGTGCCCTCGCAGCTCAAAGTGGTCCTATAGCTCAGCGGTAGAGCGTCGGCTTCCAGTCGCTCTATTTCAGGAAATTTCCGAAGGTCATCCGTTCAAATCGGGTTGGGATCATCCTCTTTTTTTTCGTGCTTCCCACCGCATCGCTCTCAAATGTTCCATCGTCGCACTTAAAGCCATCTGCATTCAAGCTTATACAAGTCTCGCAGAATTGAGAGCAGCATGCTACGTTGAACATGACAAGAACAGTAAAAGCAAATGCAGAAACAACTACAGCCGCGTCGTTGGATGAAGCGAACGAGGGATCAAGCAAACTGGCTTTTGCGCATGAGGTTGCGGCGCACACGTCGTTTCTCTGATCCCAGCTGGAGCGGCGCGTCGGTTGCGGCGTCGCGGTGCGACTTGGTGTTGAGACGCGCAAGGTTGGCGACGTGCGGCCACTCGAGGTACGGCACCTGGTTTCTGGGCATGCCTGCAAGCAGCGGCTCGTCCGACGCCTGCGTCTCTCCACGCTCAGCATCCTCAGCTGCATCCGGACGGCCGAGGGCAGGGACGACGTTGAGTCGGCTCTCGCGCGCCTCGCGGATCGCTTCAAGGTCGAGCGACGCCCAGACGGGCAGCTCAATTGCACCCTTGACGATGCCCATGGCTCGTCCTGCTCCTGACTCGAGCTTCAGCTCACCCAGGAACTCGGGATCCACAGGGGTGAGCAAGTGGATGTGACCCGCATCCACATCGATCGAGCGCACGATGCCAAGTCCCACGCAGCGCGTGCCGAGACGCTTGCCCGAATGCACGATGCGCGCAGCTCGGTGGAAAGCCCGCTTCCACGTGTTGACCATCCCGCCGTCCTTCTGCGCTGCGTCCACAGCCACCTCGTCGTCAGCCGCACCGCTGTCAGAATCCGTCACGATGATCGCCACAATGGACGCATTGATCGCCATGAGCTTCAGGCTGTCCGGCACGGAAGAGCCCAGCGCAAGCACACGGATACCGGCCTTGAGCCCTCCGTCCACGTCGACCACAAGCGGAGGTCGATGCACCAGCGGCTCGGTAAAGTTCCACGTTCCACGCACTGCCGCCTGGGCGGCCGACGCTGGAGCGAGCCCCTGAGCATACAGGTAGCTCATCAGGTTGAGCAATCGAGCCTCGGTAGGCGCGAGCTTGGAAGCCACTTCGGTGACATAGCGAGGAGGAGTCGCGCCACCATCGCCTGTGCCGGTCTGTTCCGTTGTGCCCGCACCGACGCCTGGCTGGCTGCTCTGCTCGGCGTCTGCTGGACCAGGAGCGCCAAATTCGAGCTGCGAAACGCTCTCGAGTGCGGCGATCTCGGGACCTGCACCGAGGATGGCGCCATCGACGTCGAGCCAACGTGCGCCACGGAAGGGTGCAGGTACGATGCCGGCCGATCCGCGCGGGATCACGTCCAAGATGTGCGTGGGGCGCAGCAGCGGCTCGAGCCTGGCGGCGAGGTCGGCGCCAAGCCCCTTGATCCAGCCCTGCGTGTTGATGACGAGCGGCACGCGTTGCTGCGTGCCAGTGGCATCGGCCTGACCAGGCTGAATGTGGGTGCGGAAGTATTCGATGAGATCGTGCACGGCCGCGACGTAGCTCTCCGGGTCATCGCGCGGCGTCACATCACCGACAAAGTGAGCACGAACAGGAACGCGAGGCTGACACCAGCCTGGACCCAGTGTGACGCAGGCGCCTCGAGCAACTTGCTTGTCGCCGTTCTCGGTGCTCTGAGCAGGACCTGTGCCAGATGTGGCATGCTCGCCAGCTGTCTGGCCTGTACCTTGATCATCGAGAGAGGCGTCCTCGCGCTTGAAAACATGCAAGGCTACCATGCCCGGCGGACCAAAGTCGGTTTGGCCGAGGTCGAGCTCGAGGTAGGCGACTGCGCCGCCGATGTTGCTGCCGAGCGAGAGGATACGCTCGAGGGCCATGCGGCTCAAAGTGCTCTTTCCCACCTTGCGATTGCCGCGAATGAGGGCGACGACGGATTCCTCCTGCGGATGCTGGGCAGCCGAAAGCGCCGATGAAGCCAGGCGATGCAGCGCATTCTGCCATGCGTGAGGGATGTAGGTCGCGCTGAGGCCCGCTGTGGGGTAGGCGCCGGAGCTAGTGAGCCTCTTTTGTCTGTTGGCAAGCTGGTCAACATCGGGGGCGAGAAGCACCTTGATGGTGGCGAGCTGGTGAAGAGTGCCGAGCTCGAGATTGGGAGGAGCCGAGAACGGCGTGGCGAGGCCGCCGATCGGGCAAACCTGACCCAGCGCGGTGATGGGCGACGTCAGCGGTGTGAGCTTGATGATGGCGTCGAAAGGCTGAGCGAAGAGACGAGCCGCCTCGGCGTCATGGGTGTCCTCGCTTTGAGATGCGTCTGTGGGAGATGCCTTGTGTCCTGGAAGGCGCGCGGGTGGGACGCATCTGAGCACGGGAAGCGCGTGACAGATTGGCGCATGCACCTTGGCGGATTGGAAGCCGTCGGTCGAGGTGGAGAGGACTGCGCCGCCGATCTGAACGCATCCTCGGAGCACGCGGACGCATCCGATTCCAAGCAACGAGAGCGTCTCGTCGTGTCGGAGGCCGAAATAGAGCGCCTCCTTGGAACGCTTCTTGTTCTCCTTGACGATCGTGTTTGGCGTCTGCCCGTCAAGCACGGCCTCGAAGTGGGAGTAGGGGACGGCGTCCAGTAGGGCATCGCGGGGCAGAGCTGGTGTAGCCTCTGCCTCGGCGTCGATAAACTCGACATCGCTTTCGCCTGCATGTGCGGCACGACGGGGCTGTGACTTGTTGGAGCGGGCGGGGCTTTGGTTGGGTTCCGGCTTTCGCCTGCGTGCATTTGGAACGGACCCTGCTTGAGCGTCTGCCTGCCCAGCCTCATCGTCAGACGAGTCGTCGGATTGGGTTTCCGCCTGCGGAGTCGCTGCGTCCTCGTGAGATGAAGACGCGTCGTCGGAATCGTCGTCGGCAAATGCCAAGAATCCAGTCGTGGGATCCTCGACTGGCATATCCGAAGAGCCGACTTTGGTCTTGGCATGCTTCCCGGCCGAGCCGGCAAAGTAGCGTCGAACTGCTTTGATCCCGCTTTGGTCTGGTGAGGCAAAGAGCGATCGCTGCTTGCTGGCACTCTTCTCGCCAGCTTTCGGCGCAGCCTTGGCCCGTTCTCTCTTTGTGGGAGTGGCCTTCTCGGCCTTCTCCTTTTTCGCAGCAGTGGCCCGCCCTGTCTCTGCCTTGTCTGCCTTGTCTGCCTTGCTCTTTGGCGTGGTCTTTGAAGGCGTGGCTGCGGCCGCGGTGCGCTTTGATGCGGCCTTGGATGACTCGGCATGATCCGCCTTAGATTTGGAGCCAGACGCGGCTCGTCCGGCGCGTTTCTTACGCGGCGGCGGCTGTTCCGACTCGGAGTCGCTGTCGTCGGCCATTCCGACTCGGAGATCGTCGATGATTTGCTGCACCGCCTGCTCCAGCTCATCTTCGGCCTGCTCCCGAGCCGATGTGCCGGACGATTTGCGCTTTTTGCTCGAGGATGCAGGTGTGGATGAGGTCGAGGCATCCGCAGAGACGCCCTTGGAGGCACGTCGACCCGGTGTGCTCTTCTGTGGTGTGGTGCTGCTGGTAGTCTGCTTTGTCGACTTTGGCGTTCGCTCAGTGGCACTTGCGACCGAGTTCCTCCTGGGTCGCGTCGCAGCAATCGAGTCCGGCTGCTGAGTCGTCGAGGACCTTCGCGTTCGCTTGGCGGAGGGCGAAGGGTCGGCACGACTGGCTTTGGTTGGTGTCGCTGCAGCTGCGCGCCAGCTGGCCTCGAACGAGAGAGTCTGTGAAGCTGTCAAGGGCGCGATCACCACCTCCACGCCCGATGAGTCGACATGCTGGGACGAAGCAGCATGTTCGCCTGAAGAAGCCCTACGTGACGATCCAGACGGCGTGGAAGTCGAAGCGCTCTTGCCATTCTTGTCGTTTGCCGCGGCTCCCGATGGCCGTCTGGGAGAGCTCTTCTGTGCCTCGGCCAGTCTGCGCGCCTCGCGGGCCGCGTAAGCACTGACGGGCGCCATCAATTGCGATACAGAGACCCAAAAGGAGAGCCTGGAGCCTATTCGGGGGTGTGATCAGGGTATGGCAGGGAAGAGGAGTTGGTAGGGTTGGTGAAAGACGTGCGGCTAAAACGCAACCGTCCGCAGTTGGCCTGGCCTGTGCCGATTCATGAAAAAAAAGCGGAGCACCAACTGCAGGCCGCACAAAGCGCTTCCGCAGTGCCCTGCAGCTGTTGTGGCTAATCCTTCGCGCACCTTTTCTTCCAAAAAATCTCGAGAAAAAAAAAGGCAAAAATCGAGTGGAGAGAGCAGGGGCATCACGTGTGGACCCGACGCCGCTCTCGACGCCTCTGCCAACTCGGTGGGCTCGTGCTAGCCACAAATCAAGCTCTTTCGACCATCACCACTCCTCACGTCACCTCGCTCACTCACCTCCGAGGCGACACTACGCACCCTCTCTCGCGAACATGCCGCCCAAGTCATCTGCTAAAGGTGGGGGCAGCGGTGGCGGCGGAAAGTCTGGCAACGCCGCCGCCTCTTCCAAAGCAAAGTCGCATCAGAACAAGGAAGAGGACCTTCAGCGCGAGCCGCTCCAGGCCGTCGTGCTCGCAGACGCCTTCTCCAAACGCCTCGATCCGCTCACCACGGACAAGCCTGCATGCTTGCTACCTCTCTGCAATGTGCCTCTGCTCGACTGGACGCTCGAAAACCTCGCTCTCGCCGAAGTCGAGGAGATCTTTATCCTCGCGAGTCGTCACTCCGACCGGATCAAGAAGCACCTAGCCACCACGCCCGCCCGATACTCGCTGCCTAAGATCACCGTCATCGCCACGCCAGATGCTCAGTCGCTTGGTGACGTGATGCGCGAGCTCGACAGCAAGCAGATCATCCGTTCCGACTTCATTCTCATCCACGCAGACTCGGTCGCAAGCATGGACCTCGCCAGCATCGTCGACGCCCACAAGCGTCGCAGGAAGAAGGACAAGGACGCCATCATGACCATCTGCACCATGCCCGTCGGCAAGCGCAGCCGCATCCGCACCCCCGGCAACCTCTCCCTCTTCTTCCTCGAGCCTCACACCTCCCAGCTCGTCCACTACGCTCCCGTGCGTGCAGCACCCCGCCTCCGCACTACCAGCCTGCCCCTCGAAGTCTTTGACGAAGATGCTGCCGCCACCACCCACAGCCTCGCACGTGCAGCCGAGGTCGACGTTCGCAACGACCTCGTCGATTGCGGCATCGACATCTGCTCCGCCGACGTCCCACCACTCTTCTCCGAAAACTTCGACTACCAGACCCTCCGTCGCGACTTTGTCCTCGGCATCCTCACCTCGGACCTTCTCGACAGCAAGATCTTTGTTCACGTCGCGCCCACCGGTCCGCCCGCTTCCGCCGTCCAGATCGCCAGCTCCTCTTTCCCCGAGGTCGTCGGCACCTCCACGTACGGGCGTGGCTATGCCGCGCGCGTCAAGTCGCCCGCCGACTACGACGCCATCTCCAAAGATGTCATGGGTCAATGGACCTATCCTCTTGGTCCAGCCGGCTACCTGCCAGGCGGTCAACGATACAGCCCCAGGTCGGGCCTCCGCTTCCTTGGCGACAATGTCGTGCTCAGCCGCACATGCCAACTTGGCCCACACACGCTCGTCGGCAGCCAGTCCGAGATTGGCGACAAGGCATTGCTACACCAGTCCGTGCTTGGATCTTCGGTCAAGGTGGGCAGCCGCACAACCATCTCTGGCTCGTATATTTGGACCGGCTCTGTGATTGGAAGCGGCTGCTCCATCGAGCGCAGCATCATCGGCGAGCGCGTCACCATCCTCGACGGCGTCAAGTTGAACAAGGGCTGCATCATTGCCGAAGGATGCACGGTCGGGCCCAACGTAGAGCTGCCCGCCTTCAGCAGGGTCGGTAACAAGAAAGAGAGGTCCGACGATGACTTTGACAGTGACAGCGAGGACGACGAGCAGCACGACAACATTCGTACCGGCGCGTCAGCATCGAACGCAGCGAAGGAGGCTTACTCGAAAGACCTCGGAGCCAAGGGTGTTGGCTTCCTTTGGCGTGCGCTTGGCGAGAAGCCGGTGCGTGCTGAAGACGACATGGATTCCGAGGCGAGCGACGAGGACGAAGACGAGGATGACGAAATTGAGCGCTCGCACAATTTGCGGCTCATGCGACTGGGTGCCGACCTCGAGGACATGGAGCTCGACGACACGCTTTCGGACATCTCCTCCGTGGGCATCGGTCGTGACTCGGAGGACGACGATGATGACGACGGCTCTGGAGCGCACACCGACAACTCCATGTCGGACGACGACGACGACGAAATGCTCGGTGGCTCCATGATGCTTTCCATCGGCGATGGCGAGACCAACGTCGAGAAGCAAGCGGCCGTGAAGCGTCTCGACGAGTTCCGCACCGAGGCGACTGCCTCTCTGGAGCGTGCATTCGAGGAGAATCACACGGTGGACGATGCGGCTATCGAGCTCAAGACGCTGCGCATGGCGTCCAACGTTCCGCTCAAAGAGGTGCGCAAGACGGTGATCGGCTTTATCCTCACCAAGTGCGAGCCGGACCAGCCCAAGCAGATGCTCGCGGTGCTCGACAAGTGGTGTCCGCTCATCTCGGTCGTGGCGGTCGACGATCAGATCGAGGCGCTTGCCACCGTGCAGAACTTCTGCGCGACGCAGCCCAAGTACTACAAGATCTTCATTCCGCTGCTCAAGAAGTTCTACAACGACGACATCATCTCGGAAGAGAACATTGTTGGCTGGTGGAAGAGCCCGCTAAGCCGCAAGACCGACGCCGACATTGGCGGCGACAAGAACCTCCAGCTTAGGAAGGCGGCCGAAGAAGTCATTCGATACATCCTCGAGAGCCAGGAGAGCTCCGATGAGGACGACGATGATGAGGAGGATGATGACGACGAGTAGAAAGTTGCGCACAATCTCAATGCAAATCATTCAGGCACCAGAAGAGATTCTCCCAGAACACATGGCACGACCGTTTTGAGTGGCGCAAAGAAGGCTTGAATTGCGCGCGAGACTACCTGCCGATGGCATTGAAGCTAGCAGCGGAGGCGCCGTACTTGAGTCTGTCGGCTTCCTCCTTGTCCTCCTGTTCTTTCTTGATTCGCTGCTGCTCGACAAGCTGTTCCTGGTCGTAGAGGTTGATGTCGTTGAGCATGCAGTCGAGTTCTGGGCTCACGATGAACTTGCGGTGGAGTTCGCCGAGCGCCGTGGCGGTTCGATTGCTCGGATCAAGCAGCATCACCTGTTGGAGGAAGGTGCTTTGCGAGCCACCAGTCACCTCCATCACCAGCTCGCCAAAGTGCAAAAACACACGTCCATCGCGGTAGACATTGAGCTTGCCCACCAGACCCTCCTTGCTGCTCGATCGGCCGCCACGCTTCGTGTCGCGCTTCTTGTCGTCTTCCTCCGAATCCGCCGCATCCGAATCATCGTCAATCTCGGAGCTGGGAGCCACTTCATCCTTGACCGACGTCGGGCGTGCTTTGCCCGCGCCACCCGTGGTTCCTTCAGCAAACGAGACGCTGCGCCTCTTGGAGGACGAAGATTCTTGGCCTTCGCTGGCCTCCGGTGCCGCAGCCGCATCCGCTGCAGCAATATCCGACTTCTTCGGTGTCTTGAACTTGGGGAAGAGCTGTGGGAACTGGAAGAGGTAGAGGCGGTTCTCGGGACTGGCATCGTCATCGTCATGGAAGACGAAATCATCCACGAGGTCGTCCATGAGCTCCTCGCCCTCGCTTTCGCTCAGATCGAGCGCATCAGCTGTTTTGCCTCTTTCTTCCTCTTCCTCTGGCTGCGGAGACACCGATGCGCTCGAGATGGCGGTCGAAGCGCCGGAAGTATGCAACGACGACGAGGCGCCTGGCTGCAGATCCGGCATGGTTTCGTCGTCTTCGGACTTGACGCGAACAGCGCCCGCGTCGCGCTCGTCCTTGGCGAGGCGATTGTCCATCTTCTTTTGGCGCGCATCGGCGGCCTTCTGTTTGTCCTTCTTGCTGGCCTTCTCGGCCACTCGCGGCAACGCACGCGGTGCGAGCTCGTCCAGGATGTGTACTTCGTCCATGTCGACGATCTCGACGCCGCCATCTTCCGGGTCGGAGTACTGCTCGGCGTCCTTGAGCTTGTCTGGGTTTCGATACGAGGCGCGGTCGGGGTCGGGTTTAGGGGTGGTGCTGCTGCGCTGGGAGTCGGAGCCTGGTGCTGGAGTGAGGCTCGATCCACCGGGCCCGATGGGAGCGACCTTCTTGCCGGTGGGACGGGCAGATGGTCCCAGAGCAAAGGGTCCCGATGCGGTCATCTGCGTTGGTTGACGAGGCGGTCGTGCGCCACCTCGGCCGCGACCTCGGCCACCGCCTCTCGTTGATCCGCCTGTGGAGCCCGGTGTAGCGAGAGGCGATGCTGTGGAAGATTCGGCAGCTGCCGATGATGTTGGCGCTGGCGATGCGGATGCCTTACGACGCTGCGGCATGACTGGACGGAATTGCATGCGGACGCCCGAGCCTGGTCCGGCGGAACCCGCTGCACCACCAGGGGCAGGCGAGGCGTATGAAGATCTGGATGGCACCATCGATGCGCTGGAAGAGACGGAGGCGCCGCGACCGAGGCCGCCACGGAGCGAAGCTGCGCCTCGCATCGAAGCCATGCCTCGCAAGGGTCGTGCTGCCGGTGGTGCGGGGGCAGCCTGTGCGCGCGCATCAGCGGGAGCTGCATTGTCGGACTGACCGGCTGGCTGGGTATTGGACGGCTGCTGCGGATTGTCCGACATGGTGCTAGCAGCGGCTCGAATGTCGGCGAGTTTGAAGAATGGATAAGCTGGACAAGGTGGAGCAGCTCAAGAAGGATTCCAGCACGACAAAGCCTGCCAAAGCCAGCCAAAAAACTTGCTTCACCGAAACCGACTCCCGAAGGGTCCATGGCCGAGCCGATGTGTAAAAATCGGGCATGCTCAGAAACGCGATCCCTGTAGACCCTTGCGCCCAACAAATCTAGGCGACGCAGGGGCAGTCATCGATAAGTGCTGAAAAATCGGGCGAGTATGCGCACGGTCTTCGCGTCTCCCGGGCGTTGTTGGGTGCGCAACTCCACTTTGCCTCTGCCTCTGCTTTTCACGCCTTCTGCGAAATTCTCGCATCTTTCCGCGCTGCTGGTTGATGCACCCGTAGCTGTGTTGCGATCGAGCCGCTCGCTGCCCGACTCGGCACACAGCGGGTGCACTGCCCAAAAGCTTCCGACGCACGGCCTCCTCTTCCTCTCTCCCTTCTGTCACCACCTCATCCTTACTTTCTCCTCCACCATCCCCACCCGATAAACGATCGCATCTCCACAATGTCTCTCTCCAGCAAGCTTGGTATCACCGATGTCGACCTCAAGGACAAGAAGGTCCTGATCCGCGTCGACTTCAACGTCCCCATGGACGGCGACAAGATCACCAACAACCAGCGCATCGTTGCTGCGCTCCCCACCATCAAGTACGCCATCGAGAAGCAGGCCAAGGCGGTCGTCCTCATGTCCCACATGGGCCGCCCCGACGGCAAGCCCGTCCCCAAGTACTCGCTCAAGCCCGTCGCCGCCGAGGTCTCCAAGCTCCTCTCCAAGGACGTCGAGTTCCTGCCCGACTGCGTCGGTTCGGCCACCGAGCAGGCCGTCGCCGCTGCCGAGGGCGGCAAGATCTTCCTGCTCGAGAACCTCCGCTACCACATCGAGGAGGAGGGCAAGGGCACCAACGAGGCCGGCGAGAAGGTCAAGGCCGACGCCAACAAGGTGCAGGAGTTCCGCGCCAGCCTCACCAAGCTCGGCGACGTCTACATCAACGACGCGTTCGGCACTGCCCACCGTGCCCACTCGTCCATGGTCGGCGTCCAGCTGCCCCAGCGTGCCGCCGGTTTCCTGATGAAGAAGGAGCTCGAGTTCTTCGCCAAGGCTCTCGAGAGCCCCGAGCGTCCCTTCCTCGCCATCCTCGGCGGTGCCAAGGTGTCGGACAAGATCCAGCTCATCGACAACATGCTGGACAAGGTCAACTCGCTCATCATCTGCGGTGGCATGGCGTTCACCTTCAAGAAGACGCTCGACAACGTCAAGATCGGCACGTCGCTCTTTGACGAGGCCGGTTCGCACAAGGTGGCCGAGCTCGTGGAGAAGGCCAAGAAGAACAACGTCGAGCTCGTCTTCCCCGTCGACTACATCACCGCCGACAAGTTTGACAAGAACGCCAAGACCGGCTCCGCCACCGACGCCGAGGGCATCCCCGACGAGTGGATGGGCCTCGACTGCGGCGAGCAGTCGCGCAAGCTCTTCCGCGACACCATCACCAAGGCCAAGACCATCCTCTGGAATGGCCCCGCCGGTGTGTTTGAGTTTGACAACTTTGCCGGCGGCTCCAAGGCCATGCTCGACGCCTGCCTCGAGGCCGAGAAGAACGGCTCCACCGTCATCGTCGGCGGTGGTGACACTGCCACCGTGGTCGCCAAGTACGGTGCCGAGGAGGGCATCTCGCACTGCTCCACCGGCGGCGGTGCTTCGCTCGAGCTGCTCGAGGGCAAGACGCTCCCCGGTGTCAAGGAGCTCTCGGAGAAGTGAATCCCTGGCCCACACGCCAGACTGTAACCATGCCTGCCTACCTGCAATGCGCAAAAATATCCCGTCACTGAAAGCCTTTCTAGTGTGTGAAGCGATCCTGTGGTTCGCCTGACGAGCGCGGTCGGTGACTTGCCAATCACACATATCTCGCAAACCTCCGAACCGCGCAAAGCGCCTATAATAGCAATATCCAAGGTTAGTCGACATGATGGTTTCTTGGCGCAGTTGGTTAGCGCGTCTCCTTAACAATTCCGATCTCGGATCGTTAGGGCTTACGGAGGAGGTCGCCGGTTCGAACCCGGCAGAAATCATTTTGCCGCCCAAGCCAGCTCCCTTTTTGCTAGACTTGCGAAAAAGACGAGGAAGACGGTCCCTGTCTTGGCTTCGCGTCGACGAGGAGGCGGACACGGAGCGTGCATCAGAGAGGTGGTGCAGGCGGTGTGGCGCCGGAAGCGGCGGGGAGACAAGCGAGGGTCAGTTCTTCTTGAAACTCTTTTTTTTTTTTTTTTTTCTCTGTGGTTGGTCGGCTGGCGAAACGAGTCAGACGCGCAGAGCGGAATGCGGCGGCTCTCTGGGTAATTGAACGGAATTGCGAGCGGCGGTCCAAAAGGTGTGGCGAGGCCGAGTCAGTGAATCCGCGCTCGCTTTCGCTTGCTTGGGCCTCTCTGGCTCGGGTCTTGGCTTGAGCGCTGGGCCCGGGCGAGACCGCTTATCAGCCAGAGCGGGCTGGGCAGGTCTTCTTTCCCTCTTGCTACAACCATCATCCACACTAGACTATACCAGACGGGCATCCTCTCGTCACCATCTCAAGCTCAGCCACCTTCCAGCTCAAGCAGCACTCCAAGCACACCACTCACAGGCTCGAATCAGCTCGCAATCATGCCAGGACAGTCCGGAAAGGTGCTTTTGGCCTACTCTGGTGGACTCGGTAAGTAGTCCGGGTACCACTCCGGGAGCGCTCCCCAGCTGTCAACCTGCCCCCCGCCTGCAATCCCAGCATCCGGGCCATGTTGGACAGCTCCACATCGCTGCTGGCCCCTGCGCATCGCCGCCGTCTTGTGCGTTGGACGCCATCACTGACGCTCAACTCCATCTCGTCCCCTTTGATATCTTGTCCATTTGGCTGTTACGATGGTTGCCCTTTCCGCTTCGCGTTTTCGCCCGCGCCTCGGCCCAATTCGCTCTGCCCTCCAATCGGGTGACTCGAATTTTTTTCGCCCGGGCCCCATTTCGGATTAAATTTTTTTTGGCTCGTCTGGCGCCTCTTCGCGGACGTTGACGCACCGATCACCGTCGTGCAACCCACCGCGCCGTCTCTACACCGACGCTGTCGTGGTCATTGCGCCGTCGTCGTCGTCGTCGTCGTCGTCGTCGTCATCGCTGCTGATGCTGATGCTGTCGCCATCGTCACCTCGCGTTGCACCGCAACACAGACACGTCCACCATCCTCGCATGGCTCATCGATGAGGGCTACGACGTCATCGCCTTCATGGCCGACGTCGGCCAGGAGGAGGACTTCGAGGCCGCTCGCTCCAAGGCGCTCAAGTGCGGCGCCAAGGACTTCATCCTCGCCGACCTCAAGCGCGAGTTCATCGAGGAGCTCATCTTCCCCGCCGTCCAGGCCAACGCCATCTACGAGGACGTCTACCTGCTCGGCACCTCGCTCGCCCGTCCCGTCATCGCTCGCGGCATGATCGAGGCCGCCGACAAGACCGGCTGCCAGTACGTCTCGCACGGCTGCACCGGTAAGGGCAACGACCAGGTCCGCTTCGAGCTCGCCTTCTACGGCCTCAAGCCCGACATCAAGGTCATCGCCCCGTGGCGTATCCCCGAGTTCTTCAACCGCTTCGCCGGCCGATCCGCGCTGCTCGAGTACGCAGAGTCCAAGGGCATCCCCGTCACCCAGACCAAGGCAAAGCCCTGGTCCACCGACGAGAACCTCTTCCACATCTCCTACGAGGCCGGCATCCTCGAGGACCCCAACACCACCCCGCCCGCCGACATGTGGAAGCTCACAAAGAGCCCCGAGACCGCCCCGGACACCCCCGAGAACATCGTCATTGAGTTCCAGCAGGGCATCCCCTCCAAGGTCAAGGTCGCCTCCACCGGCAAGGAGCACACCGACCCCGTCGACGTCTTCCTCACCCTCAACCAGCTCGCTCGCGAGCACGGCATCGGCCGTATCGACATTGTCGAGAACCGCTTCATCGGCGTCAAGTCGCGCGGCTGCTACGAGTCGCCCGGTGCGACCATTCTGCGTGCCGCCCATCTCGACCTCGAGGGCCTCACGCTCGACCGTGAGGTGCGCCGAATCCGCGACCAGGTCATCACCACCAAGTTCTCCGAGCAGCTCTACTACGGCTTCTTCTTCTCGCCCGAGTGCGAGTTCGTCCGATCCTGCATCCCGCAGTCGCAAAAGACCGTCAACGGCCAGGTCAAGCTCAAGCTCTACAAGGGCAACGTCATCGTCGAGGGCCGCAGCTCCGAGGAGCTCCTCTACGACGAGAAGTTCACCTCCATGGACGAGCAGGGTGGCTTCGACTCGGCTGCCACCAGCGGCTTCATCACCGTCCAGGCCATCAGGCTGCGCCGATACGGTCTCGGCTTGACCGAGCGCGGCCAGGCCGGCTCCGATCGCCAGACCGCTTACGCCATCCGCAAGTAGGTCTTCCCCTTTCGCCAAGATCAGCTTTCCTCCCGACTTGGCCTGTAAATAAAAATAGCGTCCTCGCTCCCCGTTGAAGCGAGCAGAGTCATCGCATCATGTGTCGCCCCTCTCTGCAATGCCCAACATTCATTTTGCATCCGATTCCAGTTCACAAAACTCAGTCCTCAGTTGAGCACTTGCCAAGCCGCATCGGAACATTGGAATCCAGAGGCGCGAAGAGTGAGGTGGGCATGCGATTGATTTCCCAAATGGAAGAGACAAGGCGAAGAGAAGATTTTTGGTGCCTCAGGGCTGAGTGACGATCTAGGCGTTGATCTTTTTGAGGATGGCCTCTTCGCACTGGGTGGTGGTGGCGGATCCGCCGAGGTCTGGGGTGAGGTACTTGCCCTCGCGGATGACCTGGTCGACGGCCGTGTAGATCTTGAGCGCAGGCTCGGTGTAGCCCATGTATTCGAGCATGAGGGCGGCGGAGCGGATCGAGGCGATCGGGTTCGCCTTGCCCTGACCCGCGATATCGGGCGCCGAACCGTGGACCGGCTCGCCCTACGATGCGCAGCACAAGGGAAGAACAAGGCGGGGCAAAATGTAAGTAGGCGCTCGGGGCTGGAAGGAAGGAGAAGACGGAGGATGGGGCTTACCATGAAGAAGTTGTCGCCGGCGTTGACGGAGGGGACGAGGCCAAGGGAGCCCACGAGGGCGGCGGCAGCATCCGAGACAATGTCACCGTACAGGTTGGGCGCCACGACCACGTCAAACACCTCGGGCTCGCGGAAGAGGCGGTAGACCATGGAGTCGACGAGCTGCTCGTTGAGCTTGACGCCCTCGTATCGGCCGGCGCCTCCGTTGGCCTTCTGGTCCTTCTCGTACACGCCGCGGACCGAGGTGCGGAAGAGACCGTCGGTGACGCTCAGCACGTTGGACTTGTGGCAGATCGTCACGGTAGGCTCGTACGACGGCTGGTTCACCTTGCGCAGCTCCTTGCGCGCAATCGCGACTTCAAACGCCTTCTTGCCGATGCGCGTCGAAGCCTTCTCGGTGATCTGGCGGATGGCGCGCGCAATCTGACCGTCCGGACCGCTCTCGCTCGTCTCGGACTTGATGTACTGCTCGCGTGGAAGCGAGTTGGGGAGGGACCGTTCTGCGTCAGTATCTCATCTTTCGCTCTCCTCGACGACGGATCAGCTACTTACCAGGCACTCGGTGTTCTCGCGAATGATGACGCTGTCGATGAACTTGTCGTCGTCCTTGGTGCCGCGCACGCCGATGACGGGGCGAATGTTGGCGTACAGGTCGAGCTCCTTCCTGAGCTTGACGATGGGCGAGCTGTAGCCCTCGACCTTGTGCGACGGGCTCGAGACGGAGCCGAACATGGCTCCGTGGCAGTCGTCCTTGAGTGCACGCACGGTCTCCTCGGGAAGCGCCGAGCCGGTCTTCTGGAAGTGCTCGAAGCCAGCGTCGAGGTGCACAAACTCAAACTTGGGTGCGCCGGGCGTGTTCTGGAGCACACGCTGCGCGCAAGGGAGCACCTCGCGTCCAATGCCGTCTGCGGGCATCATGCCCAGGCGCAGCACGCCCGAAGTGGCATTCTTGAGGATCTTGGCGGCGGTCGACGTCATCTTGGACTGTGTGGGTGGGACGAGCAAAGCAAGAGGTCTAGGTGGGGGTGGAAGAAGAAGGGGCAATCGGTTGGACAGCTTCGGCATTTTCCCGGGCTCGCCTTGTGCCTTGTCCACCCTTCCCTGCCCTGCCGATGCACCCGCGCCAAGCGAGTCACGGCTGGTTTTCAGGTCTTCCAGCTCGTCGGAGGTGGTCGGATCGAAATGACTCTTTGGATCTGGTCTACGTCTATATGTATGCAATGTTCTAGCTTGCTTTCAACAAAGGCCGGTTGGCCCAATGGTAAGGCGTCTGACTACGACGTTCTGTTCTTCGTGAACAGCCGCTAATCAGGAGATTCTGGGTTCGAGCCCCAGGCTGGTCATTCCTTTTTGTCTTTTTTTGGTGCTCTCCCGCATCCTTCCTTTTTTTTTTCTGGACAAGATCTTTGCACTTTGAGCGTCTTCACACGGCGGCTCGTAATGCCATCTTGTCTCGAGTCTATAGATCGGGCCGAAATGCAGACGGTCTTCGTGTGGGAGGAGACGTGGATATCCACTGCGCCTCAATTTTTGTGGAAGACTCGCGGCATCGCGCAGCCACCTGTGGGTTCTGTCTGTGGAACACGCCTGTCCACTGCAGACAGTCCGACAGGACGGTTCGAGGATTGGGGATTGACAGTGTGACCGATGAATTGCATGATGCCCAAGGAAGGAACTGTTTTGGTGTTGCACCGCACCGTTGTCGATCTTGGGCCCTTACGACTGCAGCAGCACGGAGCAACACAAGAGTCCGGGATGGACGACGACGGTGCAGAGGCTGATCAGGTTGAAGGAAGCACGCGTACATGTGTGAGTCTCATTCCGTTTGCGTAATGCTCAACCACACTTGAACAATCTCAGTCATTGGTCATCTACGATGACTTTCGTGAGCGCGGGCATGGATCGTACGGAGTAAGTGTTGAAGACGAGGGAGACTGCCACAAGGTTGTGTATATGCAGCGGCCAACTATATGTACGCATTAGTTCTTCCTTCGAACATCAATTGGCCGGTTGGCCCAATGGTAAGGCGTCTGACTACGAAAGGTTGCTGTTCTACAAGAACAACAGCTGGTTAATCAGGAGATTCTGGGTTCGAGCCCCAGGCTGGTCATCTCTTTTTGCACTTTTTTGGCATCTTTTTGCCGGTATGCAATTTTAGGTTCCCGTTTTTTTGGCTTTCATTATGGATTGGACATGCGTTAGTGCTGATCAGCATTTGTGTAACACTTCGTCGATGCTCGAAGCTCAAGCGAACCGGGGTGTGACTCTGGCGCTAGTTATACGGCCGCTGATACGTGTCAAGAAAGTCAACTACGTAGCAAGCGACCGCATGGCGACTAATCTGATCATTTACAGCAACCTCGAGCCATCTTCTTCACTCCAAGTCCAGACCGAACAAAAAGAAAAAGGGGGACTCGGATCAAGCTTTCCTTTTTCCTGCCGCAGCCAAGCCGCAAGATCAACACACCAAGGAGAGTCATCCCTCGACGTTGAGTTCCGCAAAAGGCGGGCAGAGGGAAGAGCAAAAAGACAGCCTGCTTTGACAGCGGCAAACGGGCAAAAAATGATTTCTGCCGGGTTCGAACCGGCGACCTCCTCCGTAAGCCCTAACGATCCGAGTAGACCGGAATTGTTAAGGAGACGCGCTAACCAACTGCGCCAAGAAACCGTTGGAGCAACGGGTCTCATATTGCATATATGAACTATTACGCGCTCAGCCATGTTTCGCTGTGAGAAAGCCCTGAGCGGCTATCAAGAAGACTCACACACGATCGCGACGGAGATGAGATCACTGGGAATTGCAAGAGGGTATGCGCTCACAGAGGACAAGAGCGGTGCACGGTACAGCACAGCGGAAAGGACAGACCAACAGGGGCTAGCGAAGAAGCAAAAGGGAGAAGAAACGAAGAGCGCGGGCGACGACAAAACCAGATGCAAGATGCGAGGGTGCTGTGGAGAGGATGCCAGGACAGAACACGAAACGTAGCAGAAGCGCGCTGGGCGAGATTGAAGGCAGCGAGGGCAGCACGACTCAGTTGGTGGGGTTGCTTCCAAAGTACGAGCCATACTGCGGCTGCTGATCCCTCTTGATGGTCGACATGGCGTGCGGGTTGCCGTGGTCCGGGCCGAGATGGCCGGGCGAAAGCATGGGTCCGGACGCATAGCCTCCAGGTCCAAAGCGATCCCTTCCCTGGCCATCGAAAGGTCCAAAACCGCTGCCCGGCTCGTTGCCCATGGCCGCTGCGTTGAGCCCAGCATTCGTCGGCATGGCCGAATCGACGCTCTGGTACGGGTTCGTACCGTAGGCGACCGAGTTCATCAGCTTGGCGCTGCCCGGCCGCGACAGCTGGTTGGCTGCTTCTTTCGACTCGAAAGCATCGGCTGACGCTGCACCATTACCGCCGAGGTGATGTCGCGACTGCGAATCGCTCGGAGACGAGACCGAAGTGGCTTCGGGCGAAGCAAAGGCGTTGACTAAACCTCCAGGAAGCTGTTGTCGCTGCTGCTGCTGCTGCTGCTGCTGCTGCTGCTGCTGCTGAAAGGCATGATCACTCATGCCGTAGCCCGGGTACTGCTGACCTTGGGATTGCGAAGCGTACGGTGGCAAAGTCCCGGCATGTGCTGGCTGGCCACCGTGCGAAGCTGGCGACCGATCTTCGCCCCCACCCGCGCGGCCGGAGCTGTAGCCGGCGTTGATGTTGGGTGAAGCGGTGGTGTCTTCTGACAGACCGGATGGCCAAGACTGGTCTGCCCGGCCTGGCTGTCGCTGCTCTTCCTGCTGCTGATGGCCTTGGTAATGCAGGCCGTCGCGGAAGTTGCTCAAGTCGTGCGGGCGGCTTTCGGAAGAGACCGCGTCGTACGGACCTCGGCTGGTGTTGCTGCCTTCGCCGCCGTGCTCGAGTTTCGACAAGGTGGCTGCGCGTTTGCGGTTATCGTTCTTCTTGTTCCCAATGCCACAGCCCTTGACCAAGACGTGGCGCTTGAGCGCGTCCTTACGGCTGAAGGCCTTGTCGCAGTATCCGCACGGGAAAGGCTTGACTGCCAAATGTATGCGCGCATGACGCTTGAGGTCGTGGTTTCTGCTGAAGATCGCATCACACGCCGAGCATTTGAACTGCTTGGGTGGTGGCAGGGATGACCTTGCCTTGAGCTTGTTCTTGTCGTTGGACGAGGTGAGTGTGAGACGCGCCACCTGCCCTGAGGGGTTGGGGATGCCAGCAAAGGCATCCAGCGAGTTGGGACCAAGTGGCCACAGTGTCTCGGCAGAGTGATCATATGGCCCACCCATGCTCGATGTCGGACCGTTCATCACTCTCGGGTATCCATCGGCGGTAGCGTGCATGGCAGGATCGCCGTAAACAGGGTTATTGGTACCGCCGAGGTACGAGGAGGCGTTGTGAACAGGAGGATGAGATCGTTGTCCCATCGATCCCATAAAGGAGGCCGTGGGGTACTCCGGATAGTCTGCCGTCGATTGCCCCGCTAGACCCCATGGCACTTGAGCCGGTTGACTGTACACGACCGGATTGCGGATCGCCGGCGCCGAGCCATCGTACGTGTAGTTGGCCTGTTGACCTTGATGGCGAGCCAGGTCTCCTTGCGCAAAGCCACTAGGGAAGGCGGCCGCGTCGCGGGACCTGTCGTTCGGAGCGCCTTGGTGCAGTGGTTGTTGGACTCGAGGGACCGGCCACATGGGCTCGGAATCGGCTTCCATCTGCGATCTGCGGTCGTAGCCGAAGTTGTGCAGAGATGACGGGGGCGCCATGGAAGGGTAGTGCTGACCGAAGCCGTGCTGGCCGACTCCGTCGTAACGCTGTGCGACAGCCATTGACTGTTCCTGCAGTGGAGCAGGACGCGCGTGAGAGGCACTGCTGAGAGGGTGCAAGTCTGAAGCGGAAAGGGGCAGAAAGCAGACGAGTGATGGCCCAGAGTATATGGGCTACGAATCGTCGGCGAATATTGGATCGTGTTGGCGGCGGTGAGGCAGAGGACTGGAGACTGCAAACGTCGGCCGTCGTCTTGCACAGCGTAGATATACCGAAACCTCGTCAGAAAGAAGACACTCGCGAGATGCTTGCCTCTGTCTGAAGGAGGGGACCGATGCCTCGCCGAGCGGAGCAAACTTTGCGGAAAAAGCAGGAGTCAAGGCGATATGAGCTCGATCGTGTCCGTGTTGGTTGCACGTGCGGATTGGGGCGGCCGAGGGAGCTCCGGAATGGGCCTAGGCGGTTGTTTGGCAGAGGCGCTGCAGTTGCGGGGCGGTATATCGATCTGCGGGATTCAGGAACGGGGGGCCCAGCAATGATTGATCGGATTGCCCACGCCTTGCCGCTGCCGACGCTGCGAAGATTTGAAGCGTTGGAAAGGTACGGGTGGGGACCGCGTTGACCGAGTCGGGCAACAAGCAAGGTTAGGAAGGATGTATATGCAGGCCGAGGGAAACAAGCAAATGAAGAGGAGCTTGATCGGTAGCGCGGATGAGATGAATGCCTGCTTGCAGGTTGCACCAATCAGGGACGATGGGAGGCTGCAGGCTGCGGTTCCTGCGCTTGGCTTCTCGGCGTCTATGCGATGTCGAGCCCACGAGAGATGGCAGTTGAATGAAGAAGCGCATTCAGGCACCAGGTGAAATGCCGCCGGATTCGCATGCGTCGGCCAAGGCAAGATCGAAGTGCGCAATCGAACGTCGAGAGTGCGACATCAGAGTGCGAGCGTAAAGAGGAGGGGCAGAAGGAGTACGGAGCGAAGCGAGGGATGTGCGTCAGTACAGAGCGTCGAATGTGTTGCTGAGGAACGAGATCACCGAGAGAAGCAATGAAGCGAATAGAGCATGGGAGTGGGGTCCCAGCAGCATGCAAGACGGTTGACATGCGCACACGAGTCAGGGCCCAGCATGCCATGAAGTGCCTATGAACGAGGGTGCATGCTCCGAAGGTCCCAAGCACTCGAGGCGCACGAGGAACGACGCGGAAGATGCTGCTGCAGGTCCCGCCGAAGAGTCCGACTCGCGACTTCCGATGAGCGAAGGAGGAGCGGAGGTGCTCGGCAAAACCACCTCATATGCAGACACGCCCTGCGTGACACAGCTTCATTCCGGCGATGTTCACGTCGCCAAGAAATCTCGACATGGACATGTCCGGTTGCGCATGAGCGAGAGGGCGTATGCTAGAGTGCAGCAATGTGGTCCGAGCACCAATGCAGGGCAAGCGCGCCAAGCGCGGCTTGAGAGCAACGCAAAGCGAGGTAGCGCCGAGGAGGAGGCCGATGAGACGAGTGAGAGCGAATGAAGTTGGCGCACTTACGATGTTTCCACCGGACAGAGTTTGGAGAGTCGATGCACGCGCGGAAGCTGCAGCTCGATGCGATGAGGAGCGTAAAAGCGCAGATGAGCGTGCGCCACCGGAGGGCACGAGGGTGTTTCGGTCGCGCGGCCAAGAAGCGGCACGCTGGTGAGGAAGACGCCAGCCGAAATGAAGTACGGGCAGCTGATTGTTGACGGCCGGAGGCAACGCAAGTTGATCACGGGCGTTATTACGAGGCTGAATGCACGGAGATGGCCGAGGATGTGGACAGCAACGTCGATTGATGGGTTGCGCCAGGTTGATCGCTGAGATGACGCCGACGACTACGGAGAGACTTGGAATCCAGGCGAAGCGGCAGAGCGGGGATCGCAGGTATGAGACGGGGTGTCGGCGATCAAGAGCAGGCGCCAGGAGATGCAGGCGGCTGTGGCAGAGCCGATTTTGAAAGACCGAATCGACGGGGAGAGCTACAGGGGCTGTGCAGCCTGGTCGAGAGTGAAAGGAGATGGTGGTGATGGCGAGGATGATGTGGGTGTCGGTGTTGGTGGACGGGTGGTGGTGGGATGAGAAAAGCGAGAGATAGGGATAGGGGGCAAGAAAGCGGCGTGGTGGTCGAATGCGTCGTGGGGGGGCTGCTGGCGCTTGGCTTGTAAGTTGCCGAACGAGCGAAATGGGTGAAGAGCTGGCCAGCAACGACGCTGGTTGGCACGACTGGCAAGGAAGGCGGCGGCGAGGGGATGAGGGTCGGGATGGGAGAGGCAGGCGGCGCGGTGCGCTAGGCGATGACTGACGTCGACAGAGTGAGCAGAGCGAGAGAGGGAGCGGTGCCGACAGCGGACGGAGAGGCCAGGTCGGGGGAACGGCGCTACGGCGGACGGGGGGAGACGAGGAGGTGGACGAAGCGGACCTGGGTGTATCGGTAAAACAGAGCTCAGCCAGCTTCCTTCCGCCAAGGCAGCGGAACGGAGAATCCGCGAACACGACGCCGGTCGAGCCAATGCCGTGTTGGTCCAGGTCCAAGCCAGCAGACGACAGGGCGAACCCGACGCCACGCAATGGGCCCCCCTCTCCAGGCACGATGGGCACGGGGGAAGGGGAGCATGCACGCACATCCACACCCACACCCACAACCACAAGCACAAGCACGCCGAATACCACCAAGCTGCAGGTGCAGGAGCAGGAGCAGGTGCAGGGGCCGATGCAACAAAAAGGTGCACATGCAAGTGCAGGAGCAGGTGCAGCGCGAGCAACGCGATGACCACCAGCAGCAGCGTGCGGAATCCATTCAAACCATGAATGAGACATCCGCTGAGTCGGCAAGCGCGTCAGGGCTGCATGCGATTCCGCTCCAGCCGAACAAGCTGCTAGCTCGACCCGCTTGCACCGAACCCCTCCTCTCGAATGCGCTGTTCTTTTACGCGCCAGACAGGGCCAACGCGCGAGCGAGCGGGCGGTTGGCGGAATTCACAATTCGCCTCCAAGTCCTGATCAGACGGAAGCGCCGACAATCTGTCCGGAACATTTTGAAATTGTTCAAACAATGAGCAAGAGATTCAGTTTTTTGCTCAGCAGCCTGCAATCGAATCCAGACCCGGGCGCAACAATGCGCAGGCGGGAAGGACACAGCTGATGCGAATAATGGCTGAAACAACACAGCATGCGTGTGGTGGGCGTGCCTTCCTACCTCCTGGCGACGGTGCCAAGCGGAAGGGGGATTGTGGGATTCGAAAAAGCAAGGGCGGAGTGGGGTTGGCGCGACTCTTGCTTGCACCGGCCGTGCCAAGCGCAGCGAACCCGAGCCGATTCCCACCGTTCGGCAGGCGGCTAGGCGCGCACGCGCGACAGGCGGCACGGCTGAGGCACGCAACGTGGATACTCTGACAGACGAAACCCTGGAGCTCCAGACGCACGACGCACGATGCAGGCCGCAGCACGCACGACGTACAACTAGCGGCCGAGCGCCCGAGCGAGAGGACGGGGCGATCAGAGCGCGGCTAGCATGCAGACGCGAAGCTCGGCAGCAGCGATTGCAATGCGCGGGGCGTGAGTTCCGATAGGCGCTCGTCCAATTTTTTTCTTCGAGTGCGCATGCTCGTCGCCGGGTGCGGTGTTTCAAAAAAACCTGGGCCCCCAGCGCTGCACCACTGACCGCGTCAAACTTTCAGCGCGAGAAGCATACGTACTCTGTCTTGCAATCTGGCACAGCGAGCCGTCGACGCGTCCTGAGCTGACGTGGCGTGCAAAAGGTTCCCGACTCGGATGCTACGACACGAGCGCAAGGCCTGCCGCCACCTGCTGCATGCAAAAGCTGCGGCAACAACGTCCGAGTACAGCATGCGGAGCCAAGAAGCGCTTCCTCCGGCGTGCCACCGGTCTGGCCCTGGACATTGTCGCGGGATCGCATGCACATTGTCCGCCGCGCCAGGTGGGGTTCGCCGGCGTCCAAAGGGTCTGCACACGCTGCCGCGCAAATCGATGCAGCCCACAGGACGAGGGCACACAGGATAGGGGGGGGACCGGACATGCTGCCGCGAAGATTGCATCGCTCCGGCAAGGCACGCCCTTTCGAGCCAGCCGAACGCGCGTCTCGTCATTCCAGATGTACAGCTGACTGAGAAGACCTACATTCTTTTTTGGCTAGTTGACATCGTTCCAAGCTGCTCGACAGCAGAGGGTTTTTTTTTGCATTTGCATTTTTATTTTTCGTGATTTTGATTTGGGGCTGCTTACCCTCGTGTGCACGGAACTTCAAACCTTGTTCAGCAAGGCACCGGAAGGCAGTCCAAGCGCGCGGATGTCTTGAAGCGATCAGCTGAACATGCTTCCGGTCTTTGCAGATTCTCCGCCCGCCCGCCTCGTTCTGCTGCACGGTCCCACGCTTCGCCTGCCTCGATCCCCACTTTTCAATCAAATCTCCCTTTTTCGAATTTCCTCCAGATCGCAGATTCCGATCTTGCCTGCGATGCTGTAATCCTCCAGGTATCCTCGCCATGCGCTGCGGTCACTGTAACAGGAACCCGAGTCGCGAGACCCTTTGTCGTGCGGTTTGTAGGAGGTGCGACATTGGTCAAGGGGAGGAGTTGAGAGACACTCCGTACGCATGGATCTCGTCAGCTGCGGCTGCCGAATCTCGAGGAGCGTGGCTCAATTCGCGTGCTGGCTCCAAGGATGCGGTCGTTCGGCGTGGGCCTAGACCAAGCTCGTGAACATGGCCCACCACGCGCTCTGGGGCTGACCCTTTTTCCTATTTTTGATGTCTGCTCGCCCATCCGACGGATCGAGGTTGGCACGGCTGCCGACTCCAGGGCCCGTGCTGGACAACCAGTAGCCGAAAATCCCGCTGTCAGATGTATGTGTCCCGACGCCATCCTGGCGGTAAAGGTGCGCAGGTGCCGATACTGGACGGCGGTACACGGTCCTGCACCGAGGAGGCTTGGATCGATCGGGCCAGGCCGTCTTGGAAGGATTCAGCCAAGATTGCGGTGGCTGGAGACAGCCACAAGCATGCCTATCAAACTCGCCAGCCGAAGCCGAAGTCTTGTTGATCGGAACGTGGCCGACGCAGGCACGCTTGGCGGAGGCCCTTTCGGCGGCGCAAGACGGTCAAGCTCGCCCTGACAGACACGTCAACGCATATCCGCGCCAGCTTTGCGGGATCAAGCTGCACCTTCCCGTCCATATTCGGCTACATTGCCTGAGTTCGGGAGCGTTCGGATGGGCTGATCTTGCGCAGCCTCAGCCAGCTCGTTATCGTGAGGTTCCCACGCATCTGAGTCGGTCTTGAGCGGCCATGGCCAGGGCCGGGATGCGAGAGTCGACGTGCCAGGCCCGCGTGCAAGCGAGCCAGCGGGTCATCCGTGCTGTGAAACCGAGGCGCGTTCAGGCGACTTGTGGTTGCGGAATTGCCATCTGGAGGGCGAGGTCCTCTCATGTGAACGAGACATCGGGCTGCTTGCAGTTGTCGACTCGGCGCTGCCGATATCGTTCTGTGCCGCCAAGGCGGTCACTTCGTTGGGCTTCGGATAGATGCGGCGCCTGTGTGCTATCGACAGATCGGCCAAGCAGGATCACGGATTGCAAGGCACTGCCAAGAATGGCTCGAGCCGAGCGGGGGGCCGTGCGAGATGGCCTTACCGCGGAATCCAGTGTCTTGGGCCGTCTCAGCATGCCTTGCCCGACAACGCCGAGAGCAATTTTATTTTTCAAATAACCAGAAGAGCAAGATCAGCTTCCTGTCACTGAAGGCTCTTGCAGACCAGCCGTTCGCATTCAGCACGATCAGGGGTCTTGCTTGCTACGACGGAGAGACATTGAGAGCTGAGACATCGCTCGAAACCATGCTGTAGCTCGGGTGGCGAGACTCGGGGCCGTGGTGGATCCGAGGCGGTGCGTTGTCGTGGAGTCAGCAATGCGCCTTCGCTTCCACTGCGTGCGCTTTCACGTCGACGCGATAGCCTTTGGTCGAAGGGCTCGGCATGGGGAAATTCACGCCCTGGGCAGGCTCGCTAGTGCTTTTGCGTGGCGACAACGCTCATCCTCGCAGGTACGCCAGGAACGCGAAGTGCCGCGCCGTCGCTCCAATTGCAACTCCGAAGCGGCTCGCCGATCCGAGAATGCTCGACGCATGCACGGCCAGCAGCGTCGAACAAAGCTCAAAGCCGGGACACCTGGCAGTGCATGCTGGCATCGCGGAGGCTCTTACGTTGCGAAGAGCATTTGCCGGGCGAAAGGGGGCCCCGTGGCGTGGGGAAATGCTCTGAGCGACTCGCTTGCGAGCCACGCTCCCACAAACAATGCCACGCTCTCTCGTTCTCTCTGTGCACTCGTCGAGAGTTGTCGATGAGGGGGCCAGTGCTTGTCTCCGTCCCCTCGTGCAAGTTATGCGGCTCGACATGTTGCTTGCGGGGAGGGGTCCCTATGCCTGACTGCAGCTGGGCTCGGACGAGGCCTCGGCGAGCAGCCAACCGACACGCTCGGCAACGGCGTTGACCAGCCCGGTTGTCAGCCTGCAGGCTATGCGAGACCAAGCGAGGCATCTGCACGCACCCTTCTGATGCACTTGGCCCTTTTTCTCAAGCTACAGTAGGGAGAGCCAGTGCCGAGCGCTGAAAGTTATGCACTTCTCGTTCTTGGGTGCAAGGCAGGCAGACAGGCGAGCAGGTCGGATTCACCACAGGGCCTGGGCCATGGAGGGCACATGTCCACATATGCGCTGCCATGATTTCGGCACGGTGTTCGGACTGGTCCCGAAGTACAGCTGGCGTATTCGCTGCGGATGCACGAGAAAACGTTTGACTGCCACGCGAATTTCCACGAGCAGCATGGACTGGACTCTGCGCTCCCCTGCTGGGCTTGTCGGGGTAGCTCCGATGCATGGGCTGCTGCCGCTGCTGCTGCTCCTGAGACACAGGGGGGAAAGCCTTGAGCCAATCACATGGGCTCGACTCGAATTGGAGCGAAAGGCCGGGGTGGATTCCGGATGACACCCGGACATCTGGGCCATTTCGAGTTTCCAACGGGATGGTTGGATGCACCCGCATGCCCGGGCGGCATCCGGGCTCGCCATCCGCAGCCGGAGTTGCAATTCGCACTGCACTGCGCTGCGGCCCCCTTCGTTTGAGGCCAATGTTGTCGTGTTGCTTCGGCTCAGCTGATTGAGCATCATCATCGACACCATGCATTCACTTTCGACTAAGCTCAACTCGCTGCCGAGACTGGCAGCCGCAATTCTCTTTCTGGGTACACTTGCACCGCACCATGCCACTGCAGACCGGCTCCGAGCTCCACGCGTGCGACAGCTCGAGGTTGGGCGCCATGATTGCCCTCGACTCTCGTAGCTGAGTGTTCCAGGATATGCAGGCTCGGGCAAACTCGCGGCATCGTCGGGTAATCTTGCCAGCTCAAGCTCATGCCATTCCGAGAGGCCGTGAATCGTAAACACCGAGGTCCTCGGTCGTCTGTTGCCCGCTTGTCAGCTTGATGGATCCTCGCATCTTTGGGACCCTGCTAGCAGCCGTCTAGCCAGCCTCGCGAGGAGAATGTCGACATTTACCATACTGAAGGCACTGTACCAAGCGCGTCCGTATGTCATGGTGCTTGGACGATCGGCTCGGCAGATTTAACCGGGCTTATCGGACTCGACTCGTCTGGCAGGACGAGACGCACAGCGTGTTTCGCTGGTCCGGGAGGGTGAGCAGCCTTTCTCTTGCATTCTGCACCAGAGTGGGGGAGCAACCGAAGGTGGGGGGGAGGGAGTGGGGGGCATACATCACCGCCTCGGGGATCTCTGTCCATGTGACTCGCTTCTATGTCCGTGGAGGATGCGACGGACAGGGCGAGGCCACAGCGCTCAGATCCCGTCTGTGCAGCAGAGTTGAAAGTCTTGGCGAATCTCAAATGTCGGAACGGACGCAGAGTGCCAACATCTCGATCTCAGCGCAGAGCGTCAGAAACTTCGGTCCACGTGCAGCGCGGCAATCGCGCATTTCACCAGGTCCGACGAGCTTCCAAGCAATTCACCCGGCACGCTGCAGCTGGGTGTGCCAAGTTTTCTGATGCATCCTTGAACGCTCAGGTCCTGATCTGATTAGCTCACGACCTAGGTGTCGTGCAGTGCTGTGCATCTCAGCGCGGGGCGAGCATGGTGAGGAAGCGGTCGGCCTGCATACGGCTCGGCATGCCGAAGCTCTGTTGATTGGTGCTGCCCCTGCGGACCGGCACGGCAAAAGGCTTGGCAGAGGCGCAATCGACACCGAGGGTAGCCGAACGTGAGCGCCGAGTGCCGCGATCACATGGGCGCGGCGGAGAACCAACATGTATATAATAATAAGAGGACGACGCATCGCGTACAGTGCATGTCTGTGCAAGCGAGGCGGCATCTCGCGCCTGCTCCGACTCTGCCTGCGCAGTATCAAGACGCAAAGGGAATCAAGCATGGCCGTCTGGATCTGTCTTGGCATTGAGGGGTCCCTGCTGGGCCGCACTGCATGCCGATATCGCCGGCGTCAGATCGACAGTCCTTGGTCTTTCTTGGGTGGGTGCCTCGGACTGCAACATGTCGCTGCATGCTGTCGGACTGCCGACGAACGTGCATTCGGATAGCCATGCATCCTGGGTCCCCAGCTATAAAGTCTTAATGTAGAACGCGAAGCATTTCGGCAGCACGATACACAACGACACGATGCTCGCTGGGGGCAGACTCTGAGTTTCGAGCGTTTCCGACGGGATGCACTCCAGAGGATTTTCGGGCAAAAGCAAGCTCGGTAGTAACGTGAGGGAGCCTATCTCGAATCACGTCAAATTGGACCACTGCATGTTCTACGACCGCGGTATCCAGGAGCAACAATGCCGTCACAGGACCGGGGACCCCCGTGCGTGCCTATATTACAATGGTCTGTCACCACGCCTGTCACGCCCTCATCCCCCGTGAACCCGGCAACCTACTGAGCACAATGGCTAGCCGTGCAGGCCTACCCGAACTGCTTCAATTGATCATCGAGGGCGAAACCGTCCCGGATCTCGCGGCGGAGAATGCGATCCCTCCCGTTGGGCGATGCCCTTCAATTTCGCCGAGGCCGAGCGGCAAAACCGAAGCGATCCCTGAGAAAACCCATCGGTGCAAGTCTTTTCGGCGGCAATTTGGTTCTCAAAATGCTGTGCTCAAGTCTCAGACTCTCGAAAAGTTGCACTATGAAACGTCCATGACCGAGCCGAGCGACCTTGGTAGATTGGCTGTGCGTCTCGCCGAGCAACGGAGGATGTGGATCGGCGGCCTTGTCGGATCGGATGCTTGGCCTGAGACGGCGAACAGGATGGCGCCGTCCAGTGCGAGGTTCGAGTTCGAGATGCGACCCGAGCGTCGGCGGTACATCGGCCAATCAACTCCATCAAACCGCCCGCACCGGCAGAACCGGTCAATTTTTGCATGTCATCGGCATCGCAGCTCCCTTCTGATTCGAGCGCGTTGAACCATCGATGGCTCGGCAGCTCCGTGCCACGCGGTCGCACGGTCACACAGAACTCTGAGCTTCTTTTCCTCGTTGACCGGCGCTGTGCATCCCGACATGCAGAATCTTAGCAACTCTCTGTGCTCGGCCAGGCCGAAATTAAGCGTGGGAACCCCAACCTTCCTAGGTCGCTTTTATTCTTCATGCATCGTACCGAGGCTGCATTAAGTTGCAGCCTTCTGCTTCTGAGATCAAAACTTTCAACCCAACCTGCCGGCCGGAAGCTGCTTCCGGTCGGTCAAGCCTTGTCATGCAAGCAGCTTTGCGCCCAATCCCATCGCCTCGCAGATACCAGTATCCCACACGATATCCTCGGACAGACTTCAATGACGCCATCTCGTTCGGCTGCTGACAATGATCCAAGGCGCTGTCTCAACGCCTCACCCTGCATTCACGACCGCGGGATGCGACACCCAGAACGGCATTAGCTTGGTGATAGGGAACTGTAACAATGCATTGCATGATGAAAAAGGTCTAAAGCGAAACCTTACGACTCGGTCTCGCGGATCTTCTCGACCCACTGGCGCAGCGTCGCCGAGAGCACCTCAGGCAGCGCCTCGACTTCGCGCACCACCACGTAGTAGTCGAAGGGGAACGTGTCCATGTAGCGCTCCATCTTGAGCTCTAGGCGCCCGTTGGCGTCGGTGTGGTACGATGCGTTGGTCATGTCGAGAATCGAGCTCCTTGCCTGCTGCAGCGCTGCTGCCTTGGGCGTGGCTGCCCCTGCTCCACCGGGCGTAGAAGTTCCACTGGCCGTCGGCGCCGGTTGCAGCGAGTCGATGATGACAAAGACCAGCATGACGCGCTGTTCGGCCGCTCGGCGCAACAGTGAGCGAAGCCGAGCGTGGTCCTGGCAGATACCATCCGAAATGATGATCTCGAGCTGCCACAGATCGCCGCCTTGAGACGCAGACGAAGACGGCCTTGCGGCACGCGCCTCGGCGAGCGTGTCGAGCGAGCGCTCCACGAGCTGGAGCACATTGGTCTTCCTCTGCTGGAAGCCCAAGCGGTCGATGACGTGCGCGCCGTTCTGATCGTTGAAGCTGCCCTTGCCAAAGTCGTGCAAGCTCTCCACATCTTCTCCAAAGCGGCAGATCGACACGTCGCCCACCTCGAGGCGCGAAAGCGCGCCCGTCACCAGCGCCAGCGTCTGGTACGCCAGATGCGCAGAGCGCGACTCAGACATACTGCGACTGTCGTCGATCGCCAGCAGCACTTGGTACTCACGCGACGACGGCTTGGTGCGTCGCAGCCAAATCTTGTCCTTGGCAAAGTCCGATGCGATGAATGGCACAATCTTGCGCATGTTGAGGCGCTTGCCCGTGCGGAAGTCGCCGTTGAGCCGCGTTGCAAGCGTCGGAGCCAGGACGAGCCGCAGTTGTTCGCACAGCGAAAAAGCGAGGTCGGCCGTCAGCGAGGCGTACGAACGCCACAGATCTCCCGCTCGAGCAAGCCGCTCTTCGCTCGAGGCGACGCTGCGGAATGCCTCGAGCTGCTGCTGCACCTCTTCGTCGGCCTCTTCGCGCACGTCGTCCGGCAGCGGCGTCATGGCGTCCTCCTCGTCCTGCTCCTCCTTGATCTGCACATCGTCCTCCATGTTCGCGTCGCCGTCGCGGTCGAGCTTCGCTTCCTGTTCGGCTGTCAGAACAGAGCTTGCCGGCTTCAGATCCGAGGGCATGAATGCCTTCTGCTGACCGTCGTCCGCCTGCTGTCGATCCTCTTTCTCCGGCTGGTCGGGAAGCGGCTGCGGCGCTTGCGGCTCGGACTCTTGCTGGTCATCGACATCAGGCGCCCGAGGCTTGGAGCCCATAGACTCGTCGACCTCTTCGATGCCAAGGTCGCCGAGTTTGCGCACCTCGTCCTGCTCTTGCGCAGCACCCAGAGCCTGCAGCTCGGCATTTTCGTCGTTGGCAACGTGCTCCACATCGGCGTCCTCGGGCAGACCGTCGCCATCGGGTTTTGCCTCTTCACCGGCTTCTTGCTCGATCTCGTCCTCGCTGGCGTTCTGGATCTCTTGCATCCTACGACGGAACTGCTCCAGAGCATCGCCCAGGCTGCGAAGTGGATTAGGGTCGACCTCGGCTGCGCCGTCTTGTTCCGTCTCGCCAGAAGGCTCGTCACGTTCAGCCTTGGGCGCTTGTGCTCCACGCTGACCGGCTGAAGGCGGCTGTGCGGCTTGATCTTCGGTCGCGTCATCGGCCAGATCGTCCGGATCCATGCCCTGGTCGGCCTGTGATTTTTCCTGGCGCGCATCGACACGCCTGCCTTGCGCCGATCGCGACGATTGCTGCTGGACGGCTGACTCGTCCTGGCCACCCTCATCGGCGCCTTGATCCACCGCATCCGTGTCGAACGGATCGGCATCGATTTGCTGAGGACCAGCAGGCTTTTCGTCAGCCGCACGATCTTGCTTCCGCGTGGACTCGTCCTCGTCGTCCTCGCCATCCTCTTCCATGGCGTCTTCGCCTTCGTCTTTGTCGACTTGCGCGTTCGCCTCCTGTTCCTGCTCCTGCTCTGGCGCTTCAGCGCCGGCGTCAGGCTCTTCTCCGTCCTTCATCTCTTCATCTTGCGTCTTGTCGTCGACGAGATCGTCCATGGCCTTTTCGTCCACCTTCTCTTCCTTGCGATCCTCAGGCATGTCTTCGACGTCGCTGAGGTCGCCTAGGTCGTCGTCTTCGTCGCTCCCGCCTTCGCTCTTCCCATCGAGACCGTCCATGTTGAGATCGTCGTCGAGATCAAGATTCTCGGCTTGTTCGGCCTCTTGGTCGAGCTGGCGACCTCCACCCTCGCCCTGAGCGTCTGCTTCCGCTTCCTGCTCTTCCTCTTCTATGCCGTCGGAATCGTCTCCATCGCGATCCTCAGCATTGGTCGGGTCGTCGTCCTTGTCGGCGTCGGGCTGGTCGCCACTGTCTTGCTCCTGCGGCTGCTCTTCGCGGGACTTGTCAGCTGCCTGCTCCTGCTTCTGTTGTTTATCGTCGGCAGCAGCAGCAGAATCGTCAGCCTTGGGCGCGGAATCATCTTGGTCGCCATCAGCATTGTCGGCCCCGAGATCCTTGTTGGTCTGGTCCTCGGGCGCGTCCTTCTTGCTCTCGTCCTCGTCATCGCCGCCGTCCCAGACCTTCTCGTCGACAGCGTTCGGGTCCAGCGGGTCGACATCGCCGACGGCATCCTCAGGTTCCTGCTCGTCAGCGTCATCTCCGTCTTGGTTGCTCGCTGCATCGTCTTCTTCGTCGCCGCTGATGTCTTCGAGGTCACCACCAAAGTCTTGATCGGCTTCCTTGGCGTTCTTCTCGCGCTCCGTCTTCTCGCCTTCGTCGCCCTCGTCAGCTGGATCGTCTTTCTGCAGCTCTTCGATCTCTTCGTCGTCTTCCATCTGATCGGTGATGTCCTTAGCACCGCTTCCGTCGCCGAGGCCAGTGCCTCCCTCGAGCTGCTCGCCATCGTCGCCCTCGCCATCATCGTTCTCCTGCTCTTCGGGAGGCTTGCAGAAGCCTTTGCTTGCAAGAGCGGTCATCAGATGGCAAAGCACATGGTCGAGCTTGAGAAGACTCGCCGAGAGGTGCGCAGACGCCAGTAGATGGGTCCTAAGCAGTGCCGAGAATTCATGCAAGAAGGGATAGACGGCTGCGAGCTGCACCTGAACGAATGTCTCGGCTTCAGCATCCCTGGAAAGCTGCTGAGCAAGCTCGAAAAGATTCTGCACTTCGGAGAGGACGGACGCTGACCGCAGCATCGCCTGCTGCGCCTGCAAGGCCTGCAACTCGGAGCTGATGATCTTATCGGACAGACCATCTGAAGCTCCATCGGCGGACACAGTGCCGGCTGCCGACGCCGAGCCAGTCTTCCGAACATCTTGTGCAATCTGCAGGACGGCGGAGATGAGCTTGTTGGCTTGATTCGCGAGACCCTGTGTCTCGCGACTGGCACCAAGAGGCGTCTTTGTCTGCGCGAGACAGTTCTCGAAAAGGCCGAAGTTGGCTGCGGTCCACGTCCAAACGGGATGCAGCAGCGATTCCAGAGCAGGCAGGACTTGGAGATGCTCGCGCAAACCCTCCTCGATCGACTTGACCAGCGTTGCGCTGGCTTCAACGTGCGACCGTTCTTGCTCGGTGAGGAAAGCGAGCCGATTTGGACCGCTAACACGTATTGCCTCTGTCAACTTCTCCACCAGCGAAGCGCTCGTCGTGAGCTCGGTGGCCCAGCTGGACAGTCGGCCCATCAGTGCGTCGCTCGCCACTGCAGGGAAAGCAGTGGTGGCAAGGAACTTGGGAGCCTGCACCCTGACCTCGCCCAAGGCAGCTGCGAGGCGTGCGAGGAAGTCAGCGAGGGCATAAAACGGCGCCTGGGAGGACACGCGCGTGGCTGTGCCCAACGGTGCCGACTGGAGAGTGTGCATTCGAGCCGAGAGATGCTCGAGCGAGGCGAGCGTCTGCATTTCCGAGTGCATGCGATCCCTCTCCTGCAGAACCAGATGGGTGACGTGCTCGATGTAGTTGACACCACGTTGAAGCTCTGCGGTCGACAGATCTGCACTGTGTCCGTGGAGAGAGTCACGGACTTTCGGCAGCGCGGCAAGCAGGCGGAAGAAGAGCTTCTCCAGAGTGGGGAAGAGCTCATCGGAGAGCGACTTGGGACAAGCCTCCAAGATCGACGGACGCGTGTAGATGTGCACCACGCTCTGGTTCATGGAAACCATGTCGGTCTTGAGGTACGAGCTCAGACCGACGCGACGCAGTTCCTTGAGCAGATCCGACCACGCCTTGCGCTTGCGGGCGGTGAGATTCTTGATCGCCTTCTCGTTGTCTTCCTTGGAGAATGCGGGGGTCAGCTTGGCGAGCTGCTGCTGGCGATCGACAATCTCATCGGCCAAATCGCTCACGCCGGTGGCAGTCGTTGTAGCAGTGAGCAGCGTCGGTCGGAGTCGGTCAGCGCCCATCTTCTGCAAGATCGTCAGAGTCTTGGACAGGTTGCGGATGTGCTCCGGAGCTGAGTCCTCGAGACTGGCGATCAGCACTGCTTTCGCCCAAGCATCACTGGCCTGGCTGCTCGGCTCAGACGCCGCTTGCTGCCGGATCATATCGAGCGACACAGGAGGGATCTCCTTGCGCGTCAGAGCGTCGAGATGGGCTGCAAGCATGGGATCGACAGGCTGACGAAGGATGTCGCGGAACTTGCGCAGTGTCTTGTGCAGCTGTCGATGGGACTTCTGCGCCGACTGCTTGAGCGCATGCACGTTGATGTCTTTCCAGCTCGCGAGCTTGATGAAGCCCAGAATGTCCTTCTCCAGCACTGCTCGCTGACTCTGCAGGGTGTTTGAGATGCGCTCGTCGAACTGACGGAAGAAGGTAGTGACATTCTTCAGAATGACACCGACCTCCTTCAGGCCGCGACTTTCCTTGGGAGGGGCCAGCCGGACCAACCTCTCGACAAAGTGCGCAAACGACTCGAGAAGGGAGAGACGTGCCTCAAACTGACCCAGGGGACTCGAGCGGACGAACTGATCCACTGCATCAATCAGCTGCTCGACGTGGCTCTTGAAAGCGTCAGGCCCGTCCGCAGAAGCGGCGCGGGTGCCGCGAACGACGATCTCGTAGACGCGGAACCACCAGCCGCCAAGCTCTTCCTGGAAGTTGCGGGCCTGTGTGTTGAGCAATTCTGCCCAGCATGACAGCTCCAGCCGCCTCCACTCGATGATCTGAGCCGAGATTCGCTCCCGGTTGGACTGGAGCGAGGTTTGCTGGCTCGCGAAGCCCTCCCAGTCTTCGGTGTGAGTGAGCAGTTGCTCAAGAGCGCTCAACATCTTGGCGACCGGACTCGCCGCGTCGAGGCGGAGCACAGCATCGCATCGGTCTCGGATGTGCTGCAACACCATCTGTTCCGGCCAGTCTTGGATGAGAGCGTCCAGGCGCAGACGCAGTTCCTCGACGATGACGGTTGCCTTGCGGATCTCGGAGGGGCGGGGATCGAGGTAGAAGTTGAAGTCACGAGCCGTTTGCTTCGACGCGAGATGCTCGTCGATCGCAGCAGAAATGCCGAAGGCGGCGCCAGTTCGGTCGATCTGCTCTGACCAGTCGCGATGATGCTTCCGCAGGAGCTTGGTGACCAGCGCATCACGTTCCCGATGATACAGATCAGACCCAGCATCGCTTCGCGAGGGCCCAAAGATCGCCATGTGCGCGCTCAAGACGGCAGTGAAGCGGTGAGAAGGCAACAGCACGCCGACGGACTGCTCTTCTTCTTGAGCAGCGCGTCGGGTCGTGGGTGCGTCCATGACATCGTCGCCATATTCTGGGAAGAGGGCGTGGAACTCCCTTTCTTCGGCATCCGCATCCAGCTCGATCGACTCCTCGACCTTGCGAGATTTGTACAGACTGGTCGCCTCTTCCTCTTCGCGCTTGGCCCTCTCTCTGTCGAGAGCCCACAGCTGGAACACCCTCTCGTACGTGCGACTGATGGCACGCAATGTCTCGCGCTTCTCGAGCACATCAATGCCGAGTGCGGTGTGATCGTAGGCAACAGAAGCGGTCGATACGATGAGAAGCGCGGCAGAGACGTCCGAGCGTGCTTGCAGCTGACCGGACAGGTCCAATTGACGGAACAAAGAGGAGCTGCGTGTCGTCGGGAAAGCGCTCAGTGCTTGGACGATGGCACCGCGCTGCTTGACGTCCTCAGATGCGGAGGCGATGCGGGCTGCCTGGCGAACGAGGCCAAGTCCGAGTTGCAGCTGCGACAACGAAGCTGTGATTGGCTCCACCATGTCCCGCAGCTCGGAGAATGTCTTGCGCAGTCGATCGCCAAACGACAGAATGCTTGCTTGCAGACTGTCCTCGCGCTGCTGGGCCTGCTCAGAGTGTCCATTGAGCAGAGCCTGAACCAAATCATCGACCCTCTTGGCTGCGATGACCTCCTTGAGGAACGATGAAGTCTCGCGGTAGAGCTGCGACAGGAGCTTGAGATTCGGCTTGCGCCACGCCTGGCCGTCGTCGCCGCCTTGAGAAGTCAGCGCCAACTTGCTCTCCTCCATCTGTGCCCACAATTCGTCCGTCACACGGTTGCGCGAAGCGCCTGTCACCATCGACTCGGCAAAGACTTCGAGGGACAGCGCGTCCTCCAGCTGGGTCCGGCAGAAAACATTAAAGTCGGCCATCGTCCTGCGAGCGACGATGGGGTCCAATGCCACGTTCGGCAAGAAGAGACGCAGCATGATGAGAGAGGCGGCGATCCATCCTCGTCCAAGCAGCGCGGTACTGGCTTCCTCGTCCGAGGCGTCGGTCTCGGAGAGGGAGAAGCTCTGAAGGAATGAGGTCCATTCTGTCAAAGCGTCTGCAGTGTCCGCTGTGAGGCGTGCATCCGGGCTCGCGAGCACGGCAGTCAAGGCGCTCTGGCAGTCGGACACGGTGAGCATTCCCGTCAAGACTGGCGACTTGAGATCCGCCGAGTCTTTCAGCGCCGCACGGCACAGTGTCTCGGACACGAGGCACACGAAGCGCACAAGGATCTGTGCAAGCTTCTCGGCACGCGAAGGCGAACTGGCAGGCAGGACAGCCCCAGCTGTCTGGATCATCCGTCCGACCGCGACGTCGTGACGCGCTTTTTCCGAGAGCGACCTGTCGCCGAAGCGAGAGTCCAGCAAAGTGTGCACCAAACTGGGGCGCAAGAGGTCGGCCGGTCCGCCAGATGTGGAGCCTGAAGTGGATCCGAAGGGCCACATACGCCTGATCCAGCTTAAGTCGCTGAGCAGAGCACTCGACTTTGCAGATCCGGGCGCAAGGCACCACAGCGCTGCCTTGTTGGATGCAGCGGCGGCCTGGACGGACGGAGAGGGGTGAGACTCGAGCAAGGCGATGATGACCTTCATCCTCGAAGCGTTTGTTGGATCCGAAAGGCACTCGGGCGTCCTGATTGACAGCTCTGCCATGCTGAGAAGCGTCGCTTCCGCATTCCCCGAGGCTCTTGAACGAGCGTGCTGGTCTTGGGCTTCGGCGGCGATTTTGTTGCTTGCCGAGCGAAGCATCTTTAGGGTCTGCCAGCCAAGCTGCATCATGTCGCGCAGCTCTGACGGCGAAGCCGACTGCTTGCCGGCGATACAGAGCGTGGCGGCAATATCCAAGGATGACTTGAGAAGGTCACCTGACGGTGCGCTTCGAAGCAGTTGCGCCTCGTCACAGATCAATCGATACAGGTTGGTCTGCATGCCCTCGTCTGCACCGTAGAGCGACCAGATCGTGGAGAGAGCTTTGCCGGTGGTCAGAGTCAACGAGCCGCCAAGCAGATCGATGGTCTCTGTCAAGGCGGCAGCAACATCAAGGCCACCGGCGTTTATCTCCCTCACAAGGCTGGACATGAATCGCACCAAGATCTGGATCGACGAAAAGTCCAGCTCTGAAGTGGTGCAAAGGCTCTGGAGGTAATCAGCAGAGCGCATCAGAAGGGCAACCCGGCGCAGAGTAGCCGAGTCGCAAGAGGCAGCTGCTTGACTCTGGACAGACGAGATCACCGTATTGCTGACCGTCACGACGAGCGGAAAGACGTTGCGGACCGCGGTCGCAGCCTGATCTTCGTCGTGCACCGTTGCAGTGCTGCTGAGCCGGGCGGAGCGTTCGAGGATGCTGAGGTCGTTGAGTCGCTTTGTCGAGGCTGACTCGAGGACACTCCTAGCCTCTTGACGGTGTAGCAGAGCCATCAGCAGAAGGTCAACGAGCATCTGAGGGGGCAGACCGTGCGACTGGAGAAGATCAAGGACGTTGTCATCGTATCGTAGGTCGATCGCAAGTCGGTCAGCAAATTCCTGCGAGACACGACCAACGTTGACCAGGTCTTGTCGAAGACTGAGCCCGGGCGGATGGAAAGTCTTGCCAGACGAGACGACTTCTTGCAGAAGAGAAAGGCTGCTTGCTGAAGCGGAAGGGAAGCACCGCTGGAAGACTTGCAGGGCCAGTGCAAGGGCTCTGCAAGAGCTGAGACGGACCAACAGCGAAGCGGTGGCTCGAGAGCCACGCTCGTCCGCGCCTGCTAGGTATAGAGGCAAGGCAGTCGAAGCGAGAGACGAGTTTCGCAGCGGAAGCTGGCTGGTGGTCCAAGCCGCTGCACGTCGCTGAGATGCGCGCTTTGAGTCTGGCAGCATATCAGCGGTCAGGATTGCGCGCTGCGTCAGTTGCGCGTGGATGGCAGCTTCCATCAGCTCATCCTGAGTCGATCGAGACGGGGCCGAAGACTGCGTATGAGTACAGCCACTGAGCATCGCAAGACTGTCCAGGTCGTGAGAGGTGGAGTCCGTCTTTGGCAGCAGCGCGATCTCGATGCCTCGGTTCCTCATGGCTCTCGACAGCTCCCCATGTCGCGGATCGAGACACATGAAGACGCGGAAGTTCGGGTGCGGTCGGATGACGGGCACCTTGCCATCGACGACACCGCGCTCGCTGATGACGAGACAGCCGTTCGGCTCGAAGAGCGAATTGAGACGATCCAGAACCGACGCCGAGCAAAGATTGGCATTGTCGAGCATGAGCCAATGTCCCTCTTGCAGAGCGCGCAGCAAAGGTCCGTCAATCCACTCGAATCTGCCGGTCGATTTTTGCGCATCCGGCGTGCTCTGCGTCGTTTCGGCGACGACGGCAACAGCATTTTCCAAGGTGGTCCTGAAAGCTTCGTCGCTCACGTCGCCCGTCGCGTTGCGGACGTCTTCCAGCGCAGCCGAGAGGAGCTCCGAGGACGGAGAGCTCTGGGACGAGCCTAGTGCGGCTTTCAGCGTGCCTTGAGCTGACAAGAACGACGAGTAGCGCGAATGGCTTCGCGCGGCCACCTGCTCGGACAGGCGCTGTGCCTCGCGAACGAGAGCAGCGAGAGCGCTCTGAGTGCGGGTGCTTGGATCGTACTGCTCGAATGTGCCGATGAGGTCCATGGTGTCGGTGCCCGAGTTCATCTGGAACTCTTCCAAGCGAGCGCCGGCAAGTTGGGCCACGAGTCTGACGACGCTAGTCTTGCCGCTTCCTGTCGGGCCCACGAGGATCGAGAGCCACTTCTTCTGAACGCAGTCGATCAAGGCTTCCAGCACGGGGAGTTGACTCTGCAGGAGCGCCAGGCGGTGGCTCTGCAGTTCCGAGGCAGGCTTCCGCGGCATGACGGCGTGCCCAATGCGCACGTGATTGGCGGTGACCGTGGACACCATGCGAGGCTCACTCGAAGCGGCGCCGCGGAACGACCTCTTGAAGAGTTCTCGCGCAGTGCGACGATCCGAGGCCGTGCGGAAACGCTGGACATAGAGAGAAGCGAGATGCTCGATGGGATCGCCCAGCTTGTTGAGGCCCAGATCGGTGTGCAGAAGGTCGAGCCATCGCATGAGATCTCTGAGATTGAACTCCCATGGCGCGCCGATTCTTCCGAACGAGTGCTTGACGACTACCTCGTTGTGCAGCTCAAAGTTGAAGCGGATCATGCTTTGGAGCTGCTCTGTGTCGAAGCTTGGATACAGATGCGTGCTGATCGCAAGAATATCGTCACCGTCGAGCTCTTCGATATGCACCTTGATGAAACGGTTGAGGAACGACTTCGGAAGACCCTTCCTGCCTCCACCCTGGTGATGAGGGTTCTGAGCCGCGAAGATGCGGAAGTCGGGATGCTTGGCGAAGGAGCGGCCAAGCTCGGGGACGTAGACGGTGCCACGGTGATCCAGGCACGAATTGAGGCCCTCGAGCACCGTCTGAGAGGCAAGGTTCATCTCGTCGAGCAGCACCCACTCACCTTGCTGCATGGCGGTGAGGAAGGCCGCGTCGCGCCAAGCAAACTCGCCCGGACCGCCACCTTCCAGAGGCATGTCTGAGCCGAAGAGGTCGACAAGCTCGGTCTGGTCGGACAAGTTGATGCGCGTCAGCGGGAGGGCAGCAGCAGCAGCAAGCGCAGTGATCAGACTGGTCTTGCCCGCACCGGGGCTGCCTTCCAGCAAGACCGACTTTGCTGGAACCGACAAAGCACGGAGCACTCGCATGGCATTGGATGCCGATGTCTTTGCTCCGAAGCTGAACGAGCCAGAACCCTGGGTGGACGGGTCTGGCTGGCCGCGCGGGACGGAGAACGGACCAATGCGCAGCTTTTTGCTGGACACTTCGACCTCGAAGAGACTGGACATCTTGGGGTCGTACTGGTGAGGTGCGATGAGTTCCGCGACCTTGGCGAGGCAGCGGTTTCTGAGCTGCTCCAGACCCGACGCGGTCATGGCGGCTGTGGCGGGCAGCGCGCCCAAACCATCGATGATCGTCAGCGAGGCACCGTGAGCGAATGCGAGGGCTGCATCGAGAGATGATCTGGCCGAGATCTCATTCATGAAAGAGGCCCACGTCAGGAGGTCGCGAAGACCGAGACCAGACTGATCGCGACCACCGATCTGGTGGATGAACCAGTCCGAGAAGTCGATGATGGGTTCCGTCCAGGCGGCCAGACTCGCATCCTTCCACTGCGCGTTGATGATCTGCACCAGATCACTGCGGATGTCGACGTGAGGAACCCAGATCTCGGTGAAGCGATTGCGCAGAGCTGGAGAGAGCTCCTTCTTGCCGTAGTCGCCACCAGGGTTCATGGTCGCCAGCACCTGGAAACCCTCCGCCCCGGTGATCTGGGATGACATCAGATCAGCTTCTGAGCCCAGATGACTCGACGAGGTGGCTCGTTCTGCCAAGACGAGCGTGCGCGCGGGTTCGAGGACGCTGTTCAGGCGCTCCAGAACGCTGTCGTCTGCTAGCGAGATCTCGTCGAGCAGGATATGGTCGCCGGCGCGCATCGCCTGGACCAACGGACCATCTTGCCATTCGAAGAGGGCAGTGGCTTGGTAGACGCTGCGCAGGGCAGTGCGAAGCGCCGACCTCGCCTCGTCCCTGGACGCCTCTTCGAGCGAGGCCAAGTGCTCCTGCTCCTTGGACAGGACTGCTTCCACAAACGACGAGACGTCCTCCATCTTGCTCTGTGCGTTCAGCTCGTGAGCGATGCCGAGGCTCCAAAGCACTTCGATGCAAGATGCCGCGGCCGATCTTTGCAGGGCAGCTCGGTTGCGGAGCGGACGTTGACCACCAAGCAGATCCGCCGTATCCGTGTTCTGGTGGCAGTTGACGCAATGCAGCTGGCGACCAAAGGCAGTAGCGAGCACCTCGCACACGGATGTCTTGCCGGCACCCGTCTCTCCGACGAGGAGGACAGGTTCATTGTAGCGCAGACTGGTCGCCACCAGGCACAGCAGACGTTGGAACGCAGAGGTCTGCACGATGCTCGTCTGCGAGAGGGCCGCGACGATGGCTCCACCAATGCCCGTGCCGATGCGAGATAGCGTCGCGTCGCTGTCGGGACCTTCAAGTCGATACATGCTTTCGACGTTGAGCTTGACGCGCATGACCTTCTCGATGACCTCTTGGACGATGTTCTTGTCATCAGCGCGGCGCGCACGCTCAGCGATGAGCATGTAGCCATTCTCTGCAAGCTGCTGGTAGCCAACCGCCTCTCGATTTCCCCAGCGGAAGAGATCGCGCAGCGTGACAAAAGCCTGTTTGGTCTCGAAGACACGTCCGGCCTGACGACGCTTCTGCAGCTCTTCAAAGACACCAACGATGCGGGACGAGTAGGATGGTGCGATCTTGCAGCGGTTGGTCAGGATGGTCTCGAGCTCGGCGCGAGGGACATCGTCGAAATGCAGCTCGAGGAAGCGGTTACGGAAGGCGCGACTGAGCACCTTGCGGCCGGCGTACAGACCGGGCGGATTCTGCGTTGCGAAGAGCATGAAGTGAGGGTGGGGCTTGACCACCTCGCCAGTCTCGGGGATGACGAGCTCGCGGTTGTCGTCCAAGAGACGGTTGAGCGCCTCGAGGACGTCGGTAGGCGCGAGATTGAGCTCGTCCAGAACGATCCAGTCACCTCTGCGCAGCGCCTTGACCAACAGGCCTTCCTGGAAGCTGAGCTTGCCCGAGTCCGGGTCAGACGCATACGAGCCGATGTATTCTTGGATATCGGTGTGCTCGTGGTTGTTGATGCGGACGAAGCGATGGCCGGTGCGTCGGGCCAGATATTCGACGGCACTGGTCTTACCTGCGGAAGTTGGGCCTTGGATCAGGACGGGGAAGCGGCGCACCAGCGCTGCTCGCGAGAGACCGACAAGCTTGCTCTGTACCGAAGGTGTCAGGATGTAGTCCTCGGCCGCATCCAACGGTGCGGGGCCCGTCGGCAGCCAGAAGGGTCCAACCTGAACGAACTTGCCATCGTCAGCCCCATCCGGCGCGGGCGGGACGTACGTGGCGATGGAGCGAGCATTCTTGGCCTTGGACAGAGTGTGACGTTCGATGATGCCGCGCACAAGCCTGGCGCTGGCCTCGTCGAGAAGCAAGGTGAACGCCATGATGAAGCCTTCCCAAAGACTGCGACGGAGGCCGTACTGAGGGACAATGTCGGTGGCAAAGGTGAGGGCGCGCGACAGGGTGCGGATGGAGTAGTGTGGGCGCTGGTTGGCACCATCTGCGAGCTGGTGCTGTTGGGCCAGACGACGGATCTCGGTGTAGCACTCGGCTACATCCATCACGGCACCGCGATCGCCGAGGGCATGCTCGCCGATGTACTTGTCTACGATGGCGGTGAGCGCTTCGCGGTCGGCGTCGGGGCTGGGCACGTAGAGCTCGGTGAAGCGGGATCGCAGACTGGCGGGAAGATCCTTCTTGCCGACGTCGGTAGCCGGGTTCATGCAGGCGAAGATGCGGAAGTTGGGATGCCTCGGGATGGGCTCGAGGTCGCCGCGCTCGGTGAGGGTGATGCTGGACGTGGGAGACTGGAGGAGGCCAGTGAGGCTGTCGAGCGTCTCTGCGGCTGCGAGATTGATCTCGTCGAGCAGGAGCCAATCGCCTTGACGCAGTGCCTTGACCAAGGGGCCTTCGACGAAGGAGAAGACGAGGTTCTTCTTCTTGCTGCCATGCTGGAGACCGAAGGCTCGCGCCTTTTCGTCAAAGTCGAGCCACTCGCGATCGAGCTCGGCCTCGGCGCGCGCATCGTCGACATCGGCGGGCGAGCCTTCCGTGGCTCCCTTCTCGGTCTTGCGCTTCTTGCGGGAAGCCGAGCTGGGGCGAACGTCGGCAGCCGGGTCGGTGATGCTTTCTTCGGCTGTTTCGGTACCGTTGGCGTTGGTGGAGCCCTTCTTGCGTTGAGACGCCATCTTGGCAGATTCGCGCCACAGGAGGGCCAGGCGCGACCACTTGCCAGCAACGAAGGCCTTGCGCTCGGCATCGACGAAGCGTGCATTGCGGCGGGAGGAGAAGGTGCGTGCGAAGAGCGAGCTCCACTGGTCGTGCAGCTCGGTGGCAGGCAGTTTGGGATCGAGCGGCTTGAATGCTCCGAGGAGATCTCCACTCTCGGTCTGCTGGCTCAAGTTGAGCGCCGTCATGGGCTGGCCAAGGAGCGAGGCGAGGTGCTGAACGACGGTGGTCTTGCCGGTTCCCGTTTCACCGACGAGAAGAAGGGGCTCTGCCAGCGCCGTGGCCACGGTGAGCCTCTCGAGCAGCAGCAACGAAGGCTTTGTCATGGCAAACTTTCTCGAGACGGGCATGGCGCGTTTGGCCGTGGCCTTGGATCTACGAGCAAGCTCGCAGCGGCCGACGCGGATCGCGCTCGTGGCGCTGTCGACGGCTGCGCTCATGGCAACCGCGTCGGTGGTCGAATCGAGAGACCTGACGGACAGTTCCGGGATGCGCTGCTTGAGCGCCCACCAAGCGCGCTCGCTGGTGAGGCCGAGTTCTTCGGCCAAGAGCTCCACCAAAGCACCGTAGCGGTCGACTTGCTTGCCATTGGTCGATCTCGAGGTCTGCAAGGTAGATGCGGCTGATGATGCAGCTGTGCCTGATCCCAGAACATCGGAGGCCGGAGGCACTGAGCCCAAGAAGATGTCGCATGCTTCAATAAAGATCTCCTCCTGCTGAACCGGGTTGGTGAGCGGGTCGCTGAGCATGGCCTGATCCGCGGCCAAGAGGCGCTCGACGCGGCGGGACCACTTGATGAGATCGCGGAGCGTCGCCACTCGCACGCTGCCTGCATTGGTGCCCGTAGCCTGGGCGGCGCCGTGCGTAGAAGGTTGGGTGGCGCGCTGAAGCTTGTACCAGGTGGCTACGAGACGCTCGACGAAGCGCGGTTGCGATTCGGCAAGCCGAGGCGATTTGTTGGTCAAGATAGTGCCCACATCTTGCAGAGAAGGAGCATCGATGGTCACCTCGGACCAATGCGAGGCGCCGAGGAAGGTAGCAATGGAGGAGGCGGCTGCTTTTTTTGCAGAGGAAGAGGAGGAGGCGACGGAGCGAGTGGCGAAGAGAGCAAAGCCGGCGCCGGCGGTGACCTTTCCGCGAGTACCGAGGTCGATGACGGGCCGCAAGCCGACGGCCTTGGTGGGACCGAGCTGCTGGACGATGCGTGCGACGGTGCTGAGCACCTCGGAGCCGGCCTTGTCGATGTCTTCGAGGACGACCCACTTGCCTTGGCGGACGGCGCGCGTGAGGGCGCCCTCGGTCCATTCGAACTTGCCGGGCTGGGTTGGGCTGGAGACGAACGAACCGAGGAGCTGCTTGGCATCGATACCAGACTGGTCGCCGAGCTGGATGGTGAGAATATGGGTTGCGGCCGAAGACGACTCGGCGCCCTTGAGCAGTTGCGAGAGGTGGCGGATCAAGGTGGACTTGCCGCTCGAAGGTGGGCCGGAGAGCAGGATGGGGAAGTTGAGGCTCAGGCGAACGGCGAGGTCGGAAAGCGCCGAAGTGATGCCCTCGGTCTCGACGAATGGATCGTGAGATCGCGTGGCAGCCGATTGTCGATCGCTGCGTGGCGAGCAAGAGAGAAGGACGCCTCCGATGCAGCACACCTCGGCCGAGAGGTCTGTACTCGACAGCCGAGCATGCAAACGAGGCTTTTGAGCATTTGTAGCCGGATGGGTGTCGGCAGCATCCGAGGCGTGCGGAAGGAAAGCGACTTGGCGCGACATGACGAGGCTTCGGGTTCGGTCGATCCGACTGAACTCTTCCACTTCGAGCGTCCAGACGTTGATGCCCGCGGGTTCAAAGGCAAGTGCGGCGGTGGCTTCGATTGCGTACTGGTCGAAAACGTCGGTCGATCCGAGGTTGAGGCACTTGCGCTGCAGCTCGATCCTCGCCTGTTCGCTGCTGTTCTGGAGCGCAGAGAAGAGCGCGACGGCGAGCAGACGCGTGGGAAGCGAGTCGGAAGGCTCCGAGGCGCTGAGGATCGAATGCGCCCATTGTGTGTAGGATGTGCCGACCTCGTCAGTCAGCGAGAAGGGAGCAGCAGAGGCGATGCGCAAAAGGTCGAGCAGAACCTGATTGCGCAGCTCGGGCTGCTCTGCCGTGATGCCGTGCAGGAAGGAAGCCGAGGCGAATGTGGCGAGGAAATGCGAGAGTAGCCTGATCATGAAAAGGCATATAAGGTGAGGATCAGAATGTGCGCAACATTGATGCAGATATGGCCACGTGAGCGATCGCTACTTACTCGTGAATCTCGGGGAATATGCTGATGAGCAGCGCAAAGGCATGCATCGTTTGGATCGTCGCCTGCGCATGGGCACCGTTGGAAGCGTCGATCCGCTTCAGCACCCGGGCGAGGAGCTCGAGCAGTACGGGCTTGAACTGAGCGGCGACGGATACAGTGCAGGACGGGTCGATGAGCAGGTCGGCCACACGGCTGAGCGCATCCGAGGCGGTGCCCTGACCAGCGTCGAGGCCGGCCAGGATATCTTGAACCAGACCGACGGCATTGGGCGGCTCTGTGAGCTCTTCAACCAACGCTGAGCAGCTCGCATGTATATCGAGATCCAGCGCAGAGCGACGAGAGACAGCGGCGACCTTTGCCTCCATCTGCGCCGTCGAGGGCGTCAAATCTGCTGCGAGCCCCATCGCGTCGGCCGAATCGCGAGGGAGCAGGAACGCAGCCGAACGAGACAGATGAATCAGAGATGATCGGCCAGAGAGTTGGCCATCGAAGGGTGATTCAAAATGTCTGCTTGAGGTGAGTCCGAGACGTTTCAAGGATGGAGTCTGACGGTGAGATGAAGGGAATCGGTGGTGCCGTCGCAAAGCTGCAAAGGGTGCAGTCAGTGCGGGAGCGGCTTCCGTACTTGCTCAGCAGCTCAACTCGACTTTTTTTTTCTTCTTCTTGCTGCTCCACCTCGTCAAGCGCGAAGTTTTTACGCGCCGTAAAAAAACAGCGCAGGGACGCCTCGAGGCAGGAAAAGCAAGAAGGTCGGACCCTGCGGCACTCCGAGTCCCGAGGTTCGCATTCAACTTTTTTGCGCTTCCACCTGCCTGCTGCAGCTTCCATCATCTTGCCAAGCCGAAACCATCTCGAGCGCCTCTCTTCGTGCCACAACACCATCACAGCATTCAGCTCCACGATGTCGGTCATTCCTGGTAAGTCATCAAAGTCTGCGTTCCGCTCGTATGACTGCTTCTCAAAGACTGACGCGGCGTGCTGCTCCAAAATCACAGACAAGATCGGCTCGCTCCTTTTCTGTCCCAACTGCGGATCGTTGCTCGACGTCCCCGGCGACGAAGATTTCATCAAGTGTGCTCCGTGTGGCGCCGTTCAGAACGCCAAGGGTAGGTTTGCAGCCCTACCGTCCTCACGAACAGAGCAGAACAAGGACTGACCGCCTCTCCTGCCGACTTGGCGCCTGGATCACCACCATCGCACAGTTTACGACAACCTCTCCATTGTGACTCGCTCCCATCCCTCGGCATTCCCTTCCGCACTCCGTCAGAAGCGTCAGCTCGTCAACACAGCCGCTTCCATAGGCAACGACAACAAGCCCAAGGAGGCCACCATCAAGGAAAAGTGCCCCGGATGCGGCAACGACGAGATGAACTTCCATACCCTGCAGCTCCGCTCCGCTGACGAAGGCACCACCGTCTTCTACGACTGTCCCAAGTGCGGCTACAAGTTCAGCCAGAACAACTGAGCCGGTCGCCCGCTCGTTCGCCCGCCCGCTGCACTGCCACTGTCGTCGTTACCGCTTCCCCTTTTCTTGCATTGTATTACTAGCCGCAACCCTTGTGAATCGCCTTCTTGCTACTGTACTTTTATACACTGCCGTCGCCCATTCGGCTTTGCGACGATCTGCCGCTATACGCCCTCACAGCTCGCCCTCATCCTCGTCCTCGACATCCCAGTCTACAGCAGCCTCGAGCTCCTCCGCCTCTGCGTACATCTTGTCGAGCCCCGTCAGCTTTTCCAGATACTGCTCCTCGTTGAACGCGCGCATCAGCATCTCGAAGCCCAAGCTGCGGTACGCCTCGACCACCGCCGCACTGCAGCCCGTGCATCGGTCGTACGCCTGGCCGACGATCCGGAGTGTGTTGAACTGCGCCAGGAAACCACGCAGCTGATGCGGCACGATGCCCAGCGCCGTCGTCGCGCGCGCCACCGCCTCGGCATCCTCGATCCCCTGCTTGGACGTCTCGCCTGCCGTAGCCGGTGCGTGGACACCCAGATCGTGCTGCAGAACCGACACCATCAGTTCCACCGCCGACGCTCCCGCGATCGCAGCCAGCCCCGGCCGTGTGACAGTGCACATCTGGTCCAGCGTTCGGTCCGTCAGCGAGTCCGAGGGAGCAACCACATCGTTGCAGAAGTAACAGCCAAGGCGGCCATGCCAGCTCTTGCCAGCCGACGCATCAGACGAGCTTGTCTGCTCGACATCCGCTGCGGGTGGGGGCGCTCCATGGCGCATAACCAAGTAGCTGTCGAATCCCAGGGCTGCATTGATGACCAGCTTGGACTTGGCCGCACCCAAAAGCGTCGGTAGCCATCGACTCTCGCGTGAGTCCATCAGCAGGAAGACGACATCGTGCTCCTCCACGAGCTTCTCCAACCTCTCCACGTCTGCTTTCACCTGCCCCTTGCTGCTTTCCGGCACGGGATGGCCGGGCATTGGAACGCTGAGGCTGATGCCCTTGGCCTCCACGCCCGGGTAGATGCGCGCGAGCTTGCTGGCAGCGCATTCCGCCTTTGGCTGCCCACCGTCGAGGCAGTCTTCAAAGTCGAAGAGCGGCTGTCGCACCGGATTGGAGAAGGACACCTTGGCCGAATCCACCAGCGTGATCTGACGCACGCCCCAGCCGAGGAGCGCACGGGCGACGTAGCATCCGAGCGTGCCAGCACCGAGCAGAAGGCAGCGGGTGGATTGAATCGTCTCGAGCTTGATCTCGGGCATGATCCTCCAGCGCATGAGCTTGAGGTTGAGATCGACCGCCTGGTCGGCAAGCTTTCGCGGGTCCATCAGCGGGCCGAGGTCGGCGATCTTGGGCGCCAACTTGCCTTGTGCGTTGCGTTCCCAGCCAACGCCGCTCGGAAGCAGCTCGTTGTTGGGCTTGCTCGCGATCCGTGTAGCTCTGCCGTTGAGCGCAATACTCGGCGTCGGGGCATTCTGTTCACCTGCAGCAGCGGGCAGGAAGACCTTTCCGACTGTACTTCGCATACGATCTGCTGCCAACTCTCCACTGGTGGCGGCAAGGTCGTCCTTCCAGCAGATGACTGTAGCTTGCTCGACGCCGAAGCGGGCGTTCAGATACGCCAGCAGGTTGCGCAGTGGCCATCCTGGAACCTGAGGCGCGCCTGACGGATCTACGAATCCGACGTATCGCTTTTCCGGTGGAACACCCTCGAAGAAGGACTCGTATTCGGAGATCCTGCTGCACACGACTCCGGCTTCGGCATCAGCCTTGGCGAGGAAGAAGCCTCTGGCCGAATCGTGTTGGCGCAACCAGCTCGCGATGGCATTGCAGCCTGTGTCATCCAGTTCGTCCGAGATGGGCTGCCAAGCGTCAGGATTGTCGGCAGATTGAACGGTCTCCCAAGCCGGGCTCGTGACCAAGGCAGGATAGGCGAACCAGTAGTAGAACTTGTACTTCTTGAGATCGGCAAATGTAAGAGCAAGGAAAGTGGTCAAGAAGATTTCGGGCTCCGAAGTGTCGCTCGCGATCCCAGCCCAAATGTCTGCGAGTGTAGCGTCGAAGATGGCCTGCTTGTCGGCATTGCGGAAGGATTCGATGGTGTTGAAGTTCTTGAGGAATCCTCGTGCTGGTGTGGTGTGGTTCGACGAGGGTGGGCGCTCGCCCGAGTCTGCTGCAACATCAGCAGCAGCGCGGATGCTCGCGGCGTCGAGACTGATCTGGCTGCCGAGCGAGACCGACTCTCCCGTTGTGCGATCGAGGATCACTTTACCTGGTGTGTAGGCGGCATGGATGGGCACCGACTCGTCGCTCAGCTGAAGCTTGTCGATCTTGAGCGAGGAGAGCTCCTGCCAGAAGGTTGGATGGATGTTCGTGCTGAATGGCGCGAACTTGAGGATCGGCATGACGGTTGACGTTCACAGGGCGGAGCAGAACGGTACCGGTCAAGACGGTGATGGTGACCGACGTGAGGCAAGGCTGAGTCGCGCCAAGTGTGCGGGCCAGTGCGCGTGGAAAGTGGTGGAGTGGAGCAGAGAGGGACAGAGACTCAGGGTCCGGATCAGGGTCCAGCCGCTCGCGCCTTCTGCTGGCGTCTGCGGCCTCTGCGCCAATTTCAAAGTTGCGAGGCGTTACCAGCCCACATCAACCGCTTTCAATCTTCCGAGCCAGACAGTCGACGGTCAGCACCCTCCAGAAGCTAGCTTGTTTTGATACATCGTATGCAAAGTGCGCGATGGGCGAGAAGGGATGCTAAGAATACAACAAGAGAAAAGAAGCTCAAAGGATGACGGGGCGCCGATCAGCGGCTTGGTGGTGGCTCCGCGCTTCATCGACGAACGAGACCGGGCGGACCGCCCGAGGGGAATGGTGGCGCCTTGCCTTTTACACCCTGATAAGCCATGCCACCAAAGGGTATGTTTGGGTTGAACTTGCCCGCCGGAGGCAGCGCGGGCGGTGCGGGTGCTTGGCCGGCGCCCTGGCGTAGCTTTTCGCGCTCGGGCGACTTCCAGGCTGCGCGGATGGCGGGTGCAGCGCTGACGAGCTCGTCTGCATCGACGCCGTCGCGGATCGACTTGAGGATCTTTTCGACGATGGAGCGATGGTTGCCGTGGTGCTTGTCATCACGGATGCGCATCATCCTCCATCTCGGCGGAAGGCTCACCCCTTGGGAGACGTACGGCTCGGTTGCAGGTTGCGGATCAACGCTCCACACGCACTCGACGACGCGATCGTCAAACTGCTCGCCCGAAGCCGCCATCTGCCTCCACTCTTCAGGCTCGACCCAGAGCTCGTCAAAGAACTCGTAGTCGTCCGATGCGGAATCGCCCAGGTACTGGTGGAGCTCGAAGAAGGGCATGGTGGAGAGGTTGGGCAGGTTGCCTCGCGGGTCACGCTCGAGGTCGGGCGGGAAGCGGAGCACTAGCTTAAAGTCGATCGTGTTCTCGTATGGAGGCTTCCACTTGAGGATCTTGGGATCGGTGCCCATCACGTAGCCACTGTTGAGGCAGGTGAAGATGAGGCCGTCGTTGCCGTGCAATAGGTTGGGCACCGTCTCGAACAGCACCTTCTGGATGCCGTACGCCAGATCCATCTTTTTGACTTGCACATCGAAAGGTCGTCGCGCTACCATGGCAGGATTGCGTTTGAGGTAGTCGACGTAAGGCGGGTAGATGTAGCTTTTGAGACGGCCGTAGCGCTTGCTAAGCGGTCGATTCGCCAGCAGCTCGCGGTCCAGGACGATGAGGTCGAATAGGAGCAGCACGAGCTTCTGGTTGCCTCTGTCGTCGCAGTCGATGACGAGCTCGCCATCCATGAGCGTGTGGTTGCGCATACCGCCGAGACGCGCCGCTTCGGGATCATGAGGCATGTGGTGCGGGAAGACGATGCCTTCGACCTTGTAGTAGTCATTCTTGCGATCGATCAGAAACACTTCTTGTCTTCCCGTGGAGGCCGGAGTGACGATGAGGATGAGAACACGCTGGCCGTCCGACTTTTCGCACACCCAGTAGTCTTCGGACTGGAGGAGGTCGATCGAAGCCTTTTCAAACGAAACGGGTTGGGCACCGGGAAAGCGCATGTGGGGTACTTCGCAAAGGTCGCGCACATGCTGACGGAGAAACGCGAGCTGCTGTGGATCCTCGACCTTGCGTCCGGGTACCTTTGGCACGCTGGCAGTATGACCGAGAGGAGCCATGCTTGCTGATCGATCCGGCGCCTCGACGGGTCGACTCGGAAGGATCGGCTTCGGAGCGAGGGCGAGTGGCGGATGGCACCACTGCCGAATAGCGAGACCAACGATACGCTTCGAAGCTGCTCACAATGGTGAAGAGGAGGGGGAACGTGTGGTGGTAGACGGTATGAAGCAAAGTATAGCAAGCCCAACTGTCCGCGACACCTCGATACCAACTGCAACTCGAATTGGAGCAAAGCTCGGCCTTGAGTTGCGTCCGAGTTCCGAATTCTTTTCCGCAGGTTTGCTTCTCGTACGAGATGTCGCCGGACAGCTGCCGAGACCCTTGGCGCCGAAGGAGCCACGGCGGGCAGATGTTGCAGCTCACTTGGCTGTGAAGAGCGAGCGGCTGTCCCGATCAGTATGTGCTCGACACGACGCAGAGTCGAGCCAATCAGTGACAAGGCGATGGAGCGATACGGGCCGCCGGGAAGTGCTTGCAGTAGAAGGCCGGGAGGGGCGTGTCGGAGCTGGACCCCTTTGTGTCTCACGAAGGAGCCGCTTTCAAAATGGGATCGACAAGGCACGCTGCATAGAAGGCGTCTACAGAAGCAGACGAGACCGACCGAGCATGAGCAAAGTTTCGGGCGGCAAGCATCGACTGAGCCGGACCGGACCCAGCTCCGTAACGCTGTGTCTGCCAGCCGGAACAAAAGACGGCGTATCGCCTCATCAGGTCAACTCGGACGCTTTCTCCGCTTTGGCAGCTGGAGGTGGGTTTGTGGGCCAGCCTGGCTTGTGTGGGGGAAGGAGCTTAGAGCGGTGGTCGGCCAACATCGACGCTTCGCCACGCACTCGATTGACTGGGCAGCAGCTGTGAGCGCTGGGCTCGACTGTTTAGAAATCGAAATCCAGGGAAATCCCTCGACACAGCCGCGGCAGGGCAGAGGGCTCTACGGGCACAGCCCCTGATCTGGCCAGGCCTTCTGGTGCCGTGCTCAGAGAAGATGCTCCGAGCGTAATTTGGGCCGGCACGGCACAGCACAGCAACAGCACGGCCACTGCGCTGCACCGCAACTGCACAGCAGCACGGCACGAGCCCGATACGCCCACTCGCAGCCGAAACTCTCATCTGCCGAGTCTTGAAGCTGCTGCAGCCCGCTTGGAGATGCGTATGCACCCGCCACCCCGTATCCATCCTCACGACCTCCACCATCCTCTTCCAGGACTTTTGACGAACCGTCCATCGCACGTCACCCTCATCCTCACGCATCACCAACAATGTCGGCCAAGGATTACTACGGCGGTCAGGGCGGCGGTACGTATTGATTTTACCTCCAGGCACACATTGCTGCCACCCTCGAAGATCCGAGCACTGTCTGGGCGCACGACAGCGACACGAAACGATGTTATGGGATCCGAGGCCTGCCTCGCGCGGCCACGCCTTGCGACCATTGCGAGTGTCTGCATCATCGGACCCGCGTCTCGCCGGTCCAACTCGCATCGCTACTGGACCGCCAATGGCTCCTCGCGCTCTACTCATCATCACTCTGCGCTCGTATGCCGCCAGCGAATTCGAACAGTCCAACTGACCGCGACACACTGTCTCCTTGCTTCTTTGCTTTCGTCCCACAGGCTACCCCCAGCAGGGCTACGGCCAGCCCCAGCAGGGTTACGGTCAGCCCCAGCAGGGCTACTACCCGCCACCACCCCAGCAGGCCTACGGCGGCCAGCCTCAGCAGGGCTACTACCCGCAGCCCCAGCCCCAGCCCGTCTACGTCCAGCAGCCCCAGAAGAAGGGCGGCGGAGGTGGCCCCGGAGCCTGCTGCGCCTGCTGTGCCGGTATGCTTGCGTGCTGCTGTCTCGAGGACCTCTGTCTCGACTGCATGTTCTGAGCACCACGACGCCTCCTTGTCCGGCATGCCCAATCGACCCGCACGGCCGCTGCTCCAGTCCTCACTTCGACTTTCGTTGTTGGCCCTGCGTTCAATGGGATCCACCTCTTTTGCTACGACTCTTGTATATACTTCACATGCCTTTAATGCTTCTCATGATTCACCAACCTCATTTGTGCTTTCCTTTCCCACCCCATGACATCGTTCGATGAGCACTGCAACCGTCCCAACGACCTGCAAAGACGTGCGCACAAACATCTTGAAGCATTAGAGAACGGAAAGGGGAACTAGCGGCAGCGAATATTGCAACGTGTTAGACCGCGTGACGAGGCACATTTCCAAAAATTCGCACTCCACATTCGCAGGTCGATCACTGCGGGAACGCGTGGTGGACTTACGCACAGGCGCTTGGACAGTGTCACATCCGCAGCTGCCGCGTCTCGAAGCTCAGACCTTTGCGGAGGCCAACACTCGACACTACTTCCACCTCCATCATCGCTGCCGTGCTGTTCAGCTTAGGCACCTCTCCTCGATACTTGCCAAGTACCGCACAGCAGCCTCGGCCGACACGCAAAGCATCCGACTTCCCGCTTAGTGCTCAACACCACATCGTGCACAGCAACGCCTGCCGCTGCCGCCGCCATCATGAACTCGATACTCTCGCGCTTCGACCAGCCCACAACCTCGGCCTTTGCTGGCGCCAATGCAGCTTTCGGTGGCGATGTTGCGGCACAGGATCAGCTGATGGGTGCTCCGGGCCAATTTGATCTTCCCAACATGGACCCCGCCACCTTCCTCTCTCAGTACACCGATGTCGACTCGTCCAATCCCGCCGCCAAGATCAAGCTCGCGCACGGAACTACCACCCTCGCCTTCCGCTTCCAAGGCGGAATCATCGTCTGCGTCGACTCTCGCGCAACTGCCGGCTCCTACATCGCCTCCGGCACCGTCAAGAAGGTCATCGAGATCAACCCGTACCTGCTCGGCACCATGGCCGGTGGTGCTGCCGATTGCCAGTACTGGGAGACCTACCTCGGCATTCAATGCCGTCTACACGAGCTTCGCAACAAGGAGCGCATCTCGGTCGCTGCGGCCAGCAAGTACCTCAGCAATCTCGTCTACGGATACAAGGGCATGGGTCTCTCCATGGGCACCATGATCTGCGGCTGGGACAAGACCGGCCCCGCGCTCTTCTACGTCGACTCGGACGGCACACGCCTCAAAGGCGACGTCTTCAGCGTCGGCTCCGGCTCCACCTTTGCCTACGGTGTGCTCGACCAGGGCTACAAGTGGGATCTCACCGACGACGAGGCCCAGGAGCTTGGCCGTCGCTCCATCTACGCCGCCGCTCACCGAGACGCATACTCGGGCAACGTAAGTATCCATCCCGTTTGAGCTGAAATACGTGCGCGTGCTTGCATCCTTACCCATACTTACACCCCCCCCCCCCCCCCCCCCCCCCCCCCCCCCCCCCCCCCCCCCCCCCCCCCCCCCCCCCCCCCCCCCCCCCCCCCCCCCCCCCCTGACTTTGCTCCTCCCTGCACCGTGGATCGCGCTATCAGACCGTCAACCTCTACCACGTCCGCGAGAACGGCTGGGAGTTCATCGACAACTACGACGTTTCCAAACGTAAGTATCGAAGCGCGTGACGGTACATCACAAACTGTACAGAAACTGACCTTTTGTTGCAATCCCTGATCATTCCGATCTTGCAGTTCACTACGACGGGCCCGGAGACCATGTGCCCGGAGCACCTGGCGGAGGCTATGGTTGGGAGGTGCGAACCAAGGGTCTCAGCTCCAAACTCGAAGCTCAGCCGGGACAGAGCCACGGTGGCCAGGGCGGAAGGTTTGCCGACGAGCAGCCTCTCGCCGCACAGGTTCGACCCGAGCAGGCATGATCTCTTGCCCTGCGCGCATGCTCCGACCACATCCATGTACATTACTCACGCTTCCATGGCCATGCAAAGCCAACACTCTGCACCGACGGCTCTGGACGCACGAGCGCACCTACGGCAGCGCATCTACGGCTGCTCGTCCAAAATGAGTCTGAGGCCTGCTCTCGATGGCATTCAGACGATCTGGCGATATCGGCCCCGATCCAAGCCTGATGCACCGATCTGGCCTGGCCACTCGCTCGGAATAGCCGAGGGAAGGTGGCCGCGCGGAGAGAAGATTTGCGGAGGCTCGGCTGTCAACCCCGCATCGGAAATCTCTACGGCACTCCAAAAGCAGCATCATGCTGCGTCGTTGCCCCCGCACTCTTGTACGCCGTGCCGTCGCCGTGCCTCGTCGGCGCCGACGAGCGATGCATGTCCTACCTAGGCGAAGGCCGACGAATCCCAACCAACTTTCAATGAGCAACATGCCGTTGTAAAGCCGGCAACTCGCTCCTGTCTCGCGTCCTCTTCGGGGTTGCCCGGCCTCTGCGAACGTCGGTCACGCTCATTTCGGCTTTGGAAGACCTTCTTGTTGTGGTCAGTGACCGAGCTCCACTCCGAATGGGGGCTCTTCCATGCCGAAGACCCCGGCACTCGTACTCGCTTAACGATCTGCTCACCAACCTCCTCTCCTTGGCAGAGGAGACGGCGCGGGGGAGCAAAGACTCTCCTTGCTCCTGCATGGTGGTGGTGCTGCGCCGTCCTCATTGGGCATCGTCTGAGACACGCTCTCGGCGACAGGGGAATCTCGGGGCTCCGCATTGGCGACGCCACCTCTAACGAGCATGTATAAGAAGACCTGCACCTGCACCTTTTGTCCGGCTTGCCCTCTCCACGGAACCCTTCCACATCCTCCGCCACAATGAAGCTCAACCTGTTGACGCTCTTGCCACTAGCTGCCGCAGCCGTCCAGACGGTCAAGGCAGCTGCCACACCCCTGCGCCGCGATGACTGGCCTCACGGTCCCTTCTCCACCGAGGGCAACCAGATCAAGAACGCCAATGGCGAGCCCGTTATCCTCGTCGGAACCAACTGGCCGGGCTCAGGCGAGACCATGATCCCCGAAGGCATCGAGTTCCGCTCCATCGCCGACATTGTCAGCATGATGAAGTACGTCGGCTACAACTTTGTGCGCCACACCTACCCGATCCAGATGGTCGACCAGATCTACGAGAACAACGGCACCGACATCACCGTCCAGTCCGCACTGCTGTATGCCCTCGGCGAGGACAACGGCACCCGCATCATGGAGATGATCAACAAGAACAACCCGCAGATCACCAACTCGACCACGCGCTTCGAGGTGCTCTCCATGATCGCCGAGGAGGAGAAGAAGCAGGGTATGCTCATGCACCTCGACAACCACATCAGCCGAGCCATCTGGTGCTGCAGTCACGACGATGGCAACGCCTGGTTCGACGACGTCGATTTCAACGTCGAAGACTGGCATCGCGGCCACAGCTACATGGCAAACTGGGCCAAGAAGCACTCCAACATCGTGTCCGTGTCGTTGCGAAACGAGCTGCGCAAGTCGGCGCTCCGTCCGCTCGACTACAACTGGCAGACGTGGTGGGGCAACGTCTCGGCCGCTGCCGAGAACATCCACGCCACCAACCCTGACCTGCTGATCACCATCAGCGGCCTCGACTACGACATTGACCTATCGGCACTCACGACGCAGGCCAACCTCCTCGATGCCCCCTACGTCAACACCGACATGGACAAGATCGCCGACGCCGAGTCCATGCCACCTCAGTACGCCGACATCGCCAACACCAAGTTCGGCAAGGCCAACAAGGCGGTGCTCGAGCTGCACGCGTACAAGATGTCGACCTACTACCAGGACCATCTCGAGGACTGCGACGCCATTCAGACCGGTCTGTACCGCTTTGGCTTCAATGCGCTCGGCGAGTCGGCGCGTCCTGAGGCATGCAACAACTCGACCGACTTTTCCGACCCGTACAGCTGCCCCTCGGCCAAGATCACGCTGCCCACGCTGCTCACCGAGTTCGGCGATGCGCAGGACTCGAGCTTTGCCAACGTCACCATGCAGAAGTGCCTGCGCGACTTTACCACCAAGAACAAGATCGGCTGGGCACACTGGTCGCTCGCAGGAAGCTACCGCATCCGCCAGAACGTCGTATTCAACAACGATACCTGGGGCCTCACTACGCCGACTTGGAGCGGCTATCAGAGCCAGGACACCGTGGACAACTTCTTCCGTCCGTGGATTCAGGACATGGGCAAGACCAACCTCGAGCTTTGACATGCTTGCACGTAGTAGGAGCAATGGAAGTGCTGAGAAAGCATCGTTGCGTTTGGAGAAGTTTCATGCGTGTCGAGGAATGACTGTGCTGTTCACGAATCCGACGTCACGGACAAAATCTGTGGAAGGAGCGTCTCGACGGGGCCGACAAAGTGCCAGTCCACATCATCACGTTCGTCGTCCGATGGTTGTTCGATGTTAAAGACTGCGACCTGGCCGTGGTTCGAGTGCTTGACGATCTGTGCGAACCCAGCGGCAGGGTAGACGGTCGAGGAGGTGCCAAGCACGAGGATGAGGTCGCACCTGGAGATGAGCGATTGAATGCGATCGAGCTCGGGGATGGACTCGCCGAACCAGACTACGCCAGGTCGGAGCAGTCCGTTGCAGCCGGATTGGGAGCAGCGCGGCAAGTGGTCGGTCGGGATGACTCGATACTCGCCCGAGAGATCTTCTGCGCCACGCAGGGCTGGACACAGCGGATCGCGCAAGTCGATGCGCGACTCTCCGCAGGAAGTGCAGATCGTCTTGAAGAGGTTTCCGTGCATCTCAAGTATCGAGCCAGCTGATGTAGAGGGGGCGGACTGTTCCGTCGGCGCAGATTCTTGCAGCGCCCGACCCGACAGACCATCAACATTTTGGGTGACGAGATGGAAAGATTTAGCGTTGGGTAGAAGCTGATCTCGCAAGTGGCTCTGAATCAAGAGTTTGGCCAGCGTCGTGTGGGCAGCATTCGGCGACGCAGCGAGCACCACGGATCGGCGGTAGTGATAGAATTGCCAGACCTTGCTTGGATCTCGCTTGAAAGCCTCGCTGTGGACCGATGGACCGACGAACGGATGGGAAGGTGAGCTGAAAGCACGAGCGAGGAGCCGGTACTACCGCACAATACTCACGGCGTTGCCAGAGACAGTGCATCATGTGAGCGCCACAGACCTGATTACCACGCGGTACAGAAAGAAAGACATCAGCGAACAGAAAAGCGCGAGGTGCTCGACAAGGCTACCTACCTCCTGCGCCACGGAAGGTTGGGATGCCACTGGCAGCGCTCAAGCCTGCACCAGCGAGGGCGATCGGGTGTCGCGCTTGCCGCAGTGCCTGTCGGAAGGACTCTGCTGCAGCTCCCATGGCGTCGTCAGCAACGAGCATATACGCAGGGCGGCACTAGGCTCGTGGTGCGTGTGCCACCGAAGCTCACTTGGCACGCTTTGACAAAGTCCGGGAAGGCCTGTCAACGAGGCGTGGGCGGACGAAGCTTCGAGTCTATGCGGAATGCGTCAACTTTGAAACACCGCACATGTCGTGGAAGGCGGGCTGCCTGTCGTTGCTTCCAGCCGTTGCTGGGCTTCAGGGGGCGTGCGAGTCGGGGCGCTCGGACGTTGTTCGGAAAGCTTCTGCACGTCTTCTCGGGAATGCGTCCGCTCGAATTTGATTGTTCTGAGGAGTTGCAGACGAAAGCGAGCCAGAGCTGGTTGTGGTGTCGCGCAAACGGCTCGTGGTGCAGGTGGCTTGAGCGCAGGATTGTGCAACTTGGACCGAGAGCGCGCCTCAATTTTGACAGCTGGCCGTTTATGCAGGGTCGCGCGTGGGTGTCCAACCCAAGATGAAAGCCCCTCCTGCCACGCGGTGCTGCAAGCCAGTTTTTGCTGGTGCAGTGGACCCCAAGCACAAAGTGCTGCAACGGTATCCGCATTCACTCGCCACCATCTCGTTGCGCCCCGGTCGAGAGGCGGCACAACACGCCGAAGCAAGCAGTCGCCACCAACCAACTTTATGGTCGTATGCTGTCCCTCGTTGTCCAAGTCTGTCGCGTGGCATGCACGTCTCCCGCGAAGTGGCCACGGCTACCTCGGACGTACCCTGACCTCTGAGCCCTGTTTCCCTTTACCCAGTCAGGCTAGTACTTCGCCTCGTGCTGCGAAAAGGTACAGTCTGGATCTCCTTCTAGAAATCAAGGCTGACTCCCACGCCATCCTCTCCAGCAGGCGTCCATAGATCCGCCACCACGCCCCATCGCGCCACATTGTTCCTGCTTGTACTTTGCTGTACCTGCTCGGCCAAGCGTCGAAGGCATTCTATCAAGCGCTCTAGGCATGCATCACGGGTGGGCACATCACTCAGCTTGAAAGCCTCGATCTCGTTCCAGCTCTCGAACGCAGGAACGAGGCCCTATGGAGACTTTGAATCTCACCGTACAGACTGAGCAACTCCGTCTGCGGCATACACGTTGTCAGACCTCTTTCAGATGTGAATTGGATATAAGGGGCCAGCGGCGTGCCAGAGCCAGCTCAAATCTCACCTCCTCCTCACGCTCGCTCCTTGCACATCACTTCACTTTTCAACCTTTCTTCGCCTTAAAGCTTGATCACATTTCTTTCCCCGAGTCAAGTCATGGTGGCCAACAAACTCCTGTCCACGGTGCTACGATCGAGAGATGCGGCTGCAGAAGATCAGGGAGCTGCCGCTGCGGCTGCTGCTGCCATGGCTGCCTGGTCGGCTGGCATTGCCTATGCGATCAACTTTATCATTCTCTACGTCATCATGTCGATGCTCGTCGTCGTGGTTGTCGGTGTCATGGGCTGCGTGGCATCCCCGCGCATCCGCAAGTCGCCGACGTACATCATCCTCGCTATCTCTGCCGCACTCTGCATCTGTGCGCTCGGCGTCAATGTCTCGATGAACAAGGAGCTCGTCGTCAACCCTCAGAAGCCGTTCAACGCCCAAATCTACACCTCGATGATTGCCCTCTCTATGAGTAAGTGCCGAAAAGCTTTTCCACCAGAACTTTCGGCGGACACCCGCACTTTGCTCACACGCCAAACTCTCTGTATATGCTCCAAATATCGCCTTTGCTGCTGTAGCCATCCCCTTCCTCGTCGACTTTACACTCATTTTGAGAATCCTCGCCTTTTTCCCCGTCACCTCTGCGGCCGCCGCGGGACGAAGACAGTGGAAGCGATGGGCCGCCATCGCGTTCCCCGCCTTGATCAAGATCCCTCGCATTGTCCTCATCTGCCACTACATCCGATTCGTGCACGACTGCGCTCTCCGTGCATCCGACATGGCCACAGTCGTGACCATGGTCAACCAGAAGCAGTATGCGCTCATCGAGTGGACACTCATGCTCGCTGACGGCCTCTACTGCACCATCTTTTTCTGCGTCAAACTATACGAGCTCGGATGGGGCTGGGGCGAAGACAAGCATGTCTCGCGCAGCTTCCTCGAGACTCTTCGCAGGATCTTGATCAGCGCCTTTGCCTGCTTCGTCCTTCCATCGTTCCTGCTCATCACGCTCATTATCATGCAAGCTACTCTCTACCGACCCGAAATCGAAGGCTACGTCTTCGTCACGTTCATCCCGATGACTGTCATCTGCGCCGCCTCCGGTCAGTCCAAAGATCGCCATGGGTCCCGAGCATGGCGACATTTAACGACGGACAAAAGCTGATTTTTGGCTCCAATTTATTTTATGCTTTTTTTTCGCAATTTGTTGTTTAGCCACGTTGTGGCCTGCCATTCGGGCTGAGCAACACCGCCGAAAGATGCTCGTGGCCCCGATCCACACGCTGCGCAGCCAGGGCCCGCCGACCAAGTTCCTTACGCCCCAGCGCAGCTTCGACACCGATGACGAGAAAGACTTTGACAAGATGACGCCCGATGTCGAATTGGGCGAGCTGGAGCACACCGTGGTGACTCCCGTCAAGCGCAGCCAGGATCAGCTCAACGCCCGAGCTCGTACCATGACGGGTGATCGGATCGATGCTGGACGTGACACGGACTTGGGCGGAGCAACGACGCTGCAGCACCTCGGAAGGCCGCAAAACCCGCTCCGCCACGCTCCCGATGTGAGCGGAATCGCAGTGACCACGGTCACGGAAGAGAAATGGAGCGAGGCTTAAATTCGCCTTGGACACCCTCGATTCGCTGCTTACAATCTCTGTCTGCTAGTCTCACACCATGTTGCCTTTCTCTACTCGAAGGACTCTGAGAGCCTTCCTGTCCCTTGGCTTTACGGAAATTTGGATATGATTCGGCGCCCACGGCTTGTGTCTATTATTGCGTATCCGAACCGACAAGGCAGAATGTTTTGAGGATGATGCTATTCCTGGCTCGAGGCCTTCTGCTCGCAGCAGTCTTTCTAGAGAATGGTTCCCTCAACGATGAAGAAAGCGAACGAGTGCTTCTGGATGGGCTGCTGCGAGCCCTTGTCAGCCCACTCCTTGCCGCTGTACTTGGTGACCTGAGGCACCACCACGTTGGGCTGCTCGAAGGTGTTCTTCGCCAAGAGGTCGTCGCTGTAGACAAGATGAGATTCGACACTGTCGATTTGGAAGCCGTCGAAGCTGATTCGGCCGGTCCAGTCGGCGGTAGGGTGGCGGTTGAGCACGCTGAGGCGAATGCTGGCGCGCTTCGAGCCAGGCTGCTCGACAATCATGGCGACACAGTCGACGTAGGCTGGCTTGGAGATGTGCTGGATCCACTCGGGGTACGTCGGTCCCTCGCTAGAGTGTGGGAAGAGAGAAACACGCGGGGAAAGGATCAGGTCAGTACGTGTCCCGTACTCCACAGTCAGAAAGACAAAGAGACTTACTAGGCATCTGGGGTGAAGCCCAGGTTGAGCAGGCGGCCATTCTTCATGTACTGGGCAAAGAGTCGCAAGGGCCAGTATGTGGTCTGGAAGAGAAGGCCGTCGGGGCTGGTCATGAGCGGAGAGATGACGTTGACGCTTTGGGCGATGCATGCGATGCCGACGTCCTTGGACTTGCGCACGAGAATGTTGAGCCAGGCTACCACGCCGAGCATGTCAGTATAGTCGTAAGCCTGCTCGAGACCCTGGGAGCCGGGGGCCTTGACCTCGTCCCAGACGTTCCATTCGTCGTAGCAGATCTTGACGTCGCGTGCGGCGACCTTCTGGTCGCGGTTGTTCCAGTCGAGGAGCGATTGTGCCTTGTCGATCTTGGCCAGGTCGATGAGCGAGGCACAGATCTCGATGCCGCGCTCCGCTGCGGCGGGACCGAAGACGTTCTTTTCGAATTCAAAGCCCTGAACGGTGCTGTAGTGCTCGTGACCGAGCATCGAGTAGAGGTGGATGGAGTGGAAATCGACCACGCCGATGAGACCGTTGAGCACTTCGCGATCCCACTCGGAGTTGCCCTGGTTTCCGCACGAGACGAGCTTGATGGAAGGGTCGACGAGCTTCATGCCGTGCGCCCATCGCTTTGCCATCTTGGTGTAGTCGGTGGCGTTGAGGAAGCCGACCTGCCAAGGGCCGTGCATCTCGTTTCCGAGACCCCAGTACTTGACGTTGTGCGGCTCGTGGCGGCCAGTGTTCTTGCGGCGCAGGTTTGCCCAGTAGGTGTCACCGGTGCCGTTGCAGTATTCGAGCCAGGAGAGCGCCTCTTCGTAGGTGCCGGTGCCCATGTTGATGCAGAAGTAGGGTTCTACTTTGAGCCTGCGGCAGTAGTCGATGAACTCGTCTGTGCCAAAGTGGTTGGATTCGGTCGAGAGCCAGGCGAGCTCGATGCGCTTGGGGCGCTGGGAGATGGGGCCGATACCGTCCTGCCAGTGGTAGTTGCTGACGAAGTTGCCGCCTGGCCATCGGAGGATGGGCATCTGGAGTTCGCCATCGCTGGCAAGGATGTTGGCGACGTCCTTCCTCCATGCTAGGCGGCCTTTGGTGCGTTCGTCGCCGTTGTCTTGGACCTCGAGGATGGAGGCTGGGCTGGGTTTGGCGGGGTTGTCGACGATGCCGCCGTAGATTCCGCGGCCGAGATGCTCTACGAAGCCCGAGTAGAGCTTGTCAGTGACGAGTGGCTCGGAGCGCGGGTGCGTGAGGGAGTGCGGATGAATGCGAATGGGTTCGGCGGAGAGCTGAGCGGGATGTTGAAAAGAGTGCTTTTGGAGCTGCTTGGGCGCCTCATCGGCAGCTGCGTATGGGTTGACACCAGCCATGTTGGGAAGGTGTGTGTAGTGTCGAAGGTGTTGATGACGACGACGGGAGCGGGGATGGTGACGGGAAGAGCGAGAGGTGGACGACGAGCGGGTCCACTGGATTTTGAGGCAAGGTCGGATCACGAAGGGTGCGAAGCTTTGCAGTACAGATTGCCGAGGGGCGGAGTGTGGACCGTTGCGGAGATGTGCGACAGGACGTGCGAGCACGGACCGACCGGTTGTGTCCAAAAAACTCGAGCTTGCGGAGAGAGCGGAGAGAGGCTGGTGAAAGGTCGCGTTGGACTTGCACGAGCTTGTCGGCTCAACACAAAGCGAAAGTGTTGCGGTCGGTTGGAGGGAGAGAGTTAGCCGAGTGCGGAGTGAGAGAGGCAGAATTGACCGAGGGCGCGCGTCTCCTCTCGAATGAACCCCGACTTTTGAGCGAAGCGGGTGTGGAGATGTGTTCGGCAATCTCGAGATGTCCGGAGGGAAAAGGAGAGCTCACACTTGCATGCGTACGTGCAGTGCGTGGACGAGGGGCGCGCTCTTGCAGTCATTCACGCCAATCCAACTCGAGACGGAGGACTCTGAGCGGAACGGGACGAGCGCACGCACACCGGGAAAGCGAGTGCGGAGCGGATGTGCATGGACATCGCTCATTCGCTGTCTGGACCGAGCCCGACATTTCTGGCTTTCGCAGACACACAAATTCTCCTGAGCCGAGCGACCACATGTGTGCGGGTCGTGCGCTAGTCCTGGTCACACGTGTAGAAGGCACAGCATGTTCAGACACGCTGTGCGGAACAGTCCAGTACTACTTTGGAGGCGCGTTGCGAGTAAGCGTGCGGACGAGAGCAATGCACCATTACCAGGGTCTACGCCTCGCGCACACACACACAGAGATTGCCGAGCTCCGGAATTAGATCCACGAATTCGGTACAGGGCAGCTACTGTACTGCAAACCGCCTCCTTGCCTGATCGGGTCGTATCGTAGGCCATGCGAGAGGCCACACGAGGTCGTACGACTCATCAGCACGAGACCAACACCTTGAGCCGGAATAGCCGATGGGTGCAAGCGTGGCACAATAAGGCATGGCACGGCGATGGCGTTGGCGCTGGCGCTGCACCTCGCCTCGCAAATCCAACGGCTTTCCTGGGATGATTGCCGAGTCGGAGTGCCAAATTCCGCCCGCAAATCTCTGCGTGGCCAATTACAGTCGCGCCGCCCGCGAGCCTCTGCAACACGTCAAAAATTGGAACAGATTCCCGGTCCCGACTGACGGTACTCCTGTACGACCTTCCGCGGTCCAACGTAGGTTACCTTGCGCTCTCGTCAAAGACAGCCAAGTGAGCTGCCTCCGATCGTAGCATGCACCTGCTAGCAGAGCATGTCTCATGTCACCCTAAGTGTGAACGAAGTCCAGCATCAGTTTGTGGGGGAGGGGTTCTCGCTCACATCCCCACATGGGCTCGTCAGGCACGCGCAACACATGTTCATCCTTGCTCGCCGGAAATCTCGCTCTCGGAGCTTGAATTGCCTTCCGCTCTCGCACAAACACACCCGTCCTCCGCCTAAGCAAATTCCCCACTGCACCGACTCAGACCCGCAGTGTACAGTAGTCGCGCACCGCGAAACTCTCCGGCTATGGATGCTTCTTTCCCGCGCGCCATGCCCTACACCATGTCCGGAGCAACCGCAACGCCCTCCTCGCATTCGCCCACTCGGCCCATGTCTCGCTTGCAATCGCCTCATCTGGCATCGCTCCCAATCCACCCGCTCGTGCATCGTGCCTGAATCCTCATCCCGGCACCCCGTGTCTGCCGCGACTCACGCCTGTGCGACCCTCGACCCCGCTTCCCCACCATGCACACCTCTGCGGGCCCCCACTTTTGCTCATACTCAGCCTCGTCGCTTCCGCCGCAACATATAACCCCCCCCACCATCCATGAGCTCCCTCCATCTCTCCCCACCCATCTCCTCCATCGCATCCTACCCCGCATCGCCTCTGTGCGCCTCGTGACTCCTTTCCGCC